GTTTAGTCCTGGTTTAGTCTTAGTTTAGTCCTGGTTTAGTCTTAGTTTAGTCCTGGTTTTGTCTTAGTTCAGTCTTAGTTTAGTCCTGGTTTAGTCTTAGTTTAGTCCTGGTTTAGTCTTAGTTTAGTCCTGGTTTAGTCCTGGTTTAGTCTTAGTTTAGTCCTGGTTTAGTCCTGGTTTAGTCCTACAAATCGTGCATTAGTGAGCGGCTCGCCTCTCCACAGATCTGCTAAAGCCTCACTGGTCTCTGGTCGTGGATATGAAACATCAGCTGTGTGTAAATGAAACACATGAAAAGTGTTTCAGCAGAAGAAATGTGACTGATGCTGATGCTTTGTCATCATCATCATCATCATCAGAGCAAAAGGGAAACACTGGTCGCACTTTTTAGCTCCTAAAACTTGTTTTACGTTTACGTCTCTTTACAACAAACACGAGTCTCCGCTCTCGCTGCAGTTTTTAGAAAGATTCATTTTCAGAGGTGAGTTCACTGTTTGTGTGTAAAAGATGGAAGCAAAAAAAGGGAAATGTCTGTTTTTTAAAATATCCGTGTACGTGTAAATGGGGCCTTAAAGGTTGTATGGAGGATTTTTTTTTAGTTTCAAACTGTCAGTGAAACATTAAAATACCATTACAGAGACGAAGCAGCTTTGTAATTATGATGACCAAAAAAAAAGAACAAAAATCTATCAACTGTGGACGTAATGAGGCCAGATAAACATCAGCCAATAGAAAACGAGGCTCCCTCATTTTCTATTGGCTGTTAGGTTGTCAATCAAACTCCCTAGTATAACTGACTCGTCGGAGCGCGGAGATTACGTGGTTTACGCAACGGTTCTTTGAGGCTTTTTCGAACTGTCGCTTCCTCGCATTTCCCACAAAGTTTGTCGCGACGGCGCACGAGAATCCACGACCGGTTCGCCGCAAAAGAAAGTCCGTTTTTGAGGAAAGAAGAAGAGAAGAGGAAAAGGAGCAAAGTCAAACTGAGGTGATTCTTGGAGATCTCATCCAGCGATGGCGCGACCGAAGCAGACGAAGGGTCTAAAAAGTGACGCGTCGGTCGCTGAATTACTTCTAGACAGGAAACTTCAACAGTAATTCTGAATGCGCACAAGGACTGTCACTGTATTTCTCTTCCCTTAAAAAAATCCTCTATACAACCTTTAATGTTTTATTTTTGTTCTGTTTTCAGGTTGAGTCGTTCAATCCCAAACAGAATCATTTTGTGTGTTGGATTCTGCTGCACAAACTCACCCAAGACTGAGCAGCTTCAACGGAAACTCTGGAAAACCATCAGTCAATCAAATCAACTGGGAAACAAACTTGGACTTGGTAGCAGAAATATAAAGAGGAAGGATCTGGTTCCACCAAACCGTCGTTTCCAAACTCGTTCTCCTCGTTCGCTTCTTGGGGCTTCGCAAGAATTTTCACGAACTTGCTCGACCTCCTTTTCTGATTTTTATGATGGTGCCAGATCGTTCAGCTGAGAGAGCGTGAGAGCCTGGAGTTTCTCACGTGTTTTGAGAAACAGAAGAAAAAAAAGATTATCACAGAAAAAAAAAAGTAAATCAGAGAAAAAGAACGAGCAGAAGAGGATGTCAAATTTTCTCTTTAAAATGTCTGATTTTCTCTGTGTCACTCCACTCCATCCTTTTGTAAGTCTCAAGTAAATCTCAAGTCTTTGACCTCAAGTCCCTGGTCAAATACATAAAGTCCAAGTCGAGTCTCGAGTCACTGGCCCATAAGTCCAAGTCAGGTCCAAGTCGTCTGCTTTGAGCTTCAAGTCATTTCAAGTCTTTAAACCAAAATACCAAATAGAGTTTAGATTAAAATTCGGATAAATTGCAAAAATCTAAACTGTACTTAAAAAGTCACGGTTTATGTAAATAAGAGTTGTAGAAATGCAATTTTTTTCCTTTTTAAATGTTTTGACAAGATCATAGAGTGAATCATTACGGTCAGAATAGAACGAATTAAGATTTAAAAGTGCTTCTCAAGTTCAAGTCAAGTTCCAGGTCATATTTGCAGACATTCTGCTCCGTGGGCTCGGCGTTCTCTCGCTCAAGTTCAAGACTAGTCCTGGTTTAGTCCTGGTTTAGACCTGGTTTAGTCCTGGGTTAGACCTGGTTTAGTCTTGGTTTAGTCCTGGTTTAGTCCTGGTTTAGTCCTGGTTTAGTCCTGGTTTAGTCCTGGTTTTAGTCCTGGTTTAGTCCTGGGTTAGACCTGGTTTTAGTCCAGGTTTAAGTCCTGTTTTTTAGTCCTGGTTTTTAGTCCTGGTTTTAGTCCTGGTTTAGTCCTTTTAGTTTAGTCCTGGTTTAGTCCTGGTTTTAGTCCTGGTTTAGTCCTGGTTTAGTCCTGGTTTAGTCCTGGTTTTAGTCCTGGTTTAGTCCTGGGTTAGACCTGGTTTTAGTCCAGGTTTAAGTCCTGTTTTTTAGTCCTGTTTTTAGTCCTGTTTTTTAGTCCTGGTTTTTAGTCCTGTTTTAGACCTGGTTTTAGTCCTGGTTTAGTCCTGGTTTAGTCCTGGTTTAGTCCTGGGTTTAGTCCTGGTTTTAGTCTGGTTTAGTCCTGGTTTAGTCCTGGTTTAGTCCTGGTTTAGTCCTGGTTTAGTCCTGGGTTAGACCTGGTTTTAGTCCAGGTTTAAGTCCTGTTTTTTAGTCCTGTTTTTTAGTCCTGGTTTTTAGTCCTCTTTTAGACCTGGTTTTAGTCCTGGTTTTAGACCTGGTTTTAGTCCTGGTTTTAGTCCTGGTTTAGTCCTGGTTTAGTCCTGGGTTTAGACCTGGTTTTAGTCCTGGTTTTAGTCCTGGTTTTAGTCCTGGTTTAGTCCTGGTTTAGTCCTGGTTTAGTCCTGGGTTAGACCTGGTTTTAGTCCAGGTTTAAGTCCTGTTTTTTTAGTCCTGTTTTTTAGTCCTCTTTTAGACCTGGTTTTAGTCCTGGTTTTAGTCCTGGTTTAGTCCTGGGTTTAGACCTGGGTTTAGTCCTGGTTTTAGTCCTGGTTTTAGTCCAGGGTTTAGTCCTGGTTTAGTCCTGGTTTAGACCTGGTTTGGACCTGTTTAGACCTGGTTTTAATCCTGGTTTAGTCCTGACCCACCTGTAAAATTCCAAAACATTAAAACCTGCCCGTTTCAGCGACTGTTGGCCTGTGCTGGACTCTGTGCTGGACTCTGTGCTGGACTCTGTGCTGGACCCTGTGCTGGACCCTGTGCTGGACTCTGTGCTGGACCCTGTGCTGGACCCTGTGCTGGACCCTGTGCTGGACTCTGTGCTGGACCCTGTGCTGGACCCTGTGCTGGACCCTGTGCTGGACTCTGTGCTGGACCCTGTGCTGGACCCTGTGCTGGACCCTGTGCTGGACTCTGTGCTGGACCTGTGCTGGACCCTGTGCTGGACTCTGTGCTGGACTCTGTGCTGGACCCTGTGCTGGACTCTGTGCTGGACTCTGTGCTGGACCCTGTGCTGGACTCTGTGCTGGACTCTGTGCTGGACCCTGTGCTGGACCTCTGTGCTGGACCCTGTGCTGGACTCTGTGCTGGACCCTGTGCTGGACTCTGTCACAGCCTCGTAACTTCTCTGCCTCCGTCTTTTGGGTGCGGCGCAGGAATCTGTCGGTGCAGAAAGTTTCGTCGACATTGTGGGTTTTGTCGGGCAGAAAACTCACAAACACACAGCACTTCAGAATCACACTGACACAGATCCAACATTTATGTACATTTATCAAACTGAACACATTCTGTACTGAACAGGAGACGCAGCAAGGAGGAGATTGATTGACAACGATCTACAGTCTGTCAGCCAATCAGGACGCAGCAGGAGGGACACAACGCACATTCATACACTGTAAAAAAAAAAAAAAAAAAAACTACATGCAAAATTTCACACAAACAAATCCGTGAAACAGCGAGACCGCAAAAGGTGACCCGTGATATCTTAGGAATAATGACCATATTTCCATTTGTGAAAACACAGACATTTTACCGGGGGTGGGGGGGTGGGGCCTGTACACATGGCCTCACACTTGTACAAGAAATTCTTTGTTTTCTGTTCCAGTCAGGACAAGTCATCGTTAAATGCACATTTGCACTTCGGCTCGTTGCAGACTAACCAACTGTTTGCGTCTGCTCGGTCCTTCTGAGTTACAGAGCTACGAGAGACACTCTGTTTAATGCCTTCAGTGAATGGGAATGAAAACCCGGACATTTGCATAACTTTATGAAAAAAAATCCAGAAGCTCGGGACAGGACGTAAAAACACGGACATGTCCAGGGAAAAAACACCCTAAAATCTTTTCCTCCCCATTATTTGTTCCAGTCTTTCGAGCCACAACACTAAAAGTCCTAAAAACAGAACGAGTTCATTTAAAACAGTTTGCTGTGGTCCAAAGTTCCTCCTCACTTCCCTTCTGCATTCAGAGCAAACTAACTATTCACCATGATGAATTTTGAAGAACTTTCCACAACTTTCAGAGACCAGAGCAGAGTTTTGCACACGTCGTCACAGTAATGCCAAAAAACAGCATGCTAATATGCACTTCCTGCTTATCCGACAATAAAATGCTTCACAAATAAGGTGAAGACAGAACACAGACGACTTATTTTGACCTCAGGATCTGCTCATCCAACATCTGTACTGAGGTAAGACATGTTTTACTCAAATACATGGGGAAAATTCTGTACAAATTGAACACAGATTTGATTTAAAATACACAAAACCTGAAATTTTCTTACAGAATCGCACTGTGTATTGAAATGTCACAAGATCTTCAAACGAAATTGTGATGAATTATGAGTTTTTTTTACATTTAAATTATCCTCACTCAAGCAATCTCCTCAAATATAAGACAGGACCTTTTTCAATACAAATCTTTGCACCATTTTTCATTTAGCAGATGTTTTAACAGCTCCTTATTCTCAGTACATGATTTTCATATTGAAGCTGGTGAAACGTCTCCCTCTGGTGGGCAAACACATGTACTGCACTCGACATTAGAAAGAAAGAGCCTGGTCTGGTAGAAAGTTGTGTTTATTCTCTGGTAATAAATAGTGAACGTTGTGAGTTTGTACACAGTGGACATAAATTAAGTAAGGTGCATGTTGGTTAAAAAGTGCGCTGTTCACTTGAGTTGTGTTCTGTGCAAAATCAGCACCGCGTGTCTTTCCTGTGTGTCCCTGGAACAGAAACAAAACAAACACACAATCAATCAAACGGACAGAATTATAATATGATAAATATGTTTAATTCATTGTTTGTTTGTTTTTATTAGGGACGCACTGATCCAGTGATATTTTGGTAGAAGTTGTGGTAGTGATCTTTTACCAGTGTTGGGGAAGTTACTTTAAGAAAGTCGTGTTTGCTCGTTGCTTCTTTAAAAAGTAATCCCATACTTTAGTTACCCTCTATGGAAAGTAACTTTTTGGTGGTAAACTCCATCTAAGGCTAAATACGGCACGAGACTGACAGTCAACCAGAACCGTAAGAGAAAGATGAAAAGATCTCTGAAGAGAGTTCAAGACGACTGTTCAGAGGTAAATGGGTCAGCGCCTCTGCCCGGGGGATTTAACTGTGTGGGCGAGGATCCTCTTGAGGGACCTGTCCCCGGGTGTCGCCGGGCCCCTGCTTCCTCTGCTGTGCCATGACCGGCTCTGGGCGGCCAGTAAAGTCTCAAGGTAAAAGGTGGGACAACGCTCCAGCTGCTTTACAGCTCCTCCCGTCTGGACCTCGACACTTCCCGAGGGCGTAGGTGCCTGCTGCACCTTCTCGCCCTCTCCACCTGGACGAGGACAGGTCCTCCTTCCAACTGAGTCACGCCGCCAGGGCAGCGACCGACCCGTGTACACAGAAAAGTAACGTTGCACCGAATTGAAAAAGGAACTACGTTTTGTTACCAAATTATCAGTAGAAGCATGTTACATTATTTTTATTCCCCCAAAAAGTAGTTGCATTACTGTAACATGCGTAATATAGAATGTGTCGCACCCAACACAGTCTCTTACCCCGCGGGAGGAGCGCTCTCTCGCCCCGCGGGAGGAGCGGTCTCTTACCCTGTGGGAGTGTGGTCTCTTACCCTGTGGGAGTGTGGGTCTCTTACCCTGTGGGAGTGTGGTCTCTTACCCTGTGGGAGTGTGTCTCTTACCCTGCGGGAGGAGCGGTCTCTTACCCTGTGGGAGTGGTCTCTTACCCTGTGGGAGTGTGGTCTCTTACCCTGTGGGAGTGGTCTCTTACCCTGTGGGAGTGTGGTCTCTTACCCTGTGGGAGTGTGTCTCTTACCCTGTGGGAGTGGTCTCTTACCCTGTGGAGGAGTGGTCTCTTACCCTGTGGGAGGAGTGGTCTCTTACCCTGTGGGAGGAGTGGTCTCTTACCCTGTGGAGGAGTGGTCTCTTACCCCGCGGGAGGAGTGGTCTCTTACCCCGCGGGAGGAGCGGTCTCTTACCCTGTGGGAGTGTGGTCTCTTACCCTGTGGGAGTGGTCTCTTACCCTGTGGGAGGAGTGGTCTCTTACCCTGTGGGAGTGGTAGTGATCTCTTGTGCAGATTCAGGTGTTGTGCTCGAATTAAATCATTTTTTAAACTTTCCGTGTTGTATCCGTGAGCAGATTTCCAGGGTTTTTCTGTGGGACGAGAGAAAGAGTTCAGTTATAGAAACTTTAATCCCGAAACATTTCTAATGATGGAGCAGCTGACAAAGTGATTTGATTTGACATTGAGAAAAGATGTAAATAGTAAATTTTAAATCTAAAGATGCACTATGCGACTTTTCTTCAAACAGGAAAACATCCACCTCAGAGCACATGACTTCACTTGACTTTTTATTGAACCAAATCAAATTGATTGGAATTATATATTGTATTGAATCGTATCGAATCAAAAGTGCACTGTATCGAGATATGTATCGTTTCTTGGCCTATGTATCAAGGTATGTTTTGTATCTGCAACTTTTTAATGATAACCTGGAAATTACAGTTAATGAAAAAAGGGAAACTGGAAAAACTAAGGAAGGTTTTCAGTAATAACGAACTATAACTACAGTGAAATGAGTCGAACGGTTCATCTGCACCTTCAGAATCAAATCTGTGATTCAAACTTCTGTATAAGTATTTACATTTCTGTCCTTTTTGCTTTCAGACTCACCCGTCTGCCACCTGTGAGCGAGGTACACCGGCTCCGCGCCCGTCGCCGTCGCGCTGTTCTCGTCCGCTTCTCTGATGGCGTTTCCGTGGCAACAGTGATAAACCCTGCGCCACTGGTCGTGCTGGGGCTCGCCGTACGCACAGCCCCTCTCCCTCGTTTTCCAATAACATTTCTCCACATTCTGCGGTTTCAAAGCCAGCGGCCTCTTCGTCTCTTTCCTCGTCTCCTCCGATCTCCACTTGCAGCCGTTTTGACTCACCTCCCCGTCTCTGTCCACTCGGATCTCAGGGATCGAACCTTTCCGCGCAAACTGCTTCGTCGTATGCCCTTTGCACGCGTCGCACGTCAAAACGTCGTCATTCCACGGTTGAAACGGCGTCACTCTGCGCTGCGAAACTTGCTGCTGCGCTGGACTCGTTGACGTTTTGTAGATTTTCTGCTTGCTCATACATCTCGTGCACAAGCGTTGTCCCTTCGTCGCGTAAGAGACAAACGCATTTTCGTTGTAGCTTCGACTAACGCAACATTCGTGATCGGACACGCTCCCCCGGTCCGCGTTCCCTTTTGATTTGTACCTTTCTTTTGGTTTTCGAATCGCAGTTACGTCTTTGAATTCCGCATCTAGTTTCCTTCGTCTTCCTGGAACGATCAAACTTCTGCTTTCCATTTGCTTGTTTGCTTTTTGAGGAGTCGGGGGCATCTTGGCATAGATGGTGTTTTCGAAATCGGCCAACCAGTTTGTCGACGGTAAATACGCCGGGAGAGACTCGAACGAAGTGTCGGGCTGTTCTTGAAGGTTTCCATCGAGTGGCGAATCATCGGAGAGCAGATTTTGCGAGCATTTCAGATCGATTTTGCTGTAAACGCAAGATTGTTTCTGGATTTCTTTGTCCGGTAAATCCACAATAGAGTTTTCGAAAGTCGGGATCGCATTTTCCAACTCTTCGTTCATCGTTTTTGGTAAATAAACGAAGGGTACGACGTCGTCTTGTCCAGTTTTGTCTCTTGTAATTCGTTTTTCAGCTTCACTAAGAAAGGTTTCGTTGCAAGAATCCATGATGAACTCCGAAGACGGCGTCAAAGTCTCCTCCGCCGACCAAACCGAAGACTCAATTTTACGCAGTTCCGCCAAATATCTCGGGTTGAAAGGAAGACGCACAACTTTGAGATTTTTCTCGTTGCGGATTGCTTCAACATCGGCGGATATTTTGAGCTTTGAATTATTCGTAACCGCGGTTTCCACTTCTATGTTTTTATCGTTAGTGTTTGGATTTGCTACTAGAAGAATATCGGGGCACGGTTGCGGCGAACGGACGTTTTTGATTTCCGTATTCACGATTTGCGCATTATCGTCAGGTCGAACGCCATTTTGCACGATGGAACTGCAGTGCACGACGTCTTGTGCGAATCTTCTGGACATCTCCGAGGTTTCGTGCGAATGCAGAACTTGTAAACCGGCCGGCGACGCGCAACATTCAATCCTCACCTCTTCGGTCTCGATAACGAAACTGCCTTTTTGCGGAGTAGCGTTCGCGGTTAAAGGCGCCAAGTCGTTCAGCGCCAACGTACGATCGTCTTTTTGCGCGGACGAAGCTGTGGACAGATTTGAGGATTCCTTCTGGGCGTCGGTTTGGTTTAGGCTCGGCGTGCTCGTGCTCGTGCGCTGGGACACGGGCAGAGGTTCGGTTTGGACTTCAGAGCTGGTGACGTCTCGGGTGGGGAGGTTTTGTTGGTAGCGCAGGCGTCGGGCGTGGTAGGCCATGGACTGGTAGTACTGCGGGTTGAGCAGGCGTCTGTAGTCCATGAGGTGGTGGTGGGTGTGGGGCAGAACGAAGCCCGGAGACGCTTCCATGTACGGAGCGGGCGGGAAGTGCGGCAGCAGAGGGAGTCCGTAACCTGGAGAAGAAAAGGAAAGCATTTGAAAATATTCAGGAACAAAAAGACTAGACATTTGCATTTTGACATGAGGTTGGATAGAAAAATATACAGTGTGTCCCAAAAGACCTGACATGATTTCACAGGCCAATAATTTTGTCAATTCTTGTTGAAATAACATAAAAACACACAAGAACTACAGAAACAGATCAAGATTTTATATTTAGGTTACGTTTACACTGAAACGAATCACCGTATTGGAAATGATTTGCATCCAGACACGTCGTTTCTGTGTCTGCAATCAAAGCCGTTTACTATCCACACAGTTACACGAAACCACCTGAAACGCTGGTCACGTGACTACGCTGGCGTCACGATGGCGGTAAATACAAGGAAGTGGAGCACTGTGTCTGAAGTCGCAACAGACGATTTTGAGCTGAGGAAGATGGCAAGAGTTAAAGTAATAAGTTCTGTTTCCCATTTGTCTCTGGTTTTCTGCAACAGCGTCACATGACCGATGTCACGAACCCAGAGAAGCAAGAAGGAGCGAGTCACAGTGAAGTGGTGAAATAAGGACGAGACATTTTCGGGCGTCCACATGGTGCCGGATCAGATCTGTACGAACATGAATTCGTGGAGCTGGAGGCACCAGATCGTTCCGTCTCTGGAGCTGTTTTCCATCAGATTAGTGTGAACGAACACTGCATCCACAACGAAAACAACTCAAATAGTGTGGACGGGGCCTTAATGTTTTATTTTGTTTTCATGTTGAGCCGTTCACTCCCAAACAGAAGTTATTTTGTGTCTTGGAATCTGCTGCACAAACTCACCCAACACTGTGCTGCTTCAACGCAACATTTGGAAAAACTTCACCAACTGGGAAACAAATTTGGACTTGGTACCAAAACTGTAAAAAAAGAAAGGATGTGGTTACGCCAAACTTTCATTCAAAGCATCTGGGTTTCCAGACTTGTTCTCCTTAGACGTCTTGAGGCTTTGCAAAGAGTTTTTGTTTTGCCAGTTGGTGAAGTTTGTTGCGTTGAAGCTGCACAGTGTTGGGTGAGTTTGTGCAGCAGATTCAAGATGCAAAATAACTTCTGTTTGGGAGTGAACGGCTCAACCTGAAAACAGAACAAAAATAAAACATTACATATAAAATCTTGATTCGTTTCTGTACTCTGAAAATTTGAGGTTATTTCAACAAAAACTGCCAAAACTACTGTGAAATGAATTTCCGTTTTGCAGGTTTGCAAAACTGAACTGTATATGTCTAAGAAAAATAACTTTTTAACTCACGCTCTCCTCGGGGTCACATTGACCAAAAGATGTTTTTATTTTTTTTCCCCAAATAAATTCTCACCAGGCAAGGGTCTGATTGACCCGCCCCAAGAGAGCGGGAAGGAGAAAACAAAATGTCTTTGTGTCTATGTGACCCAGAGGAGAGCGTGAGTTAAAACGGTGCAGGATCCAGCCACCTGTTTGTCTCCAAGCTGTATGTTACTTTTTATAGATGTTTTAAGACATTTCTGAGTAATAAATACACATGTAATTAAATAAATGCAAGATGTAAACACTTACAACCATAACATGACCATCACCACAGAGTCTTAAATAAATACTGCCTGAGATCCAGAACACACATCATCATATCATTGTAGAAAACCAAGAAAATACATGGAAACAAACCACGGCAATTTGGAAATTCAGAGGTTTTGTTTGAGCTTTTAATTGGAAGTAATTTAAACCATAATTTAACAAAACGGTTAATTGAGCACATAGTCTTGCCTGTACTTGAGTGAGCAATGTCAGTATTTGGGCTGGACACTAAAGAAACGTGACTTGACTCAGACTCGCGCAGTTCTCACCGAGTCCGGGCAGTGCTCCGTAGTACGGGCTGTAGTTGAAGGGCAGCGCCACGGGCAGCGGCCACTGGACGCTCTGCACCGGGACGAACGGATGCGACGGCTGCACGTAGAAGAACGGCTTATGATGCGTCTGCTCCTCGGACACGCCCGGACCTGCGCCCGGACCCGAGGCGTGCCCGGGACCTACGCCCGGACCTGCGCCCGGACCTACGCCCGGACCCGCGCTCTGACCCGCGGCGAACGGAGGGTTTACGCTCGAGGTCCCCGCGTCCATCACGAAGAGACGAAGAGAATCGTGCAGTTTCAGTCTGAAAAAAGTTTCGTTGTGTCTGAATTTCCGCTGGGAAACAGACGTGAGCGGAGCGCGTGCGTGGAGTCTGATTAAGGACGGAGCTGCAGCCTCGTGCGGCCCTAAAACCGCTCTGATTGGCTGTGGTTCGTGACGCACGTGAGTATGCGTCAAGTTAACGTCAGGTAAAGTCCGATACAAAGATTTGAATGATTTTTGGCCAGTTCAGTTCATTCACTGCTTTTTCTATTGTCCCAAAATGATATAGAGCATCTTTTTATATCTCTGTAGTGTGTCAGATGCCCTCCCGTCCAACTGTGTCTCTGTAGATGGGGAGATGGGGGCACGTCAGATGGGTGGGATATATTCTAAAAAAAAACACAAGTTTACTAAAAGTGAACAAATTATTGATTAATATGTGTTTTGGTTTTTTTTTGTTTTTGTTTTCAAGCATGAGTAAAACAGAAGCTCATAGTTTTTCCATTAAAAGTTCACATGCATCAGGTAAGGAAAGTTGAACACGAACGCCAGGTTTAAATCGTCGCCCCCTAGTGTTGTGGCGGTGAATTACTTGGCAGCGCATAGACCTTGACATAGATCCATAAAAATAAAAAAAACGACCACGACAAGGCGACGGCGGCAGAGCGTGTTGAGTCACCGCAGAATTAAACTTCGCAAATAAAGCTGCCTCTCGCTACACGTTCTACTTGTACTTGTACTAAATGCTCTTCATGTACTTTTTCATATTGCTTATTTATTACCGTTTTTATCTCTTAATCGTTGGACCTCGAGGAACACGTCTCGTTCTGTCGTGTTTCTCTCACATGAATGACAAAGAACTTTGACCTTGTTCTGTTCTTGTTTTTTTTTATTTTGTTTTCATGTACAGTTGGCAATATCGCCTTATAATTATACGGTTTGATAATAGGGATGTAACGATATCCAAATCTCTCAGTACGATATTATCACGATATCCATCACGATATTTTGAAGAGGCTGATATAATTGTAGATGGGACACTTTTCTGCTTTTAAAACACCTTGACAAGATTTTGGTGTGAATTATTTCCATCATAGTTCCAAGAATTCAAGTAAAAAACATATTTCTTCATGTTGTCTGCACTGAAATGAATCATGGGAAATGTAGTTCCTGATGTTTATAAACTGTTGCTACTATAAAATCATTCATTTAAGCAAAGAAACTTGTAATTCGATATATTGTGAGACTTTTTACAATATATCACGATAATTTGGTTATTGTTACATCCCTAATTGATATTGTACAAAAAAAACTAAATAAAAACATGTTATATGTTGGTTAGACAAATACAGCTGGATTATTAATAGAAATTATCAGGGGAAAAAACATTAGTGGGATTTGATTTTTGGAGATTTCTTATGAACCATGATCAAAATACTGACTCCTAATTACTTTCAGAGCTAATTAATATTATAGTTTATTGAAAACACACAAAAATCGGACACAAAGCAAATGTTAAATAAAGTTTTATTGACCGGCCCCAGCGGCTCCGTCCTCCTCGGTCGTCGTCGTTTTTGTGAGTTCATGTGAATCGTGCTCGGCCAGTGTCTCTGTACAAATCCATTTTATATTTATTCACGTTCAAACCTAAATACTCCTCGTGTTCTGTGCTTCACCTCGTGCCCCAAACAGAACCTCCAAAACCTCCAAAGCCTCTGGGGAACCTGCACGAGAACAGTTCTGTTTTAAATACGTTTTTCTTGGTCATAATCAGTGGTGGATGAAGTACTCCATTTTGTTGATAATGGAGAATAAGATCACCCGAAAAAATCTACGTAGTGGTGTAAAAATGTACTCTAGAAATCAAAAGTATCTTGCACATTTTTAGAACAATTAAAGGGTTAAATGTAGTGATTTTGATGAATAACTTTAAAATCTGCTAAATTCTTTATTTGATTTAATTTTTTCTAGTTGTTTGTTGAATTTTGGTTTGCTCAGAGTTGGGATGGAAACTCAAATGTGCTAATACAAATACATTTCAGCCATTTCAGCAGATCTCAAACCATAAAGAAAGTAGTTTTTAATTTTAAGTCCAGATCTAAAATGGAATAAAAGTAAAAAGTAAAGAAACCTAATAACTGTACTTAAATATTGTACTGTACTTTATGACCAGTGGTGGAATGTAACAATTAAAACCCAATTCAATTTTTTTTTTTTTTTTTTTTTTTTGTAGTGAATAAAACCACTCACAGTTTCAGTTTCACTTTTATTCTGGACGTCAACACGGAGGATCCCTCAGGGCAGAACCTGTGACACGATTCAAAGAGTTAGAAACTTAAAAAAAAAAAAAAAAATGCTGCACTGTGTAACATTTTTAGTCAAGGGTCCTCCACGTGTTGTCTCCATGGAAACGTTATTGCTTTGTCTAGAATGTTCCACAGTTTAGTTTAAATGCAAGACAAGTAATCTGAACATCTGTAGCATTCGAACAGCACTAATTTCTCTGTCTCTGGTAATATCTACATCATGAAATCTTTTTTTTTTTTTTTTTAATTGTAGAATCAGTCTGAGTGAGCAAGTTCCTTTTGTTTTAGTCATGATCATAATGTTAGTTTTGCTCAGTTGCCTTGTTGTTTCCTTTAAGTTTTCGATCTTTCTTCTCTTGATATTTGTGGATAAATTGTTCATGTTAGAATGTTTATCGTTTGTGGAGTTTGTTGGTTGAAGATTTGGTGATGGAGCAGATTTATGAAACTGCTGGAGAAAACGACACATTTAGACACACATTTAGACACATTTAGACACAGAAAACCTTTAACCGGAAGCAGTGGCAGAGTTCGCAGTTTGGGGGCCCTAAGCGAACTTGAGTTTGGGGCCCTCACTATAATGCACTGTTTGTTTTTTTATATATATATATTTACTGTCTGTTTTTCCCCATTGTTCTTGAGACATGCACATCTCCATTTATTTAAATTATGTTGGATTGGAAACTTGTCTTACTAGTTCGGTTCTATTTTTTCGAGTAGAATTTTGACATTTTTTTTTTAACATCCATTACATATGATTAATTTTCTTATGATTAATGTTTAAAAGTTAAACTACTGTCATTTAATGTCATATTGAGACAAAATCAAATTGCTGTGAGGCCTCGGTCATTGGTTGTGGGGGGGGGGGGGGCCTCCAGGTTTGGGGGCCCCAAGCAGCCACCTACTTTTGCCTAATGGTAGCGCCACCTCTGACCACAAGTTCCACAAACCTGATGTTGTGAAAAAGTTCTATTGTGCTGTAAAAATAAACTTGCTTTGCCTACATTACAGGTCAGATCTGTGGAGAGGCGTCCCCATTCACAAAAGGAATCAGTGTATTTTTGAGCAACAGAAACAACCGTAATGAATAAATAAAATACTAGATGGAAATGTTAAGTTAAACCATGGAACGTTCCAAAAAGCAAAGCAGTAAAATCTCCATGGAGACAGCAGGTTACAGACTCTTCATCAGAAAAGTTACACAGTGCACCTTTAAACGATGTAAGAGTTCAGAGTGAGTGTCAGACCTCTGTCCCAGTGCAGCGGAGGAGGCGGCTCCTCTTCGTCGTCTCTGAGCCTGTGGTGCAGCAGCTTCCTCTGCGGCAGCTCTGAACAAACCAAACAATAAAGTCACATGAAGAAAAATCACCAGAAATCAAGGTTTAAAATGTAAAAGTGATTTATGTCGCGACTCGGTTTAACTCTTGGAGGAGTGATGTCGATGTTCTGAGGTTCTGACTCGCCTTGTCTTTGCAGTGGAGTTGTGGTCTTCCTCCTCACTGCAGCTTCAGTCCATCTGCTCGACTCCAACACAGACTCCTCCCTGCACAGACGCTCTGGAGAGAAGACGAGAAGGTCAGAAGAACAGAGGGAAGAAGAAGAGGGTCAGAGGAGCAGAGCAGAGGAGAGCATCTGAGAAGAAGGTCAGACGGAGCAGAAGAGGAGAAGGTCAGATGGAGGAGAAGAGAAGAGGGGCAGAAGAGCAGAGGAGAAGGTCAGAGGAGAAATTCCAGAGAAGGGGAAAGAAGAAGAGGAAAGAAGAAGAGGGTTAGATGGAGCAAAGGAGATGGAGCAGAGGAGAAGGTGGTCAAGATGGAGCAGAGGAGAGCGTCAGAGGAGCAGTTTCAGCAGAGGAAAAGAGGAAAGAAGAAGAGGGTTAGATGGAGCAAAGGAGAGGGTCAGAGGAGCCTTAGGTCAGATGGAGCAGAGGAGAAGGTCAGAGGAACAAAAGAGGAGAGGAGAGGAGCAGAGGAGGCAAGGGCCAGATGATGAGATCAGATGGAGCAGAGGATTATGTCAGGAGGAGAGGGTCAGAGGAGGAGAAGATTACCCTGGCAGACCCTGTGGCGCTCCTTCCCCTCCGCTCCGTCCTCCTCTTGGGCGTCTCTCCTCTCTTGGCCCTGGTCCGGTTCGGTCTGGTCTCTGGTCGGTCCTCGTCTGGTCCAGGTCTTGGTGAGTCTGCGGGGGAGGGGCTGGGTCTTTCTGGGTCCGGAGTGTTTTCGGACGACCACCCGGATCGGCTGCTCACACGAACGCACGTATCTGACACAAACAAGCACGCAATTAAGAAGTGAACAAGACTGAAAATCTGATCTAGCGAGGACAAGATGAGGGTGAAAAAATTAGGGCTGCACAATTTTGGAAAAAAAAGATACATCGCAAAATATCACAAACGAGGGCAGAAGCGAGAATGAAAATTAAAATTTTTGCGGACGTGGGCAGGAGCGCGATTGAAAATTCTGTTCTGCGCAGACCTCTGTTTCATGACGAGAAGAACGTTTGTGTATATTTATGAGCCATGGTTGTGGATTTCTTCCAGTCTTCAGTGCAGAATAGTGACGTTTGTGTCTTGTTGATAACGTGTAGGTGGATGAATGTGACCTGACCGTTCAGACTGAAGTCACATGTCAAAAGATCAGATATGTATCAGTTTCAGGAGCACATATCCAAGTGTCCTGGGTCACATTTGAAAAAAAATCGGATCTGTGTGGTTCAGACTGTCAATAAAAGATCAGATACAGGAACATAGAGGCCAAAAAAAAAAAAAAAAAAAAATCATATTTGGGTCACTTCAGGCTGCAGCTGAACGTAGCCCAAGTCAGCTCTTTATGATCAGGTTGTGTTAAAAATAAAGCTCAGATTAGGCCAAGTTTATATGATGATGGTCTGAACAGAAGATGTAAAAGTGGCGTCGCGTTTTCACTTTATATTTCGCATTTAGACGAGTGTTTTCAGGAGTAAATCTGCGTTCATACGGTGACGCAAAAGTGTGTGGAATTGGATTGTGTGTTTGTACTTAAAGCAACAAGAGCGTCTTTGGACGTACAGAAGTTTTCACATCACACATTTTCAAGTCGTCCCACCATCGACTGGTTCTCCAGGTCTCGTCCAGATCCGTCTGACTCGACTCAGACGACCTGGTGCGTCCAGAATCTGACAGGTGATTGCAAATCCTTCTCTGGTCACTAATAGTGTCTCTGCAGATTCTCCACATTTGTTGGGAGACTCGTGTAAGTTTATTACGACGCCTGGAAATGATCCGACATGTTTGTTTTTGTGTCCTGTATGTATGTGACGTAAACGTGTACACGACCTGAGCACATCTGACCAGAGTTTTGTGTCTTGGGCAACGTAGATGGAAACACTACGGTGGAGCCTATTCAACTTTTCCACTCTGGAGGCTGGTTTCAGATTTTTGCGTTTTTTAGCACCAAAAACGCCGTCACCGTCTAAACGAAAGACACTTCCCATAAAATATTTTCTCGTTTTTACCCGCAAGTATTCTCGTGTAAACAGACCTTTAAACTCTAACAGAGCTTCAGACAGAGCAGTGCCTACAGTTAGCTTCACACAGAACATTGATGACATCAGCAGCAGATTGCAATGACCGACTGACCGACGACCGCGCTCACCTCCCGTCCTCCTCGGACTCGCCCTCGTCCAGGTACATCTTGGTGCAGTGCACTTTGCTCCTGGTCGCCGCTCCTCTGGGCAGGCTCCTCCCGCAGCACGCGCACACGAAACGCTTCGACCCCAACGCCAAGATCTCGTCCACCTCGTCCCCGCCGCCGCCGCCGCACACCACCTCCCCCAGCCGCCTGCCCGCCGCCAACACCGGCCTCTGCACCAGCTCCACCTCCTCCAGGTCCGTGGAGAACATCTCGTCCCTGGAGGAGAGCTCGTCCAGGGAGGGGCTCAGGACGCTCATGCGCTCGTGCGTCGACGGCATCGAGAGGTAGTTGTAGTAATACGGCGATTGGGAAAGTCGGCCGATCCCTTTGGCTTCCGACTCCAGCTCAAACGGTAACTTCAGGATCTGGAAACTTGCATCGACTTGGAGATTTTGGACGATGTTTTCCTCTAGATCTGCTTCGTCTGGCTTGGTTTGCTCTTCGCATGTCGGGACGTTCTGATCCGTCGCGATCGTATCTGGTTGAATACTCGCGACGTCTTGTCCGTTTTCCATCGGCACGACTTGTTCTTTCGCTTTTTCGTCGTTTTCTTCTTGCACGGACGAACTATCGAGAGGCAATTCTTCTTCTTCTACGCCTCTTGCCCAACATTCTTGAGGACTCAGTGTGTCGAGACTCCTGTGGCTGGAATCGCCGTCGTAAACCGCGATCGTCGAGAACGTGGAAGTCGGCGTCTCCAAGCAGCTCTCGTTTTTGTTCACTTCGCGGCCGACGGTTTGTTCCTTCTTCTTCGTCTTCTCGTCCGTCGGCGTGAACATGGCGGACGACTGCGAGGCCACGCCCGAGTCCAGCTCCCGGTCGGTGCCCTGGGCGTCGCCGGCTTGCATTTTGTCCAGACATTCTATGAGTTTGGCGATGGCGTCGCTGGGGTCGGTCTGGGCCTCGGAGCTGGCGGTTTCTCGGTGTCCCGGCGGGTGTGGAGGTGGAGGTGGAGGAGGCTGGTGGCGGGCGGAGTTGTCCCAGTGAGGAGACGGGAAGCGGGGCTCGAACATGCGGCGGTAGTCGACGGGGTAGAGCGGCGCGTGCGGGAAAACGAAGCCTGGATACTGAACGTACTGGTACGGGTTCAGACACGGACGACTCAGGTTAAAACCTGCGGAGAAAATAAAGAAACGTTAATGCAGTGTCGTCCAGAAAAGTCAATTCTCTGCTCCACCTGACACTCTCCTCTTCACCCTCAACTCCTTTCCTCCTCTCCTGACCACTCCCCTCCCCTCTTCACCCTTGCCTCCTCTCCTCTTCACCTTTCCTCATCCTGACTCTCTTCCTTTCCTCCACCTTTCCTCCACCTTTCCTCCACCTTTCCTCCACCTTTCCTCCACCTTTCCTCCTCTGCTCCTTCACTCCTTTCTCCTCTCCTGACCCTCCTCCTCTTCACCCTTGCCTCCTCTCCTCTCCACCTTTCCTCCTCTGCTCCTTCAACTCCTTTCCTCACTCTGCGCCTCTTCACCCTGGCCTCCTTTCTCCCCTCCCCTTCTCTCCTTCATGCTCCTCTCCTCCTCTTCCACACCCTCGCCTCCTCTCCTCCTCTTCCACACCCTCGCCTCCTTTCCTCCTCTTCCACACCCTCGCCTCCTTTCCTCCTCTCCTCCCTCACCCTCGCCTCCTTTCCTCCTCTCCTCCACACCTCGCCTCCTTTCCTCCTCCCACTCCTCTTCACCCTCGCCTCCTTTCCTCCTCCCTCCCTCTACACCTCGCCTCCTTTTCCTCCTCTACACCCTCGCCTCCTTTCCTCCTCTACACCCTCGCCTCCTTTCCTCCTCCTCTACACCCTCGCCTCCTTTCCTCCTCCTCTACACCCTCGCCTCCTTCCTCCTCCTCCTCTACACCCTCGCCTCCTTTCCTCCTCCTCTACACCCTCGCCTCCTTTCCTCCTCCTCTACACCCTCGCCTCCTTTCCTCCTCCTCTACACCCTCCTTTCCCTCCTCCTCTTCACCCTCGCCTCTTTCTCCTCCTCTTCCCTCACCTCCTTTCCTCCTCCTCTACACCCTCACCTCCTTTCCTCCTCCTCTACACCCTCACCTCCTTTCCTCCTCCTCTCACACCCTTCACCTCCTTTCCTCCTCCTCTACACCCTCGCCTCCTTTCCTCCTCCTCTACACCCTCACCTCCTTTCCTCCTCCTTTCTCCCTCTTCTCCCTCTTCTCCCTCCTCACCTGTGGGCAGAGCGTAGTGTCCGTAGGGGTGGTTCATCTGCCAGTGCTGGTACATGTAGTAGGGCTGAGATGGAGGCTGGACGTAGAAGAAGGGTCTGTGGTGTGTCCTCTGCCCCCCGCCGCCGCCGCTGCCGCCGTCCATCGAGTGTGGAGCTTTACCGCCATCTGCAGGACACACCGGGAATTACACCGAGACACACAAAGATCTGGATCTAGAATCATCTGTAACACTTCTCCAGTCCATTTGAAGATGCTCTAGTTCACTTTAACAGTTTATTCTTGTCGTTCTGCTCAGAATGTTCCCCAGCATGGCATTAAATTTAAACCTGCATAGACACAAGCACCAGCCCAAGTTACATGTCAGATTTGCGGAGAGGCGAGGAAGTTCACAGTAATATGAACTGCCTCGTACAAGTGGATTTATTTTGGCAGTAAAAACACGTGGAACTGAACTAATTAATAGAATAAAATTGAATGCCATACTACGGAACATTTCAGGTGAGACGACAACAACCCGATGATGAAACTACTACCAGAAAACGGAGCAACTTTAAGGCTGGAATTTTCCACAGTTTTATTCACTTTACTGTAAACAACAAGATCTTTGAATGGTGGTACAACAATATCAGTGATGTGAAGGTGACTTTACAAATGTAATCCCCTACAGATTACAGATTACACACCCCAAAATGTAGTTTGTAACGTAATCCATTAAATTACTTAAAGTGAGTAATGTAATCTGAATACTTTGGATTACTTGATTTGCTGTAGAGAAGCAAAGACGAGGAAATCTTCACATAAGAAGTTTTGTCTGATAAAAGAAAATAAAAAGCCCAGATTTTACTGAACCAAATTAAAAATATTATTGATAGAAGAAGAAGAGACACGTCCACACAGCAGGTTTTAGTCCTGGTTTTAGTCCTGGTTTTAGTCCTGGTTTTAGTCCTGGTTTTAGTCCTGGTTTTAGTCCTGGTTTTAGTCCTGGTTTTAGTCCTGGTTTTAGTCCTGGTTTAGTCCTGGTTTAGTCCTGGTTTTAGTCCTGGTTTTAGTCCTGGTTTTAGTCCTGGTTTTAGTCCTGGTTTTAGACCTGGTTTTAGACCTGGTTTTAGACCTGGTTTTAGACCTGGTTTTAGACCTGGTTTTAGTCCTGGTTTTAGTCCTGGTTTAGTGTCTGGCAATGAGTGGAATTACGAGAAAAAAAAAAAGGAAAAAAAAGGGGATATAGCCCAAAATGTGAAAACAGGTAAATCTCGCCGTGTAATCCATTTATTTTAACAAAGTAACTGTAATCCAATTACCACTCACTGAAACAGTAACTGTAACTGAATACATTTACTCATAATTTGTACTCTGATTACGTAACTCCAGCACATGTAATCTGTTACTCCCCAACACTGAACAATATCAACAAAATAAATAAACAAACATGGATATGCACATGTACAGATTTGGGACCTGGTGCTCAAAAAAAGGAGGATGAAGCTTAAAAAAAACTTGGTGTCCTACCCCAATCACATGGTTCACACTTGATCATTTTATAAGTTTATTGTTTATGATCGTACAAAATAAACAACACTCAGAATGAAAAATGTAGGACTTTTTTCCCCCTATGTTTATGCACTGCAAAAAAACTAAATCTAGTCATGTTCAGATGACTTGAGTAAATTTAATTTGACAAGTAAAATGATCTGCCAGTAGAACAGGACTTTTTGTACTTAAAATATGAAAATACAACTTGCTGCACTTAAAATAAGAAACAAAATCTAGTGTTGCTTGAATTAAGAAAAACACATTTATTCTGTTGGTCGATAATTTTACTTTTCAAGTTGAATCAACTCAAATAAAGTCAAATGTTCTTAATTTAAGTCATTCTAACTTACCTAAATATTGTTTATTGTTTATCGTTTATGATCGTACAATGAGAATGAAACAAAGAAAGGATGATTTTTTTTTTTCCCTTCGTTTATGGTCATACAAACTAATAATGATAAAGAAGGCACAAAGTTTCTGACAGTTTGGAACCAGCCAATCAACAAGAGAACTTATTTCACCTGTGATAAAGGATCACAATTATCACATATTTACTTTTAACACAGTGTCATCTTAAATAAGAGAAGTGTACAAATACTTTCAATATCCTAAGTCATTTAAATTGTGTAGATAAAAGTAACAGCAGGCCTTTTTGAGTACATGTAAAAATAAAACAAAACAAAAAAAGTCACAGTCCTACCTTCCATTTTTGTCTTGTGTTTTTCTTTATTTTGGTGGTTAAAACTCCTGTGTCCACGGCCTCAGAATCCTCCACGAAAATAAACCCAGAGAAACGTGTCTGTGTGCTGCTCGAGTTCAGACGTTTCTCCCCAAAAACCTGCAAACATGAAGAAAATCAGTGAAATCCAAGTCACCTGCTGCACCTGAGGACGAGGCTGAGGCTGTGGGGGGTTCAGGGACCAGAGGAGATGAGAGTGACAAGAGCAAAACACAAGAGTAAAATGTAAGTAAAATATCTGTCTATTGGCTATTTCTGAATTTTTAATTATGGGAAATGTTTGACTTTTTTTTTTTTTTCAAACTTTATAATATAATAATATTATTTTATTTATTAGACACAGACTTTGACTTGTACATTTACATTTATATATTTATGACTTATTTTACACCAGTCTCTTGTTCTTTTTTACTACTTATTTAGAATGTATTATTACCGTTTATATTTTTTTCTCTTTGTTATTCTATTATATAATTTCCCTTGTGGATCAGTAAAGTTTGTCTAAGTCTTTGGAATAACCTGCCTGAAGAGATAAGGCTTAAATAACTTCTTTATTTATTTTTTTGTTTTATTTAACAGAGACAGTGTATATTAATCAACATTTCTGTAAATGTACCAGAATTAGCCAGCGAGGTTATTTTTCATCTGTAGTTAAGACTAATGTTTATCGGTTGACTTTCCTTTAACTGGTTTTAGCTTGATTTTATTCTTTATTTATTTTTATTCCATTACTTTTTATTTATTTATTATAATGAATTGAAGTGTTTGCATCATTGTCTGTTTTGTATGCCTTCTGTATGCCTTTTTTATTCTTTTTGTATTGTTCTTTGCTGCTTGTACAGAACTTTGTAAACCATTTTTTAAAAGTGCTTTGTAAACAGTGGCAGAGTTTGAAATTTGGGGGACCTAGGTGAACTTTTGTTTGTTTGTTTGTTTTTAGTTTAGTTTAGTTTATATATATATATATATATATATATATATATATATATATATATATATATATATATATATGTGTGTGTGTGTGTGTGTGTGTGTGTGTGTGTGTGTATTTATTTATTTATTTATTTTCTGTTTTTCCCCATTGTTCTTGAGACATGCACATCTCTATTTATTTGAACTGTGGTGATTGTAAACTTGACTTATTAGTTCTGTCACCTACTAGACAACCAGAGCTCAAAGTAGTTAGATTTTTTTGCAAGTACAATTACATTTTATTATTATTATTATTATTATTATTATTATTATTATTATTATTTTATTATTATTATTTGTTTGTTTGTGTATTTATTTATTTATCTTTTTTTTTTTAAGACCTGACTTAACCTTGACTAAATTCCCGTGAATACCATCAGTAAGAATATCTCTGTCCGTGAGCCTCGTAAATCTCTCTCATTCATAAAAAAACTGGATGTTTTTGTAGTACACGCTTCTGTCCAGCAGGGGGCCGCGTTCTCTGCCCCATATCAACGCGTGCGCAGTGTCCTTTGTTTGACGCATGCGCACTCTCACTCCTCGGCCTGTAGTCTTTCAGGCGCTGGAAGGTTGTCCGCTGCTCTTCTCTTCCAACAACCCGATTTACGCCCGAAAAAACCCTGCGGAGCGACGCGTTTCGCACTTTATCCGCGTAAAGAAAAGCCCCCGCGACACGTAAGTACGCTTTTAGTCCTCAGAGTTACCTCAAAACGCCCGGATTGGAGCTTATTTTAACGCTGAAGTCGCGTTTTACCACTTAGCCTTTAGCTTAGCCTCCGAGCTAGCAGCATGACCGCTCTGTTTTACGCTCAGCTTTGATTTTCTGACCTTTTCGCTTATTTTTACGGTCTAATTTTTATTTTCCACACCTAAAGTAGCTGCCAACTTACACTGACGCGCATCGGAGTGTTTTTTGCGGATGAAATGAACGAAACGCCGGATCTGTTTTGAGCTAAAGGTGCTAAAGTTGCGGCTAAACCCATCGTCTCCCCGCTGAGTAACATTACATCAGGCGAAGAAGCGGCTGTTTATGTTGTTTATCGAGCAAAATCCGGCTAATTACGACATTTTCCAAACTAAATATTGTTCTGTCATCTTCACAAGAGCGTATTTAAGCTCAAGATTATTGCCAGATTCGTGTAAAAAATTTTAATAATAGTTAAAAAAAAAAAAAAAGAGAGAGACAATTGGAGCTGTGAGATGAAGCCCGGGTCCGTCCAACACACGGTGACACTGGTGTTTTGTTGATGCCGAACGTCAGAACAGAAAAATGTCCCGACTTTCAGAACAAACACACCTGCGTATGTACACGTTTTTTCTGTTTTAATGATTCTGGATGACGCGTGTTTTCTGAAATCTGTGAGAAGTGCGTGAATTTTTAGGCGTAAAGGAAAACAGGTTTAAATTGTCAGTTGACTTTTTAAAGATTTCAACTATTTCTGGAGGTTTTTTTTTTAATCGAGAGAATAATAAATAATTTGAACATCCAGCTGTGTGTCTGTCAGGATGAAACGAATGACAAGAATAAACTGTTTGATTATGGAAAAAAAAAAAAACATTACAATTGTTTTGGTCAATATTGAAATCAGGATTATTCAAACGATTTTTTAGTTACACGATGCATTTATTCAGCATTTCTCTCTCTAAAAACACTTTGCTATTGATAATTTGCGCAAAACTTGGAAAATTTAGAATAAATATCAGCTACAAATCTGAACCTTAGAGCAGTTTTGTGATGAATAAAATATAAAATTAGTAAAATATGCTTAATGAGATGTAGAAAAACATAAATGCATCCAAAATAAACTATATATCCAGCTGTTCCACAATCTCTATACTTAAAAATAAATATACTTATTTATGTTAAAAAATATCCCAAAATAAACTTTGTTCAATTTTGTTTCAACTCGATTATATGAGTTTGGAGATCATTTGACACACAAATCGAAATTGCGACCAAAATTTAATTGCACAGACTTACTCCTTCCTATTTATTTAGACTTTATTTATATTTTAAACTTAACTCAAAATGTTGGTATTTAGTTGGTAATGTTGGTATTTTAAATAACTATAACATAAATTTGTGGTATTTATCAGACATTAGGAGTTCGTTGAAATGTTGGATCATTGTCTTTTCTTCAACATTGTTTGGCTTTTGTAGTTTTTGTACCAATTGTATTTATCTGTTATTATAGTCTATGTAAATTTGTGAAATTATGCCCCACATTAGGGCTGGGGATCATTCAGAAGTGGCCGATACGACACATACCTCGATACAGTTCACATTTGATTTGATACGATTCAATAAAAAATCTAGTCTGTGATATCAAGTCTTTGTTAAACCACGTCTTGTGAAAAGTTCATATGAAACACAAATATTTAAATCATCAAAACAGTGAAAATATCAAATGTGTCGCATAAACGAGTTTCCTTCCACTAAACAAACAACAAAACTGCAGCTGTGTGACAAAATGGGCGTTTGTCTCATTTTAAATTCACCTTAGTTTATGTTAAACATTTTGATTTTGAAACGACATCTTTGCTTTAAAAAATTACCTGGAACCAACACTCACCTGGGGGAGGCACTTCCTGCTGGGCGGAGTTTAAAGGCAAACAGGTGTCATCAGTTAAGAGAGAGACTTCTGTGCAGGTTGTGTGGTGTTTTTTTTAATTTTATTTGAGTTACTTATTTTCAGTTTATTTGTACTTTTGTTGGGGTTAAATCCAGAAGTCTGTTTTAAAATAAATTTTGTCTGGGTAAACATGCTTTTTTTGTTGTCATCTGCCTCCTACTTTGGCCACTTTGGCCAGCTTCCCCTCAAACTGTAACAAAATCATTTATTAAGATTTATCTAAAAATACTCTTGGTGATATATCGATACAGCAGCCCATGATATCGATACTGTATCATCACATTAAATTATATGATATTTCAGTATTTTTGCACAGCCCTAGCCCACATGGTTTACATTTTTATAGTTCAGCATCTTTATTTTGTACTAAACTACAATTATTTAGATCTAAAAAAACAATCACCAGGGACGACAGGAGGAAATTAACTCTGACACTACAACCACAAAGCGTCTCTCCTGTTAAACGTTCATGTTTACTGTGCAAGTTTCATAAATAAAAATGGATAGATAATGGAATGACCTTTGCAAAGAACAAAATATTCTGTCTTTTTTTATAGAAATATATTGTTAATGCAGTGTGCCCTATTATTCATGTAATCACAATTTTAAAAATCCAATTTTTTTTTTTTTCTATAGTCATGCACATTAGGGGATTGCAAAAATATCAATGTATCGTATCGTTTAATGTGATGATACAGGATCGATATCATGGGCTGCTGTATCGATATATCACCAAGAGTACTTTTTTGGTATGTTTTAGTAAATTATTTTGTTACAGTTTTGTTGTTTGTTCAGAGGAAGGAAACTTTTTTTATGCGACACATTTGATATTTTCACTGTTTTGATTAAAATGTTTGTGTTTCATATGAACTTTGCACAAGAAGTGGTTTAACAAAGACTTTTAATATCACAGACATGACTTAGACTTTTTTGAAATTTTTTATTGAATCGTGTCGATTTCAAATATATCGTATTGAACAGAAAACTCACTGTATCGAGGTTTGTATCGTATCGGCAACTTCTTAATGATACCAGACCAAATACTCATTGATCTTTGTTTCACTCTGAGTTGAGTTCTACACATTTTTATTGCTCTTGCTGGAAAATCATGATGAATATTTGAATCTGTTTGGTCGAAATGTTAAACAACAGTGAAAAATCTTAAGTGAAATCCAGTTGAGAGAAAAGTTCAGACATCTTCCCTGTCCAAAAAAAGCACAAAGCTCCTCGTATTTTACAAACTAATTGACATTAAAACAGGCTGAAGTCCATCTGTCTGCGCCGCCACGTTTGTTTTGGTTCATTTGGGGCTTCGCCTTTGGCTTCTGCACAAACCCCAGTGCTGCTCTGTGATTGGTCCAAACGCTGAACCGTACAGCGGGAGTCTGTGAGTTCACAAACCGTCCGTCTTTCTGTGCAGTGGAGTTTATGCCTCTGTGCAGCCCCTTCGTAGAAACATAAACTCCACTCCTCTCCACTTGAGCAGGATCCCCCCTCGGCCAGTCCCTGTCAGACTGTCCCTGTCAGTCCCTGTCGGTGACTGATGCGACACCAGAGACGTGCTCTAGAGTTTCAGGTGGTCCTCGTCTCATTCAGAGCCGCGTAAAGCCCAGTGTAAAACAGTTTATAAATACGCTCGTGTTCAGGTATCGAGTGACGCTGCACAGAGGATTATCACACAGGAAGTGACACTGACACGGCCGAGAGGGACACGGGGCCCACGCCGCTGTGAGGGGGGAGAGAGAGACCCAGGCCGCCGTGAGGGGGGAGAGAGAGACCCAAGGGGGGAGAGAGAGACCCAGGCCGCCGTGAGGAAGGGGGAGAGAGACCCAGGCCGCCGTGAGGGGGGGGAGACCCAGGCCGCCGTGAGGGGGAGACACGTGAGGGGGGGGAGAGACCCAGGCGCCGTGAGGGGGAGAGAGGGATACAGGCCGCCGTGAGGGGGGAGAGGGAGACCCAGGCTGCTGTGAGGGGGGAGAGAGGGATACAGGTCTTGGTGACGGGGAGAGAGAGAGACCCAGGCCCTGTGAGGGGGAGAGAGGAACACAGGACCTGGGCTGTGAGGGGAGAGAGAGAGGGAGGCCGCTGTGAGAGAGGACCCAGGTCACCGTGAGGGGAGAGAGAGGAACCAGGCCGTGAGGGTGGAGAGAGAGAGGGACCCAGGTCACCGTGAGGGAGGAGAGAGGGGGACCCAGGCCCGTGAGGGGGAGAGAAGGATTCAGGCCGCCGTGAGGGGGGAGAGAGAGGGCCCAGGTCACCGTGAGGGGAGAGAGAGACACCCAGGCCGCTGTGAGGGGAGAGAGAGAGACACCCAGGCCGCTGTGGGGGGAGCGTGAGGGACTGAGTCAGGATGAACCTCCAGACTAAGTTTAGACAAAAATCATGTGATAATCTGTAAGCCTGGATTTGTAATTGGGTCGACATGACCTCTTCTACTTCCGTCCTCACACCTGCACGACTCTACAGCCCGTCTCACTCGCATTTGCGCTCACGGTTTCAACGAGGACCACGGACGGCGAGAAAAGATCTGCAAGCCCCGTCTCCGGCCGTCCCCACCCGCAGTGTCATCACTACATCCACAAACTAAAGGAGGAGTGAGCACCGCAGCAGGAGTCCACACCGGAGCCACACCGGAGCCACACCGGAGCCACCAGTCAATAGAAATCCCACGCCACTGGACGTCCTTTTCTGCCACAGCCATAGCTCTGCTGCGTCACATGTAAACAAACAGCACCACGTGACGATTAGTGCTGGGGATCATTAACAAGTTGCCAATATGATACACGCCTCGATACATAGGCCTCGATACTATACGAAAATAAAGGCTAAAAAATCATAGCTGTGATATTAAACGTCTTTGTTTAACCACTTCTTGTGCAAAGTTCATATAAATAAATACATATAAATATAAATGCATATAAATACAAACATTTAAATCATCAAAACAGTGAAAATGTCAAATGTGTCGCATACACGGTTTCCTTTCTCTAAACAAACAACAAAACTGTAGGTGTAAAAAAAAATAAGTAAAATATACAAAAAAAATACCTATGGCAATACATCGATACAGCAGCCCACGATACTGATACTGTATCATCACAGTAAATGATACGATATATTGATACTTCAGTATTTTTGCACATCTTTAGTGACGACACCAGCCGTGCAGGTGTGAGTCCGGCCGTAGAAAAGGTCACATCGACCTCATTACAAATCCTGGCCAACCGATTATCACATGATTTCTGTCTAATCTTAGTCTGCAGTTTCACTTTAAAAAAAATATTTATTTAAATTTAGAAAGAAACTCTGAGCAGATTCATGACTCAAGGGTCTGACTCGACACCAGCGTCATGCAGGAAAAGTACATCATAATTCTGTTTTTGTATAAAATTCAGTTATGTTAAGTATGTAAGTTACATTCAAAACGAAAAGCTACTTGTGCTCCTAACATTTTTTACTTTTTAACTTTAAAAAAAGTCAGCATAGAGCCCTGGCACTGGATGGCGTGAGGGAGAGAGTTACTGGTGCCACAGGGAAGACGTTGGACTTTCTGCCAGTTTTTATTTCATGTGGATAGGACCAGGAATTAGAGATGAACCATAAACCAGGTCAACAAATCTTCATCTGAGGATTCTGATCTGTCTCCAGCTCAGGTTCAACTTTAGAGACTCTACAGTGTTGTGTTCGGTCTTGTGAACTCAACTTGTTGTCTCGAGTCGAGTCAGTCCACTTCTATAAACGGCTCTATGGTTAAATCGTTTACCACAGTTCATCACTAACCCTCTTTCTTTCTCTTCTCTCTGTCACAGACTGTTGCAGATGTGTGGTCGGCCGAGCTCTTCGTCTCTACCTCCAGGTCTCCTCCGCCTCTGCGTCGCATGATCTCACCAGACCGCGGGCCCTCTGCCTCCCTCCCCTCCCCTCTCCACACCACCGCCGCCACCTCCACTGCTCATTTTAAACCCGCTCAAACCCCACCCACCCCCCTGCCTCCTCCCCTGGACACAGACACCTCCACCTTCGCCAGGGGAGGTGTTCGGACGCGACGCACGCCGTTCAGATCCTCACCTTTCTGAAGTTTCCTGGCCGTGTTCGCGTCCGGTTTTCGCGCCGGCGGAGGGATACGCATCGAAACTGGGGCGTGATTCGTGGGATGCGACGATGACGGAGGTGGTGGAGCCCCGGGCGGTGAACTCGGACTACGCTGTGTCACTCCTGGAGCAGCTGAAGTTCTTCTACGAGCAGAAGTTGCTCACAGATGTGGTCCTGCTGGTGGAGGACTCAGAGTTCCCCTGTCACAAGATGGTGCTGGCCACGTGCAGCTCCTACTTCAGGTGAGACTCTGGGAGCGGACGGAGGGAGGTCGTATCGAAGGGTAACAGACAGAAAAGGAAATTACTGTATTTTTTAGGGCTGTACATCATTAAGAAGCTACAGATACAATGAGTTTCCTTCCTCTGAACAAACAACAAAATTGTAGCTGTAACAAAATCATTTGGTAAAATAAACCAAAAAATACTCTTGGTGATATATCGATACAGCAGCCCACGATATCGATACTGTATCATCACATTAAACCGGTGTTTCCCAAACTTTTTTTCTGGGGACACACATTTTAAAAGTCACAAACCTTTGTGACCCAAGTCAATAGACATTATTTGTGAATCACAAAATAAAGTTGGATTTGAGCATTATTGAACATTAAGGAGGATATTTTATTGTTGACTGAGTGATCGTGGCTCTGAACTGTTAGTTTTACTCAAGTTTAAACAATGAAAAACAGTGAAGCAGCAATAAAAAAAATCCATAAGTCGACTATTTGGACATTAAATGTTTAACATTTCTTTTTCTTTTCAGCGTCAATTGAAGCAGCAATACTGGAACAAAATAGTCAAAGTAATGACAAAAAGATTAGAAATAATACAAAACATGTCTTAACATTTCTAATGAGACAGGTCCTGTGCGTTTTTGTAGCATGTTCCAGGAGGAGATTGCAACACACATGAGGCGCAGCACATGTCAGATCTCAATCTCATGTCAGAATTATATATCACAGACCGACATGCAGATCGTGACAAGGCGACCCAAAAAAATCTTTTACGAACTACCTGAGGGTCGCGACTCAGTCTTTAGAAATCAGTGCATTAAACGATATGATATATCGATATTTCTATATTTTTGCACACTCCTATAGGGTTCCCACGGTCATGGAAATCCTGGAAAAGTAAAGGAAATTAAAAATGTAATTTTCCAGGCCTGGAAAAGTCATGGAATTTCAGTATCTCTTTCACACAGCTCCAGTGTTCTGTTCAGTTCTCATGAGTCTGTTCTGATTATTTCTGAACGTCTGCGTCTTTTGTTTAAAAGAGACGACAATAAAAACACTGACAGGATTTTAAATGTTCAAAACTATAATCCCAAACCATAAGGTGAGTGGAAAGAGTTAACATTTCAGATTTATTTAAATCTGATCAGTTCTACACGTGTAGGTGCTGTAAAGTCATGGAAAATTCACTTTTCAGGTCATGGAAAAGTCATGGAAAAGTTTAGAAATTTTGTCAGTGAAAAAGAGTGGGAACCCTGCCTCTAGCATTTTTGTAGCATCTTCACGGCAAAAATCAGTTGACAGTTTTGAAAAACGATTAGAAATGTACTAAAATGGGCCTATAAATGAATGCAGGGGTGTCCAAACTATGGCCCAGGGACCAAATGTGGCCCTCTGAGCAATTTCTGTTGTCTTGCTGAAGTCGAGAAATAAGGTGATGTCACAGATTTAAAGGAACAGTGTCTAACTTTTTTCCTCACCTGAGGAAATGGAAAATTAAAACCATACTTCCCAACAATAGAGCTTTAATTCTGAATAAAAATGAATTCCGCTTTAAAAAGTCCACGTAAACACTTGATTCCTAATGAAAATAATTATTCTGAATTAAACTTAATTCTGAAGTAATTGGGTGTTTTATTCCAATTTTAAAGCCGAATTAATTTATCCCTCGATCATGTAAACATTTATTTTTCTTCCTTTCTCCACCCACACACGTTGAGCGGAATTAAATAAAGGCGATTTAACGTGTTTTCCGTGTAATCCTCAATTGAGAATTAGAGAATATTTTAATTTTGACCAATTCAGAATTGAGATTAGAGAATATTTTAATTTTGACCAATTCAGAATTGAGAGTCGGGTTTGAACACATTAATTTCTGTTTTTCAGTGCAAGAAAAACATCAAAAATGCATTTTAGTCTTGTTTATTTTGTCTAAAAAGTTACGTGGTAGAGCATTAATAATAAAAACTGCTCCACTGACTTTCTCTTTAAAACAGCAGAACAGATTAACGTTGATTTTATCGAATGTTTCTTTTTATTTTTAACAAAAGTGAAATTGCTCTTGTAGAACAGTATTTAATGATGTGATATTTTGGGTCTTTTGGGTAAAATGAGACAGACACACAAACCTGGTTCTTCTCATATAAAAGTCTTTAGCTGCTGCTTGTTCTTCTGATGTTATCTGCCCAAACGTTTGTTTCCTTATTTACAGTGTTTCATGTTTCACACTTAAGTTCTGAGCCGCTCCTGTTTCCATCAATAATTCAGCCTTTAATACAACAAGTGTCCCACATCCCCCACTTCAAACATTTAACGGTTTTATCTGCTCATTTCTGCTTCATTCTTTTAACTGTTTACCTCTGCGGAAAATATCGTCCGATTTGAAACTGCACGTCTGGAGGTACAAATACATTTTTGGACTTGGTAAAATTAAAGTGTTATGTGTTATGTGTGTGTAATTTGGAATTGGAAGTGATTCAGTTCAATTATGATTCTGTTATTTTCCTATCACATTCACTTTAAATTATAAACTAAATGTCATTTCCAAACTTTTTCCAATATTTTTTTGTACTCGTATAATTTCTTGGACCACTACTTTGTATTTTTGCTTGAGTAATATTATTTTGAAGTCACATTACCCTTACTTGAGTACAATTTTGATGGCTCTATCCTCTGATCTGTGGTAAAGGCTTTTTAACAGGTTTCTAACAACAAAATACAAGTGTTTTTTAGGGGTGTAACGATTCACAAAAATCACGGTTTGGTTGGAACAAAATGCTTAATCATTTGCATGTTTTATTTGTGTGCTTATGAAACCAAGAATTTGTTTTAACATCATACAAACGGGAAAATAAAATAAATGCAAAGTGCTGCTTGGTAAAACTAATAAGGAGGGGAGTGAAGGAGTGAGGACCAGGCTGCGACAACCGTAGTTTAGTGAGGATTCACGTGGTTCGGAGGGATGTAGTCAAGTCAGTGGGCAGTTGTTCTGAAGGCCGCCGCTCTAACTATAAAACGCTGCAGGAAACACTACACCGATCACAGACGAGTTCTCCGTGTAGCTGCACATGTAGTGGACGAATGTAAACTCAAACTCACAAACTGTGCGAACTCGCTCATGCACAGTCCTGCACCGAACCGAATGTCCCGTACAGAAACAGTTCATCACGAATACGCCCCTAATATTTACGTACATTCAAGTAAGAACATAAGACTGTGGAGCTCCGTCACAGCGTCACTGAAAGGCGTCAATTTAATTCAAGAGCAACACAAACAACCACAGAAAAAAGATGTCTGTATTAAACAGTACAGTAATATTACTTAAAAAGTCCTGGTAGAAATTTGAGTCATTCTGGGGAAGCTGACGAACCTACTGTATCTGAAACTTGAGTTCGCACATGCTCAGTACGGCCCCCGCGGTGAGAAATGAGGATACTGCATCTACAGGCCACAATATCCTGGACACTCTCAGGAAAGCTCAGTTAAAACCCAGATCCAGGAGACTAAAATCAGGATTCTACATGGACGCTCACATAACCAGGATACTGAATAAACCACACGCACTCATGGTTACGGCAGGGATCTTAACACACGTGTGGTTTATTACGACAGACAGTTAAACACATTTTGTATTTGTCTCTTTTGTTCCAGAGCGATGTTCATGAGCGGCCTGAGTGAGAGTAAACAGACTCACGTCCACCTGAGGAACGTGGACCCAGTGACTCTTCAGATCATCATCACGTACGCCTACACCGGGAACCTGGCCATAACCGACAGCACCGTGGAGCCGCTGTACGAGACCGCCTGCTTTCTACAGGTGAGACAGAGAGAGAGACGGGCTATACTAACACTAACCAGACTAAACCAGACTAACTTACACTTACACCGTGAACCTGGCCATAACAGACAGCACCGTGGAGCCTCTGAACGCATGATTACACCGATTGGCCGATCATGTTTGGCTCTGGTTTGAAACACGACTGAGGCAGCGGAGACCAGACTGATGTGCTCTGTATTAATTGAGAGATTGAAATAGAGAAAGAATTGGCTGTTAATAGTTTATTTCAGGTCCGTGTACCATTCATTCTTTTGAATCTTGGTGCCTGTTTTAGTTTTGATATTTTATTCCCTCTGGTTTATCTGAAGTTCTGCTGCTTAGCGCTGCGTGTGAATTCAGAGTCACCTGAACGAAGGAGAGTTTCTCTCTGTTTCCTGTTTCTCATCATGTAGTTCAACCATGACTTTTTAAGACACGAAAGTAAACACCTTGCTATAAAAGAAGACCACATGTTTGTCCACAAAATTGCAAATTGCTTATTCAGACTATAAGTCGCTCCGGAGTATAAGTCACACCAGCCATAGAAGAGAGAACAACAGACTGTTAACATCACATATTTCACAGTTCTTCAGATAAACTATAACATAAACAACAGAACAGAACAAGTTTAACAAACTCTCCATCTCACTCAATTCTTCATCCTCGGTGTCACTTCTGAACAACTCGACCTCCGGAGGTAAACGGAGCGCAGTTCCAGTTAGAATTATTCCGGCCTTTCTGAAGGCAGGATGGTTTCGGTGTCACTGAAGTCCAGACTTTGTCCATCCATCCAGTGACTTCAGAAAAGTTTCATGGTGCATCCTCCCGGTGTCACAAGTTTCTCTCTCACTCCAAACTTTTCTTTTTGCTGCTCGATTTCCGTTTTTCAGCTGCAGATTTCACGACTTGCAGTTTGTAAATCTGCAGAATCTGATTTTGTTTTCGGGGGCGTTTGTGTTCAGTCGTCTCAGTCTTTGTCTTTATAAGTTTAAAGTTTAAATGTTAAATTGTTCAGCGGTGCAGTGGTGCAGAAGTAACGGTGCGATCGACTGACATGATACAGACAGAACAGAGGCTCTTTCTGCAGGAGACATGCGCAGTAGAGCCAAGTGACAGTGGTGCAGGAGGAACAGGAGCAGCAGATCCTCACACACAAGACTAGAACCTCTAATATAGAAGTCACACCAGAAACACCCAAACCATGAAAAAAGTGCCACTTATAGTCTGAAAAATATGATATGTCCTTCTAGCAGCTGAACCTCAGGGGCAAATAAACCAGAGAGAATAAAACATCAAAATTAAAAAGGCACCGAGACAGTTTTTTGATTGGTTTTATTTGAAAGAAACTTTAAATTCAGTATTGGAAATGGAAGTCAAAATCAGTTTGTTTGTTTGACACTAAAACCAAATAATGAATTAATTTGTTTTCCCATTTTATTCTTTTTGAACAAACGGTACACGGACCATTTCATACGAATCTACGTTTGTAAATGTAACTTAGTCGCTGGTGTGTTCTGTTCCAGGTGGAGGACGTTCTGCTCCAGTGTCGCGATTACCTGGTGAAGAAAATCAACGCCGAGAACTGCGTGCGGATGCTGAGTTTCGGGGACCTCTTCAGCTGCAGCGAACTGAAACAGAGCGCCAAACGAATGGTCGAACACAAATTCCCCCTGGTTTACCGCCAAGACTCGTTTTTACAACTGTCCCACGAACTCCTCATCGACATCCTGAGCAGCGACAACCTCAACGTGGAGAAGGAGGAGACGGTTCGCGAGGCGGCCATGCTGTGGTTAGAGTACAACATGGACGCGCGGTCGCAGCACTTGTCGTCGGTTTTGAGTCAAATCCGCATCGACGCGTTGTCCGAGGTCACACAGAGAGCGTGGTTTCAAGGTTTACCGCCCAACGATAAATCCGTGGTGGTCCAAGGTTTGTACAAGTCGATGCCGAAGTTTTTCAAACCACGCCTGGGAATGACCAAAGAGGAAATGCTGATTTTCATGGAAGCTTTGTCCGAAACGCAAAGCGAAGCGATCGTCATGTCCAATCTGATCCCCACCACGGTCGTCTGCTACAGCCCGCAAGCAGAGAAGGTCTACAAGCTTTGCAACCCGCCTGGAAAACTACAGAAAGTCGGGACAGTAGTGACGCCGGATAACGACATTTTCATCGCCGGCGGTCAAATCCCGCTCAACAACTCCATCACGAATTACGGGAAAAGCGGGAAACTCCAAGCCGCTTTCCATTCGGTCAATAGCTTCTTCTGGTTCGACGCGCAGCAGAACGAATGGGCTCCCAAGACGCCGATGCTGTGCGCCAGAATAAAACCGTCGCTGGTGTACTGCGACGGCTGCATTTACGCGATCGGCGGCGACAACGTCAGCGGCGATCTGAACAAGCGGACCGTGGAGAGGTACGATTGCGAGAAAGACGACTGGACGATGGTGAGCCCGCTGCCCTTAGCGTGGAACTGGAGCACGTCCGTCGTCGCCAACGATTGCATCTACGTCATGACGCACGATTTGATGTACTGCTACTTCCCCAGAGCGGACACGTGGGTGGAGATGGCGATGAGGAAAACCAGCCGCTGTTTCGCCTCCGCCGCGGCTTTCGGCGACTTGATTTTCTACATCGGCGGGCTCCACGTCGTCAGCAACTCCGGTATCCGTTTGCCGACCAGCACCATTGACGGTTCGTCGGTCACCGTCGAGATCTACGACATCAACAAGAACGAGTGGAGGCTCGCCGCGAACATACCCGCGAAGCGCTACTCCGACCCGTGCGTCCGAGCTGTGGTTTTGCTAAATTCGCTTTGTATTTTCATGCGGGAGACTCACATGAACGAACGGGCGAAGTACGCGATCTACCAGTACGACGTGGAGCTGGACCGCTGGTTTCTACGGCAGCCCGTGTCCGAGCGCGTGCTGTGGGACTTGGGGAAGGACTTCCGTTGCGCGGTGGGAAAGCTGTACCCCTCGTGCTTGGCGGAATCGACCTGGAAACCGCCGACGTACCTGTTCTCACCGGACGGCGCCGAGGAGTTCGAAGTGGACGGGGAGTTGGTGTCTCTGCCTCAGTACAACTCGTAATTTCGCGTAAAAAAAAAACCAACAAAAAAACGACGGAAGATTTTTTTTGCTTCGGGGCGATATTTTTGGGACTTTTTCGGAAGCCAAACTAAACCAAGCAAGTTCGCGGTCCTTCCTTCGAGTATTTAGTGTCATCAGAACTGTTCAATCTGGACTTTTTGTGGTGGAGATGCACTTAAAAATGGTTGTATTGAAAAAAACTGTAAAAACTGAACCAAAACCTACGCCCGAAATGGAAAAAAAACAAACCCAAAATTCATCTGTAACTGTGGCTTCTCTCTTTAACTCATTCACCTGCTCTGCTCTTAAGACGTTGCATTAGTCTAGACGTAAATGGACCTATTTGAATGGTTTCCAATGCAAATAAACACGATATTGCTGCTGAAAATACGTTAGATTTTCAATAGATGTTTACGAAAAAAATCTAAATGTTTGAGCTTCTGTAGCATTTTAACATTTGACAGAAAACTGAAATACGAACTGCAAAAATAATCCAAGAATCCAACGCGTTTGTAGAGGTCAAAACTTCGGGGTTAGCAGCTTTTATTCTAAATATATGACGTAAAAATAAATAAAAATAAAACAAAATAGTTGAAGTGTTAAAAAGGGCCTGTACCAGATTTTTCTTCCGTGTATTTGCGCTAAACGTGCGTCGCCCCAGTACAAATATAACCTCGTGGGTCAGAATACGTCCGCTGTGTACTTGTACCGTCTGCATCTAAATTACGAAGCGTTTTTAATCGTCCGAGAAACGGGATGTGCGCCGTCAGCATGCTAGTCGTCGTCAGCAAACCTCCGCTTCGGTCTCCGAAAGTCGTGAAAAGCGCTTAAAATTTCATCGTGGTGAATATTTAAGATGTTCTGAACGCGTGAGGAAAGTGAGGAGGAACTGTTTTTCACGTTTTTTTTATGTTTTTTTTTTTTTAACACATTAAAAATCAGGTACAGCGCCTTTAATTACGGTCACTTGTCACGTTTACATGAGCTTTAATTCCAAATAAAAATAATGTAATTCTGCTTTAAAACGACCATGTAAACACTTAATTCCTAATGAAAATGATTGTTTCGGAATTCAACTTGATTCCGAAGTAAGTGGGTGGTTTATTTCGATTTTTAAAGCCGAATTAATTTATTCCTCGACGTAAACCAGGGGTGTCCAAACTTTTTTCATCAAGGGCCACAGATCTAAGGGCTGATATAGTGAATACCGTATTTTCCGCACTATTAGGCGCTCTGGATTTTAAGTCATTAAATGGTCTATTTTCGAACATTTTTCACAAATAAATCACACCGGACTTTAAACACAAACACAACAGTTAAATGGGTGAGTGGGACTTTGTTTGGCGTGTTCACGGTGACTCTGGGATTCGTTCAGTTGGGTCTAAAAGCGGCACATTGCACTCGCTTTTTTTTTTTTTCGGTTCGTTTCTCCGTTCCTTGTCGGTGTGGGTGTTTTTCTCTGCACTCTGGTCGTTTTATGTTGCGGTTGGAGGATTTTGAGTGCGTCCTATAGCGCGGAAAATACGGTAATTGAACTATGTGCATGTTTTAACACGTTAGAATGAGCCATCGTCTTTATTCGTGGTAAGATCCTTAAAACCGCACACTAAATATTAATTATTCGCTTTAACAAGGTAGATTTTCAAAAAACATTTTAATTGATGCAAGGTCGTTTGGGCCAATTCACCTGGAAGTCTGAGGGCCGAGAAAAATTCAGTTTGGACATGCCTGATGTAAACGTTTATTCTTTTTCAAAATAATTCCGGTCGTTCAGTTCGTGCTCGTTGGGTCGTCCTTCGATCCGGCTCCACCAGTCCCGTCTTCGGACTTTCCTCCACGTCTCTTTGGATTTATGAGCCACCGCTGCAGGAAAAGTTTGGGTCATGTTTGGAAGATAATTGTTCGTTCAGATTTTGAATTTTAAATACCGCTAAATTTTTCAGTTTGGAATTTTTAACTCTGAGAAAAAAAGTCTGAATTATTTTTATTCTGAATTTGAGTTGCTGAAATTTTAAGTGTACTTTTTCAACATTCAGAGTGTAAAATTTCACACAACAAAGATCCAAGAGGCAAAGCAGAAGAAGCGATCGATCCTGCGCGAGCGAGGAGTCCAGAGGCCGTTTCCTATTGGCCGCTCTCATTTGTGGGCGGGGCTTAAACTTGAGAAACCAAAGAGATAAGGTTTTGCTGAGGCGAATTCTGACCAATCAGATCGCTTCACTGCACCATTTCCTGCTTGTTACTACGTTAGATCGCATCATTTTGGATCGATTGCTTCTGAATTTATTTTTTTTAATTGCGAATTTTACGCTCTGAATTTTGACTGTTGAATTTGAGAAAATATTTGTGCTGAATATTTAAAAGGTGCCTTTTTAATTTTGAACACTTAAAATGTACACAGCAACTAAAATTCTGAATAAAAATAATTCAAGCATCTTTTTTCAGAGTTAAAAAATTCAACAGCATTTAAAACTCAAAATCTGATGAAATAAATTATTAAATAAATTATCTTCCATCATCGTGTTTGTGTTCATGGAGGAACGACAAACCGAGATAACGGAAAAGCCGGTAGCAGCTGGTAGAAGTTTGTGTGTTTGTGTTTTCTTCCGGTCGAGAACCCTTCGCCGAATTAAATAAAGACGATTTAACGTGTTATTTTAATTCAGAACAATTGATTCGGAATTAAAAACCATCATGTAAACGTGGTCGTTGAGCTTGTACTTTAAACCTGACAGTGTTGAGTTTCACATGGAGCTGTACGTTGCATTGGAGTCCATTCAAACCTGCCAACTAGAATCACTTTTGGTAGTTTCCGTGTCTCTTCGAACGGGGCCCGACCGAGACCCCGGACTTTCTCGGACCATCGGCCGCGGACGTGGAGATTTAAAAACCCGACGTCGGCGCAGAAGGAGCGGTCGGCGGCGGTCGTAAACGGCTGGCCCGGTTTACGCGTCTCGTCTCGCGGTTTTTGCCCGACGTCGCCTCATTTCGAGCTCCAGTCGTCCGCGGCGTCGTTTTTTACTCTTTAAGCCTTTTCTGCCACATGCACTTAGGTCTTCCACACAACCGGATAGTCAACCTCAGGACGGCCGTGTCGGAACTGCCACAACACGACGAACCAAACAGGGCTGTCAGAGGGGTGAGACCTGCTTTAGACCCGGTTTAGACCAACTTTAGACCTGGTTCTGTTGTGCCGTTGTCAGTTTATTTCAGAGCAGCTTTAGACCTGATTCGGTCTTGGTTTCATCCTGGTTTAAACCCGGTTTAGACCCCATTTAGACTTGGTTTAGACCCATTTTCTGTTGTGCAGTTGGCCGCACATGTCAGAGCGGCTTTAGACCTGATTCGGTTTTGGTTTTATCTGGGTTTAGTCCTGGGTTAGACCTTGTTCAGTCTTTTTAGTTTTTGTTTAGCTCTGGCTTAGACATTTTTAAGACCTTATTTAGACCCGGCTCAGTCCTGGTTTAGTCCCAGGATAGTGCTGGTTTAGACCCATTTTATTCCTGGTTCAGTTCTGTGTTTAGACCTTGGTTAAACCTGGTTCAGACCCAGTTTCTGTTGTGCCGTTGTCAGTATATGTCAGAGCGGCTTTACACCTGATTCAGTCTTTGGTTTATCCTGGTTTATTCATGGGTTTGACCTTGTTCAGTCCTTTAGTTTTTTGGTCCTGGCTCAGTCCTGGAATATTGCTGGTTTAAACCCATTTTATTCCTTTATTCCTGGTTTAGTCCTGGTTTAGTCCTGGTTTAGTCCTGGTTTAGTCCTGGGTTAGTCCTGGGTTAGACCATGTTCAGTCGTTTAGCTTTTAAGTCCTTAGTCTTTAGTCCTGATACAGAACTGTTTTAGTTCTGGCCTAGACTTGGTTAGGACCTTATTTAGATCTGGCTCAGTCCTTGTTTAGACCCATTTTAGACCTGGTTCAGACCTGTGTTTGGACCTGGTTTGGACCTGTGTTTAGACCTGATTCAGTCCCAGCTTATTCTTGGGTTAGACCTGATTCAGTCTTGGTTTCATGCTGGTTTAGTCCTGATTTAGATCTTGTTCAGTCCTTTTAGTTTTTGTTTCATCCTGTTACAGAACTGGTTTAGATCTAGTTTAGACCTGGTTCAGTCCTGGTTTAGACCTACTTTAGACCTGGTTCAGTCCTGGATTCTCTTGGCAGCTCTTTTCCAAAATTACTAAAACCCTTCTCAAGTCTCCGTGTCAAACAGACGATTGAAAACGAGCAGATAAACCGTCGTCACAGAGGTGGAAAATGTTACTGAATCGAGCTTTAACTCCTGAACTCTTGAACCGCAGTTTTGTGGTTGTGGCTTTTCCGACACGACGTCCGTTTGGTCCATGTCGTTTCTACAGAAAACCTCAACAGTCCACTCGCATGTTTGATTTCCCCCCATGCTGCTGACCGAGTTATTATGTAAGAACTAAGATATAAATATATTTTTCATATGTTTAAAATGTGTCTGACGCAGAGAATTAAGAATAACCAGGTCTATTTTGTAGCGGTTTTTATTTAATATTCAAGACTTTACTGTACTAGTCACTCATGGGTAGATTTCCATTTTAAAAAACACACAGGTAAACAGGTGGAAATTCTCGCCGCTGATTGGTCGGTTTGGCGAGAGTGGGCGGGCATATACAAAAAGGGGCGGGGCGTGTTGTACCTTAAAGGAACAGGAGCACAGGTGCTTCATGGCGGACATTTTGAGCATGTTTTTGGCTGCATTATATTCCTTTGGCACTGTATTTTGAATGAACGTTAATTTATTAAAAAATGTTTCGAACGTTCCTAAACCCGAGTCTGGTTTGGTTTGTTTTCTCTAATGTGTGATTTCAGTCTTTTCTTTTACACACATCTGTCTACATCAGGTTTGTCAAACTCATTTTGGTCCGGGGGCCGTATCCAACTGACTTTGATCCCAAAGGGGCCGGATCAGAAAACTCATGTCATATAAACCCCAAAAAAAACAAAGTTCAAATATTTGTGCAGAGAAACACAAATCTATTACAGAAATCTTTCTAAATTAACTCTCTTTTACAAAATATATTATTAAGAACCTGAAACTTGAAGAAAAACACAATTTCAACACGATGTTTTAACATGAACTTGTCTGCAAATAGGAATAAATCAATTTTTCTTGGAAAATCCTGCACTCAGCTCCACTTTTCTCACTTTTGACATTTTTCTGATGAGGGTGTCACGGTCAACAGTCAAAACGATCGTCCTTTAAGAGCGTTTGGAAAGAGACAAGTCTTCATTTGTGCTGCTCTGGTGGGAGGGGCCACGTACAGAGACGCTGGAGACGCTGCTGTGATAAACACCACAGAAAATTAACAAGATTTTAATAGAAAATATCATTAAAATATTTTAGTAGAAAATCAGCCGAGGGCCAGATTAAAGGTCTTGGAGGGCCGGATCTGGCCCCCGAGCCGTATGTTTGACACCTGTGGTCTACATCATCAGAGCTCCAAATGCGGTTTCATCTTGTGATGTCATGAAGTGGTAGTTTAACTTAACTATACCCAGGCCCATCAACATAAATTTGGGGGCCCGGACATAAAGTCACATGGGCGCCCCACTAATATGATGCTGGGTTTGTTTATCGGTCTCTGACTCGGCTCTCGGATATGAAGTCACGTCTGCGCTTCAACTGTTTTATGTTCTGTGTGTCCGACTTGGGAGAAAAACGTGGACACTAAACCAGAAAACTGTTGTTGCTTTAGTACTGGTCGAGTATCAGGCCCCATATTAAGTCTGTGCTTCAACTACACAACCTCCAGGAAGAATTCAGTATCAAGAGTTCAGTATTAGTGAAGTGAAAGTGTCGGTGTCGCGTGAGAGTCGGGCATTTTGGCACGTGAGCAGGAAATGGGCTAAAAACATGGACGACATCGACTACTGACCACTTAGACACAATAAGGTAAAGCCAACTCGGATTCGATCTGTCGGAATCCTTGCTCGGTCTCCTTTGTTCTTCCAAGTTCCGAGTGTCAGTGCGTGTCCTTGGACCTCCGACTCGTATGTATAAACGAACGCACCATTAATAAGGGCCCAGAATTCGAACCTTTGCCCTAAATATCCCTTTGTCCCCCATGTCCGTACCATAAAGGTAAAAAGTATAGAGATTAGAAAGTCCAGGGCTCAGATGATTTTAGTGAAGATGTAAAGTTTAAAAACACAGGAAACTACATTATACCGTATTTTCTGGACTATTGAGCGCACCTGAATATACACCGCATCAACTAAATTTTAACTAAATTAAAAACATTTTACATATATTGGCCGCACCTGAATATAAGCTGCAGGTGTCCATGTCTTCAAGAACCTTTTCAAGTTTGGCCGTCTGATTTCATCGCCTCTGAAAGTTTGTCTTTTTTTCCAGAAATTACGGTAGATCATAAAATAACAATATAAGTTGTTAAATAAATGTAAATATCAAATAAGGACGCTCTGTATCCAGTGTAAAGTTTCCTCTGCATTTGACCCATGATCCTTCAGTGTCTCTGGGTTAAACCTGGACTATTCTAGTGTAAATGAAACAAACAAAAAAATACAAAAACAAATACATTTCAAATTTTTAATACATCATTCTAATAGTATCACTTTTTCAATACATTAAAACTTCAAGAAAATATCTGTAGGATTCTTAATACATTCAAATAATTATTACAAAAATATCAGGGTAAAAAAGACCAACCGAAAGAAGCAGCTTCAAAACCATTTTCTAAAACTAAAAATCAAAAACACAAACTAAATGATGTAAAACTGGATCACGATGAAACGACGATGAAACGACGCTGGAGGGAAACAGCGGAAAAATACAGAAATATGGGACTTTATGGTTTTTATAATCTCACAAAACTGACTCTTATGAGATTTAAGTCGTGTTTTAATGTAGTTTACTTGTCAAAAACAGAGCTGGACTTGTGTTTTGTTTCATTCATGTTTGTCTGTTTACACCCTCAAAGCTCAAAACGAGTGCTCCTCCGTGTTTTTAAACTCCACACACCTTCATTCAAATAATTTCAGCCTTGGAATTTCTGATCTCAACTGAAGTCAAGGTAAAAGGAGCTGTTCATTTCAGTAGATCGTCAGTTCAAGAGCTGAAACCTGAAGGTGTCTGGAGTTTAAAAACACAGTGGAGCACTTTCTGTATCACCACATGACATCACAAGGTGGAATAGAGTGTTTTCTGGTTGAGAGAAGAACTCTAAAGCCTAAAAAACATGAAATTTGAAACCCAAAAACGTGTGAATGAAACAACAAAACCACAACTCCGGGTCCGTTTGTGACGAGGAAACGACATTAGAACAAAGAAATCAAAATAGACATTTTTCAAAATGACCCGAAGTTTCTCGCTTTAGGTTTTGGAGCTTCCGGTTAATGGTTTTCCAGCCGCTTCATAAATCTTCAACCAACAAACTCCACAAAGGAAAAACATTCTAACATGAATTTATCCACAACTATCAAGAGAAGAAAGATCGAAACTTAAAGGAAACAACAACGCAACTGAGCAAAACTAACATTATGATCATGACACAAATAAACTAATGCTATGATCATGAATAAAACAGAAGGAACTTGTTCACCCAAATTGATTCTACAATTAAAATTAAAATAGATTTAATGTCGTCGATATTCGCATAGACAGATTTGGCGGTTCAAATGCTCCACATCTCTAGGATCATAAAATTTGTAGTTTTTTGTAGTTGACGACGACGCATTAGTGACACTCGTTTTCCTTTAAGCTTTCGTCTTTCTTACCTTGACAGTTGTGGACGGGGCCAGAGTCCTGCACCCGCCCGCACCCGCGCAGTCCTGCACCCGCCCGCACCCGCGCAGTCCTGCACCCGCCCGCACCCGCGCAGTCCTGCACCCGCCCGCACCCGCGCAGTACAGCACCAAACCCGCCCGTTAACCCCTCATTTTAACAAAGTTAAGCCCGCACCCGCCCGGACCCAGGACTAACCTAGGACTGATTCCAGGACTGAGCCAGGAGGACTAAACCAGGACTTAACAAGGCCTAAACCAGGACTAAACAAGGCCTGAACTAGGACTAAACCAGGACTAAACAAGGCCTGAACTAGGACTAAACCAGGACTAACAAGGGCTGAACTAGGACTAAACCAGGACTAAACAAGGCCTGAACTAGGACTAAACCAGGACTAAACAAGGCCTGGCGTAGGACTAAAACAGGACTAAACTAGGACTAAAACGGAACTAAAACAGGCCTGAACTAGGACTAAACCAGGACTAACAAGGCCTACGTAGGACTAAAAAGGACTAAACTAGGACTAAAACGGAACTAAAACAGCCTGAACTAGGACTAAACCAGGACTAAACAAGGCTGACTAAGGACTAAACAGGACTAAACAAACTAAAAGGCCTGAACTAGGACTAAACCAGGATTAAACAAGGCTGAAGTAGGACTAAAACAGGACTAAACTAGGACTAAAACGGAACTAAAACAGGCCTGAACTAGGACTAAACCAGGACTAAACAAGGCCTGACGTAGGACTAAAACAGGACTAAACTAGGACTAAAACGGAACTAAAACAGGCCTGAACTAGGACTCACTATCGGGACGGACTCAGAGGTGCGCCCGTGTAGACCGTTGGGTGACTGTGAAAGGACGGGCTCAGAGCTTCATGCTCCATAGAGGTAAGTGCATCTGCTCCTTGGGCTTGGGATTCTCTCTCCTAAGTCCAAGATTAGTCCTGGTTTAGTCCTGGTTTAGTCCTGGTTTAGTCCTGACCCGCCCGTGTGTAATCACGACCCACCCATAAAATTCCAGAATGTTAAAACCCGCCCGTTTCAGCAACTATTAACTCGACCTGGTGCAGGACTCTGGACAAGGCTGTGCAAAAAAAAAAACAAAAAAAACATCGAAATATCGTATCGATATATCTCCAAGAAGATTTTTTTGGTTTATTTCAATCAATTATTTAGTTACAGAGCTACAGTTTTGTTGTTTGTTTAGAGGAAAGAAACTTGTTTATGTGACACATTTGACATTTTCACTGTTTTGATGATTAAAATGTTTGTGTTTCATATTCACTTTGTACAAGAAGAAGTGGTTTAACTTTTAGTATCACAGACATGACTTAGACTTTATTTTTTATTGATCCGTATCGAATCGATTTGAAATATATCGAATCAAAAGTGAAGAATGTTTATCCTTTGTGGAGTTTGTTGGTTGAAGATTTGGTGATGGGGCAGATTTATGAAGCTGCTGGAGAAAACGACACACATTTACACACACATTTACACATTTACACAGAAAACCTTTAACCGGAAGTTCCACAAACCTACATCGAGACACTTCCGACTGATGTGAAAAAAAATAAAAATAAATCAAAGGTGTAATATTTGTCATTTTAACGGTCGTTCTGTGCAAAGAAGGTGCATCGTTTCAGGTCGACTCCAGTGACTAAAACATGAAACAACGATTTCACGACAGTAACATGATTTCAACACCAAAAATTCTACATTTTCGATATATTTTTAGGTTCAGAAGGTCGACAATATCAACGTTAAAAGACGTTAAAACTAAACGGTCGTGGTTACGTTAGTGTTGAAAACCTCAGACATGGCGAGAAACGGCTTAAAGCTGCACTGCGTAACTTTTCTAGAGGAAGATCTCCTGCCTGCCACCTTCAGTTTCAACGTCCCTCTTTCAGTTTGCCTGGAATGTTCCACAGTGTGGCATTATTATCTAGCTCAGGTTACAGGGCAGATCTGCGGAGAGGCGAGCGCACTCACAGTAAGAACACGATTATCAAGAGCTGAGAAGAAGAAGAAAAACGTCGAGTAAAAAAGCAGGATCTGTCTGGTTCATCCGTGTGTCGTTCGTTCATTTGTTTTTCAAAATAAAACCAAATATAAGAAAATGAAAAAACAACAGTTTTGTTCATTATTTGTCTCCAAAACCAAAATGAAAAACAGATAATGATTAATTTTTTAAAGTTTTTGATTTTGGTTGATTTTTAGTTTTTTGAAAATGTAAAAAATGGATAATGGACAGAACCAGGACTAAACCAGTCCCGGTCTCAGTCCCGGTCTCAGTCCCGGTCTCACTTCCGGTCTCACTTCCGGTCTCACTTCCGGTCTCACTTCCGGTCTCACTTCCGGTCTTGTCCCAATATGATCCGGGTCTTAGTCCCCGTCTCAGTTTTGGTCATGGTCCCAGTCTCAGTTCTGGTCCCAGCCTGGTCCCAGTCTCAGTCCTGAACACCTGGAAGTTTATGCAGGCGTAACTCTGGGCCCAGTTTAGTCCTGGTTTAGTCCTGGTTTAGTCCTGGTTCAGTCCTGGTTCAGTCCTGGTTCAGTCCTGGTTCAGTCCGTTCTCCGTTTTTTCCATTTTTCATTTAAACACAAAATCAAAAACTGAAAAAAAAACCCGAATCATTATCTGTTTTTTCATTTTGGTTTTGGAGACAAATAATGAAAAGAAAATAGTTTTTTTTTTTCGTTTTCTTATTTTTGGTTTTATTTTGAAAAACGAATGAAAGAACGATACAGGGATTATGTTTAATGCCATACTGCGGAACATTCCAAGCAAAGCGGTAACGTCACCATGGAGACAAGCAGATTATACTACAAAGATCTGTGGAGAGGCGAGCCCACTCACAGTAATAACACATGTTTATCAAGAAATTAAAAAATATCCCGTAAAAAACTTGGATTTTTAAGTTTATTTCCATACTGTGGAACATTCCAGGCAAAGCGGTAAAGCCTCCATGGAGACAAGTAGATGACGCAACCCGAACCAAGTTACAGGACAGATCTGTGGAGAGGCGAGCCCACTCAAAGTAATAACACATGTTTATCAAGAGATTTAAGACAAATAAAAACATCTAGTAAAAAAGTTGAACTTATAAGTTTAATGCCGTACTGTGGAACATCCCAGGCAAAATAGTAACGTCACCATGGAGACAAGCGAACGGCAAACACTTCCACTGGAAAAGTTACGCAGTGAACCTTTTTAAAAACTGGCTGTATACTGTATGAGTTTTTTTTTTTTTTAATCACTTGGTAAATCGTAAACGTTTTTCGCTCGCTTTAGTTGGTCCTGATGTTTTATTACACGACGTACGAGTGACGTCGGCTTGTGGGCGGAGCCTCGTACTGAATCTCACAGCTAAAAAACGTAAAGAGGGTTTGAATAGAACGCTGGAGAGATCGCTAGATGACTCAAACGGAAATGGATAAGTCAAAAAGCTCTTCAGACGTGTTTTTGACGAGGGATTATTACTTTTAAAAATCGATTTTGCACAATACCCCCGCTTTAAAATTTAACTTCGACCTCCTGGAATCAAACCTGAGACCTCCTCGCTGCGGGGTGAGCGCGCCGACCTTTAACCATCCTCCACAAACAATTTTAACAAACAGAGGCAGTGTTTCGGTAAATATTCGCGTTTAAAAAGGTGCCACATGCTGCATAACGTTTATTTTTAAAATAATAATTTCATTTGTCAGTAAAATAGTCACTTTTTCTAAACAAACCTTGAAATCTGCAGCAGAATCGGGGTCTCGGTTCACAGTGGAAATGCATCGTCCCATCGTCGGAGAAATCGCTTAAAAACTAAATTCTGACTTGGTTCCTTCTCGTTCCTTCATGGAGTCCGTGCGCAGTGAGACTCTGGGATTGTCTGGGTAAAGTCGTAGTGGGTGATGCTGTGGTGATTTTTTTTGGTCACTGCGGGGCTTCCGTCGGCGCGTCTGTGGACGGGGCGGAGGGTTCTGATTGGTGCGTGATGGAGGAGGGCGTGGCCAACGTGGAAAACCAGGAAGACATGGCGGATTTGGCGCTGGTCAAAGCTCCTTCTAAAGACTGACCTGAAAACACAAAAAAAACAACAAGGTACAATAAAACTAAATTTAAACCAACAGTTGATTCTTGAGAAATTTTAAAACAATTATGTAGTAAAGAGCAAATATAACAGTAAAATCTGTAAATAATGACGATTGCAGCACAGTATTTTAAAAGTTGGCTTCGTAAAATCACTCAAACACTCAAAATTCTGACAAAATACTGTATTTTTTGGACTATAATTCTCACTTTTTTTCATGGTTTGGATGTTTCTTGCGACTTCTATTCTGGTGCGACTTATATTTTAAAGGGCCCACCTCATGCAAAATAACTCTTTTCACATTGTATCTTCAATTTGGGTTTTGGAACATCTATTACATTCTTGGAGATGGTCACAGACCAGGAACTGTGAAAGTCCGACTATTGCTCCTCCCCCGTCCTGAGAAAGCACAGGCTCCGCCCTCCAAACGTGACGTAGACTCTGAGTGAGCCGCCCTTCCTCCGCCGTCTCAGGGAGGGAGGGGGAGACAGACGTGACCCTGACAGTGGCAGGAATAAACTTTTAATCATTATGGAGATACAGCGTGTTCAGCCACATGTGTTGGACCCGGAATCGGACGAGGACTTTGAGGACCACGAAGCTCAAGCACCGAGTCCACATCAGCTGAACATTACTGATTGGTAAAGTATTAATAAACACTATTAGATAAACTGATTATATTGTGTTCACTGCAGCGTAGAACAATGAGCTTATGCTGTCGCTTTTGTTTAGGTTCATGTGGAATTGTCAGACGATGCGGGTGGAGGCGGAGGTGGTGGAGGTGGTGGAGGTGGTGGAGTGGGGGAGGGGGGCGGCTACGAAGCACTTTCTGCTACGTCAAACGCGTCATAGGTGTATTTGCCGCGTCATCGTTGTGGTGTGATTCCACCTCCCACAGATGAATGCTGTTGTTGTGTCCTTGGGCAAGACACTGAACCCCCTCATCCCCAGTGTCAGTGTACTGTGGTGTATGAGTGTGTGTATGTATGTGTGAGTGGTTCCTTGTTGTAAAAGCACTTTTAGAGTTTTGAAGGTGGAAATGTGCTGTGTAAAAATGTGACCGTGACCATCGATCACTTAAAAACTTTCGGTTTATAACCGACATAACAGACTTGAAGTAAAATGATCATGTTTGTGTAGTTTCTCACCGACGGCCTTCCCCGTCTGCACCATGCTGCGGCTCGTCGTCATCATGGCGTTTCCGAACTTCTTTCCTCTTTCACTGTTCTGCACCGAACTGAGACACAAACAAACACACACACACACACACAAACAAACACACACACAACACACACACACAAAACACAAACAAACAAACAAACAAACATGGGTTTAAAGAGACAGACTTTTAAAGGGTCCATATTACTCTATTTTCTGATCTCTGTTCTAATGTCGTTTCCTCTTCAGTGTAGTCACACATGTTTAACACACTCTGCACATTTAGGCTGAGCTCTTCTCTCAGACAGAAAACACAGGAACTGCTCCACTGTGTTTTTAAACTTCACACACCTTCACTAAAATCCATAACCATTCGTGGCCGTAACAGTTTGTCAAAGTCTGATTCCGTCAGATCTCAGAAGCTCAGAGTCTGGGCAGGACTTGGGTGAGAGACACTGGGAGAATCAGGAGCCACAGGAGGGCGCCAGTCGCAAAAAAACTGTTGTTGTGTCACTTCACTCATGTTGTTTAGTATGAAAGTGGAGTGTGTGGTCTGAGGGGCCGATGGCACAGTTTGGCCGCTGCTCTTCCGTCAGTCTGTCCCAGGGCAGCTGTGGCTACAATAGAAGTTTACCACCAGTGATCTGTAAGGCGTCTGAGTGTCCAGAAAAGCGTTACATAAAACTGATGCACTGATTATTATTATAATGTTTGTTACTGTTTGAGCGGTCAGATGGAGTGACCTACAGGTTGTCGGTGTGATTCCAGCTCCCACAGATGAAAGCCGTGGTTGTGTCCTCGGGCAAGACACTACAAACGCCTCAGCAGTGGTTCCTCCCTTTGCCAATCTGACGTGTTGATAATATTTTTAGCTGGTGTCTGTGGAGGAGCTCATTATTCATGATTCACACTGGACTCGATCGGGTTTCGTTTCCAGGAAGTGGCTGAAACGTGAGCGTGTTAGCGTGTTAGCGTGTTAGCGGCTAAAGCGGCGGGTGTAGAGTTTCCTCACTGTACACGCGGGACACTGTGTACATGTACTAACGCTAAAACTACAAGTTTATTCTGCAGCACAGGTGGAAGACGTGCTCTGTTTGATGTTTAAAGCTGCACTATGTGTACGGTGACCAGATTTTCACAATCAAAAACTGGGACATGTCTGGTTTTTGGTGGTTGGTAATAATAAAACGAGTGAAACGAGCACGGAATAAAAGGAAAACTGCTCTGCACTCGGCACTAATGTGAGTCACTACAGTCACATTTTTGTTTTTAGGCAGATTTTGGGTCAGTCCACCTCAATTCACCCAATGAATTAAACCAAACTTTGATGAATCTTGGTATAAAAGGTAAATCATCAGTAGAAAAGCCAAAATTTCTCATTTTAGTTTGATCAGACCAACAGTTTCTGAGATAACGCAATTTCATTTTTTCACTTTTTTGCGTGGTCGCAGAATTTCAAATCGCACTTACTCAGCAACTACTGGTCCAATATCAAAAACCAAAGTATCTCTGGAAAGGGGACAGTGTTGGGAAGGTGACTTTTAAAATGTAATCCCCTACAGATTACAGATTACACACACCAAAATGTAGTTTGTAACGGAATCCATTAAGTTACTTAAGGTGAGTAATGTAATCTGAATACTTTGGATTACTTGGTTTGCTGTAGAGAAGCAAAGACCAGGACATCGTAACATAAAATGTTTTGTCTGATAAAAGAAAATAAAAAGTCCAGACGTTACTGAACCAAATTAAAAATATTATTGATAAAGGAGGAGGAGACACGTCCGCACAGCAGGATTTAGTCCTGTTAAATCCTGTTTTAGTCCTGGTTTTTAGACCTGGTTTAGACCTGGTTTAGTTTCCAGCAATGAGTGGAATTACTGGAAAAAATAAAAAAATAAAAAGGGGGGGTTATATAGCCCAAAATGTGAAAACAGGAAAATACCGCTGTGTAATCGATTTATTTCAACAAAGTAACTGTAATCTAATTACCACTCACTGAAACAGTAACTGTAACTGAATACAGTTACTCATCATTTGTACTCTGATTACATAACTCCGGTACATGTAATCTGTTACTCCACAACACTGAAAAGGGGAAATCATAAGGAATCCAAATCTGTTTTAGCATGTGAGTATTTTTGAGATAAAATCACTTTTGACGTATATTTTGACCTTGAAATTGACATTAAGGGACAAAACCGACCTCAGTGACACCAACAGAAAAAAATTAGGCCTATATGTCGACTACAACATCAAGAAAACCCCTCCAGATTTGTTATATTTTCACACAAATTTACCTAGAAGACATGTCAAATATCCAAATGCAGTTTGAAATTCTGCGTCCACGTCTATTTTCACAAAAAAGTGATCAAATTAAATAGTGATATCTCAGCAGCAGCTACTCTGATCAGACTAAAATTTGAGATTTTGGCTTTCTTGGTTGTAACTTACATATAATTTACACCAATTTTCTTTGCAATTGGACAATGTGAGGGTTCAAACTGGAATTTTTTTTGGGGTGAATTGAGGTAGAATGACTCTTTTCTGTATTTTCAAATTGGTCAAAAATAGAGACACCTGGGACATTTCTTGTATAAAACTGGGACAAATCTGCTGGGACACGGGACACAGGCTCAAAACTGGTCTGGTCACTCTAGAACTGTGTAATTTTTCAGTTGGGGGTCCGTCACCTGCTTGTTTCCATGGCTACGTCACTGCTCTGTCTGGAATGTTCCACAGTGTGACATTAAACAGCTCGACTTTACATTTATTCAGTTACAAGTGGATTTAAAGCTCAAAAAACCCCAGAAAAACAGACGTTCTGACTGTGCACTGTAATACACTGTGGAACATGTAGGTAAAGCAGTAATACCTCCACGGCAACAACCCTCTACCAGAAAAGTGACATAATGCAGCTTTAAAAAGAAGCTTGTGTCTTTGTTTCAGACTCGTACTCACTGTGAGAGTCGCAGTTTGACGTCCGCCACGCTGTACTGTCCCTGGAACGGGTGTCTGCAACCACAACCACAACGACAAAGACTCAACCTCAAATCTGAAAATATTTGGTTTGTTTACAAAAGTTAGAATGTTGTTAGAAAGTTCAGTGTTTCACAAATTCAATGAGAAGACAAATCAGCAGTCGTCCAGCTGAACATTGGGATTACAGATATTGTTCTGTTCACAATTTAAAACTAATTCACCCTCCCTGTGTGTGTCAGATGCCCTCCCTCCGTCCCTTTGTCTCTGTGGGATCTTATTCTGTATAAAAGCTGCAAATTACGAGTCAGTCTGATGTCACTTAGTGTCTCGGCTCAATTTCATTTCTCTCCAGCGACTAGATCAGGAATCGGAACACACGTTTGTAGAGCGCAAACCAGGACTAAACCAGGACTGAACCAGGACTAAACCAGGACTAAACCAGGACTAAACCAGGACTGAACCAGGACTAAACCAGGACTAAACCAGGACTAAACCAGGACTAAACCAGGACTAAACCAGGACTAAACCAGGACTGAACCAGGACTAAACCAGGACTAAACCAGGACTAAACCAGCACTAAACCAGCACTAAACCAGGACTAAACCAGGACTAAACCAGGACTAAACCAGGACTAAACCAGGACTGAACCAGGACTGAACCAGGACTAAACCAGGACTAAACCAAGGACTAAACCAGGACTAAACCAGGACTAAACCAGGACTAAACCAGGACTAAACCAGGACTGAACCAGGACTAAACCAGCACTAAACCAGACTAAACCAGGACTAACCAGGACTAAAACCAGACTAAACCAGGACTGAACCAGGACTAAACCAGGACTAAACCAGACTAAACCAGACTAAACCAGGACTAAAAGGACTGAACCAGGACTGAACCAGGACTAACCAGGACTAAACCAGGACTAAACCAGGACTAAACCAGGACTAAACCAGGACTAACAAGGACTAACAAGGACTAAACCAGCACTAAACCAGGACTGAACCAGGACTAAACCAGGACTAAACCAGGACTAAACCAGGACTGAACCAGGACTGAACCAGGACTGAACCAGGACTAAACCAGGGCTGAACCAGAACTGAACCAGGACTAAACCAGAGAAAAACTAAGACTAAAACCAGGACTGAACCAGACAAAAACTAAGACTGAACCAGAGAAAAAACTAAGACTAAACCAGGACTGAACCAGCACTAAACCAGCACTAAACCAGCACTAACCAGCACTAAACCAGCACTGAACCAGGACTGAACCAGGACTAAACCAGGACTAAACCAGGACTGAACCAGGACTGAACCAGAGAAAAACTAGAACTAAAGTAGGACTAAACCTGGACTAAACCAGAGAAAAAACAGAAAAACCAGGACTGAACCAGAAAAATAACGGGACTAAACCAGGTCTAAACCAGGACTAAACCAGGACTAAACCAGAACTAAACCAGGTCTAAACCAGGACTAAACCACGTCTAAACTAGGACTAAAAACAGGTCTAAACCAGGACTAAAACCAGGACTAAACCAGGTCTTAACCAGGACTAAACCAGGTCTAAACCAGGACTAAATCAGGGACTGAACCAGGACTAAACCAGAACTAAACCAGGTCTAAACCAGGACTAAACCAGGTCTAAACCAGGTCTAAACTAGGACTGAACTAGGACTAAACCAGGACTAAACCAGGACTAAACCAGGTCTAAACCAGGTCTGAATTAGGACTGAACTAGGACTAAACCAGGTCTAAACCAGGTCTGAATTAGGACTGAACTAGGACTAAACCAGGTCTAAACTAGGACTGAACAAGGACTAAATCAGGACTAAACCAGAAAAATAACGGGACTAAACCAGGATTAAACCACGTCTAAACCAGGACTAAACCAAGTCTAAACTAGGACTAAATCAGGACTAAATCAGAACTAAACCAGGACTAAACCAGCACTAAACCAGGACTGAACCAGAATTAAAGCAGGACTAAACCAGAACTAAACTAGGACTAAACCAGAGAAAAAATAGAACTAAACCAGGACTAAACTAGGACTAAACCAGAGAAAAAATAGAACTAAACCAGGACTAAACCAGGACTAAACCAGAACTAAACCAGGACTAAACTAGGACTAAACCAGAGAAAAAATAGGACTAAACCAGGACTAAACCAGGACTAAACTAGGACTAAACCTGGACTGACAAATTCTCAGTTTGTGAAACCCACAAAAGTCTCGAGGTTTCATTTCGCTGACGAGATGAAACCGTTGCTGCTCGTGGAGTTTGTCAAACATATTTTAAACTGACGGTGAGTGTTTGTAAAGTCAGAGCGGAGTGTGTTACCCTGCAGTGATGTGCGTCATCCCCGGGTGTTTGTTGCTGATCCAGACTCGATAATTGTGTGTCATTTTCCAGGCGGTGATGAAGGGGGCGCCGTAGTCCGCTAAGAGACGCTCGTTATCTGCACACAAGAAGAAAACAAACAGGAAACGGACAATTGAATTATCTTTATTTTAATGTGATTTAAGACCAAACAGAGTCACAGCACAAAGACGCTGAGACGGACGAAGACGAGGAGAGAAAATATAAAACTATAAGAGAAATAAACATGTTTAATGTGCAAACCAGGACTAAACAGGACTAAACCAGGACTAAACCAGGACTAAACCAGGACTAAACCAGGACTAAACAAGGACTTAACTAGGACTAAACCAAGGAAAAAACAGGACTAAACCAGGTCTAAATCAAGTCGAAACCAGAACTAAACTAGAACTAAACCAGGACCAAACCTGGACTAAAATAAGACTAAACCAGCCCTAAACCTGGACTAAACTAGGACTAAACCCAGACCAAACACAGTCCAAACATAGACCAAACCTGGACTAAACCCGAACTAAACCCAGACTAAACCAGGACTAAACTAGGACTAAACCAGGACTAAACTAGGACTAGACTAGGAGTAAACAAACACTAAACCCGGAAACTAAACCAGGACAGAACCGGGACTGAACCGGGACTAAACAGGAACTAAACCAGAAAAAAAACAGAACTAAACCAGGACTAAACCAGGTCTAAACCAGGACTAAACTAGGATTAAACCAGGACTAAACCAGGTCTAAACCAGGTCTAAACCAGGTCTGAATTAGGACTGAACTAGGACTAAACCAGGTCTAAACCAGAAAAATAACGGGACTAAACCAGGATTAAACCACGTCTAAACCACGTCTAAACCAGGTCTAAACCAGGTCTAAACCAGGTCTAAACCAGGTCTAAACCAGGACTAAACCAGGTCTAAACCAGGTCTAAACTAGGACTGAACTAGGACTAAACTAGGACTAGACTAGGACTAAACAAACACTAAACTTACTGAACTTAGGACTAAACCAGAGAAAAACTAGAACTAAAGTAGGACTAAACCTGGACTAAACCAGAGAAAAAACAGAAAAACCTCGACTGAACCAGAAAAATAACGGGACTAAACCAGGTCTAAACCGGGACTGAACCAAGACTAAACCATAACTAAATCAGGACTGAACCAAGACTGAGCCAGGACTAAACCAGGACTAAAAAAGCACTAAAACCAGAGAAAAAATGAAGAGAGTTGTGACGATTTTTCAACGTAAACTCAGTTGGAGCCAGAGTCGATGGATCCAGAAGCGCGCCCGTGCTCACTCCCTGTCTGGATCTCGTCGTGTAGCGGGTCAGACATGTCCCTGTATCTAGACGGCGTGCGGTTTGAGTCCTCACCCTGGTGCAGCGCCGACGCCAGCAGAGAGTGCAGGTACAGAGTGAACTGAGCCCGGATCCACTCGTCTCCTCCCTCCCAGCCCGTCCCGTCCAGAAACACGTCGTCTCGGTTCTCCGTCACGTGTTTCACCAAATAATCCACGAATCTCAGGTCCGCCGTGGTCAGAGCCAAAGCCCGGCGCAGCTCCGGGTCCTGGGTCTGGATCCGGGCCTCGTCCACCTCAAAACAAACAGACGGAAAGAAGTTTAAGTCTGGGTTGAGTCCGATTTTTTCTCTGGTTCAGTCCCTGGTTCAGTCCCTGGTTCAGTCCCTGGTTCAGTCCCTGGTTCAGTCCCTGGTTTAGTCCCTGGTTTAGTCCCTGGTTTAGTCCCTGGTTTAGTCCCTGGCTTAGTCCCTGGCTTAGTCCCTGGTTCAGTCCCTGGTTCAGTCCCTGGCTCAGTTCTGGTTTAGTCTTCGTTTAGTCCCTGGTTTAGTCCCTGGCTCAGTTCTGGTTTAGTCTTCGTTTAGTCCCTGGTTTAGTCCCTGGCTCAGTTCTGGTTTAGTCTTCGTTTAGTCCCTGGTTTAGTCCTTGGTTCAGTCCTTGGTTCAGTCTTGGTTCAGTCTTGGTTCAGTCCTGGTTCAGTCCTGGTTCAGTCCTGGTTCAGTCCTGGTTCAGTCCTGGTTTAGAGTAGACCTAGTTTAGTCTACAGTGTGTGATCTGGTCGAGTCCTGGTCAAGTCCTGGTCGTGGTTCAGTTCTAATTTAGTCCTAACTCACTCTGGTCTAGTCCTAAACCAGTCCTGGTTTAATCCTGTACCCCAATATAGACTAAACCAGGACTGAACCAGGACTAAAACAGGACTAAAACAGGACTAAACTCACACTTTCAACTGGATTAAATCAATTTAGTCCAGATAGTCCTGTTTTAGTCCAGATGAAGATCTGCTTTAGTCCTGTTTTGGCCCAGAAGTAGACCTGCTTTAGTCCTTTTTTTTAGTCCAGACGAAGACCTGCTTTAGTCCTTTTTTAGTCCAGATGTAGACCTGCTTTAGTCCTTTTTTAGTCCAGATGTAGACCTGCTTTAGTCCAGATGTAGACCTGCTTTAGTCCAGATGTAGACCTGCTTTAGTCCAGATGTAGACCTGCTTTAGTCCAGATGTAGACCTGCTTTAGTCCTGGTTTAGTCCAGGATTAGTTACGAATTCTCAACGTTGATGTGGCCTATGTCCAAATGAGAAAGCGCTCTAGACCGGGACCAAACCAGGACCAAACCAGGACCAAACCAGGACCAAACCAGGACCAAACCAGGACTAAATCAGGACAAGACCATTATTTTAAGACTCACCTCTATGACCACATCGCTGAGGTGGCGCTGTTGTCTGAACAGGATGTTTGTTGCTCCGGCCACAAATCCTCTGATGGAGACGTCTGACAGGAGGTGGTGCTGCTGCAGAGCCATGTACGGCAGACACAGGTAACCCTGGAAAATAAACCCAGGACAAACAATAAAAACACTATAACCCTGGAAAATAAACCCAGGACAAACAATAAAAACACTATAACCCTGGAAATAAACCCAGGACAAACAATAAAAACACTATAACCTGGAAAATAACCCAGGACAAACAATAAAAACACTATAACCCTGGAAAATAAACCCAGGACAAACAATAAAAACACTATAACCCTGGAAAATAAACCCAGGACAAACAATAAAAACACTATAACCCTGGAAAATAAACCCAGGACAAACAAATAAAAACACTATAACCCTGGAAAATAAACCCAGGACAAACAATAAAAACACTATAACCCTGGAAAATAAACCCAGGACAAACAATAAAAACACTATAACCCTGAAAAATAAACCCAGGACAATAAATAAAAACACTATAACCCTGGAAAATAAACCCAGGACAAAAAATAAAAACACTATAACCCTGGAAAATAAACCCAGGACAAACAATAAAAACACTATAACCCTGAAAATAAACCCAGGACAAAAAATAAAAACACTATAACCCTGAAAAATAAACCCAGGACAAAAAATAAAAACACTATAACCCTGAAAAATAAACCCAGGACAAAAAATAAAAACACTATAACCCTGGAAAATAAACCCAGGACAAACAATAAAAACACTATAACCCTGGAAAATAAACCCAGGACAAAAAATAAAAACACTATAACCCTGAAAAATAAACCCAGGACAAAAAATAAAAACACTCTAACACTGGAGAAACAATGGCAACTTTTACATGATGTTTTTACTTCCAAATTAATTGTTTGCATGGAAATAATAATTCTGAAATGAGGTTTACATGGAAAACTCGTTAAATCGTTTTTATTTGATTCATTGGACTCGGCGTCTGGGGGTGGGGAAGGTTCTGATTGGACAGAGACACAAACAGATTTACGTCGGCTGCTCTACCTCAGCCCACTCCCACATCCCGCTCAAATATCCAAAGAGACGTGGATGAAAGTCCAAAGACAGGACTGGTGGAGCCGGATCATCCGGATCGCGTCAGAAGAGCGACACAACGAACATGAACTGAACCACTGGCATTATTTTTAACAAAAATAAACGAGAAACATGATCCAGGAAGAAATTCATTCAGCTTTAAAATCGGAATAAACCACCAGCTTACTTCAGAATTAAGTCCGAATAATCATTTTTATCAGGAATTAAGTGTTTACATGGACTTTTTAAATTGGAATTCATTTTTATTCAGACTTAAATAAAAAAAAAAATATTAATTTATTTTATTTTTATTTTATAATTTTATTATATTTTTATATGTTTAATAATAATAATAATAATAATAATTTTTTTTTGTTTTTTAATTGTATTTTTTTTTTATTATTATTTTATTATTTATTTATTTTAATTACATTTATTTAAATTAATTTAAATTAATTTTTTTATTTTATTTTAATTTCATTTCATTTCATGAAAATGATGAATGATCCCAGGACTAAAACAGGACTACACCAGGACTAAATAGGTCAGTCCCGGTCCTCAGTCCCGGTCCTCAGTCCCGGTCCTCAGTCCCGGTCCTCAGTCCCGGTCCTCAGTCCCGGTCCTCAGTCCCGGTCCTCAGTCCCGGTCCTCAGTCCCGGTCCCGGTGATTTAACGAGTTTTCCATATAAACATTAGTTCAGAATTATTATTTTAATGTAAACTCAAAAGGAGAATATTTTAATTCAGAATAAAAACCATCCTGTAAACCATGTCAGATGAGTTTATTCTGTGATAATAAAAATAAAGTCCAGTTGTACCTTGGTGAAAATGGCGAGTGGGAGTCCGTACTGATCCTCCTCCAGTCCGGACACCAGCCCCTGACTCACTCCTCCGGCGCCCCCCAGAGGCTGAGACGTGATGGGCGTCCCGGCCGGAGACTCAAAGGCGTCCGGGATCTGCTCGGTCTGGTCTGAGGTCTGGTCTTTGGTCTCGTCTAGAACACTGGGGTCCAGAGTCTCCCAGTCGCTCTCAGAGGAGTCGGGCGAGGTCCGGGACGGAGGCTTCAGGAACGAACTCTCTGGAAAAAAGAAATATTATCAATTTAAATACAGGATTTTATACAAGATGTGACTAGAACTTTGATTTTTGTAACTACTAGACCTGGTGTAGTCCTGGTCTAGCCTTGGTCTAGTCCTGGTTTGGACCTTCTGTAGACTTGGTTTAGGCTTGGCTTAGTCCTCGGTTGGTCTTGGTTAGTCCTAGATTAAACCTGGTGTAGTCCTGGTGTAGTCCTGTTCTTGATGTGGTCTTTGTTTGGCCCTGATTTAGTCTTGATTTAGTCTTGATTTAGTCTTGATTTAGTCTTGATTTAGTCTTGATTTAGTCTTGATTTAGTCTTGATTTAGTCTTGATTTAGTCCTAGATTAGACTTGGTTGGGTCCTGGTCGAGGCCTGGTTTGGGCCTGGTTTGGTTTTGGTTTAGTCCTGGTGTAGTCCTGATTTGGTCCCGGTGTAGTCCCGGTGTAGTCCCAGTCTTGGTTTGGCCTTGGTTTGGCCTTGGTTTGGCCTTGGTTTGGCCTTGGTTTGGCCTTGGTTTGGCCTTGGTTTGGCCTTGGTTTGGCCTTGGTTTGGCCTTGGTTTAGACCGGGTTTAGTTCTGGTTTAGGTCTTGGTATAGTCTTGGTTTAGGTCTTGATTTAGACCTGGTGTAGTCCTCGTCTTGGTTTAGTCCTGGTTTAGTCACTGCACATTTCAACCAAGTTTTTCTAATTAGAATAGTAAGAGTATTAGTAGTCAATGTAGTAGTAGCAGTAGTAGTATTAATAATAGTAGTAGTATTAATAGTAGCAGTAGTAGCAGTAGTAGTAGTAGTAGTAGTAGTAGTAGTAGTAGTAGTAGTAGTAGTAGTAGTAGTAATAGTAGTATTATTAGTACCTCCATTACTGTCTCCATTAGCTCCTGTATGTGTCGTCTGCCTCTGATTGGTCGCTGTGTCGGCCCCCTCCCGCCTCTCTGGCCTCTGATTGGTGGGCTTCCCCGTGGTCCCGCCCCCCTCATGCTCTGATAGGTCGGTGACGGAAACGGACACAAACTCTTCTGCCGCGGAGCCGCTTTCGGGCGTCACACCGGTGTCCTCAGAGATACTGCTCCTGGGTTTGTAGTGAGACGAGTCGACGAGGCCGTGCTCCACCAAACCTACACAAACGAGAACAAAAACTTAAATTTGATCGATAAATGGTTAATGGTTTATGTTTTTAAGCATCTAACTGTTCTAATCTAAGACTCGCCAAGACTAATATTTACTCAGTTTCTTTACGACTGCTGAAATCTGTAGCTCTCTGGCGTTTTTGTTTCATAAAGGAGCTGACGGGAGAAAAAAGGTTGGAGATGCTTCCTCTACCATGATGATAATAAAAAATAAATAAACTCTTTAGACAACAGAATGTGATTTTCAACTTTAAATGGTTGAATTTTCTTTTGTATTCCCATGTGGCCTTATTTATATCTGTGTAATCCCTCTGTGGTCCAGGTCTAAACCAGGACAAAACCAGGACAAAACCAGGACGAAACCAGGACGAAACCAGGACGAAACCAGGTTTAAAGCAGGTCTAAAGCAGGAGTAAACCAGGACAAAACCAGGTCTAAAGTAGCTCTAAAGCAGGTCTAAAGCAGGTCTAAAGCAGGTCTAAAGCAGGTCTAAAGCAGGAGTAAACCAGGACAAAACCAGGACAAAACCAGGTCTAAAGTAGTTCTAAAGCAGGTCTAAAGCAGGTCTAAAGCAGGACTAAACCAGGTCTTAAGTAGCTCTAAAGCAGGTCCAAAGCAGGACTGAACCAGGAATAAACCAGGACTGAACCAGGACGAAACCAGGACGAAACCAGGACGAAACCAGGACGAAACCAAGTTTAAAGCAGGTCCAAAGCAGGAGTAAACCAGGACAAAACCAGGTCTAAAGCAGCTCTAAAGCAGGTCTAAAGCAGGTCTAAAGCAAGTCTAAAGCAGGACTGAACCAGGACTAAACCAGGTTTAAACAAGGTCTAAACCAGGACTAAACCAGGTTTAAACCAGGTCCATTTCAACCAAAAACATTGTCGTGTGGTCTACTGTGTTCTGTCTGCATCTAATTATAAAACATTTAATTGTCCAAGAATCAGGTAGTGCACGTTAGCATGCCATTTGTCGCTCATTATTGTGAAAGCACAAACAAACGTGTTGTTAAAAGCTCTTCTAAACTCATCTCTGTGGATAATTCAGACGCTCTGAATGCAGAAGGAAGTGAGGAAGAACTCTGGATCACTGCAAACCGTTTACAATGAACTAGTTTTGTTTTTCACGATTTTAAGACAGAAAAAAAAACAATACAGTTATAGTTCTGAAATGAAAAATAATCAGATTTTGGTTTCGCAAACGTTTTAATGAGACTTTTCTAACGGAATAAACATTGAACTGCCAAATAAAACCGTATCGCCAGCCTTATTTTGAAGTAAACTTTTTAATATATTTTCAAAGTTCTGACCTGGAAACAGTGACAGAACGGTCATGAGGGCTCCCACCAGTCTGTTCACCGGAGACACGTAAAACAAAACCTAAAAACAGAAGACGCAAATACACTGGTTATTATCATGTGTAATTATATTTAACGAAATAATTTTAATCTATAACTACACAAATCTTACCTTCTTTTCCAGCAAAATAAGTTTAAATAAGATAAGGATCTAAAAGAGCAAAGAGTCAACAACCGTCAACATTATATTTATTATTTTTGTGAGTTTTTATGTTTTAAATGTTTTACCTTGTGTTGAAAGTGCAAAATTAAATCTCTCGGTGATAAACCTGAAATTAAAAACAAGAGACACGGTCAGAAGATGAAGAGGATGAAGAGGAGAGGGTCAGATGGTCAGATGAAGCAGTGAACAGTTTTTGTACCGAGGTAAACTTGTGATCCCTCCAGAGCCGACCCTCTCAGAGAACTGTTCATGTGATCGTACAGCTCCTGCAACGTACGACGAAACAGATTTTGACTTTAAAACGAGTTAATAAAACAGAAAAGCTTAAAAAAGGCGCTGTAGCTGTAATTTTGCCCCGTGTATTTGACCAAAACTTTCCAATTAACTGTCCAGCAAGTGCACGGTTAGCATGGTAGTCACTCTTAACGTTGCTCTGACTGCAAAGCTCTTCTAAACTCATCACCGTGAATATTTAGGAAGGTGAGTGACGAAGAACTTTAGACCACTGCAAACTGTTTAAAATGAAATTGTTCTTTCAATCAAAAAACAATAAACAATAAAAAAAACTACAATAAAAAAAATTCATAAATAAAATTAAATAAAATAAATTAAAATAAAAAAATAAATAAATAAATACAATAAAATAAAAATATATAAAAATAAATAAATACAAATAAAATAAAATAAATAAATAAAATAAAAAATTATATAAAAAATAAATGAATAAAAAAATAATAATAAAAATAAATAAATACAAATAAAATAATAAATACAAAAAAAAAATAATAATAATAATATAAAAATAAATTAATAAATTAATAAAAAATAACATAAAAATAAATAAATAAAATTTAATTAAATTAAAAAAACAAAATTTAAAAACAGTTTGTTATTTCATTATTCCGTTTTGGTCTACGTTTATACGATGTTGGTCTGAACAGAAGACGCAAAAGTGGCGTCGCATCTTCACTTTTTATTCTGCGTTTAGACGAGTGTTTTCAGGAGTAAATCTGTGTTCATACGGTGACGCAAAAGTGTGTGGAATTGGATTGTGTATTTTCATCAGCTCCTCCTTCCACAAAGTTGTCCCACCATCTACTGGTTCTCCGGGTCTCTACATTCTTGTGTAAACAGGCCTTTAGAGTCAAACAAAAAACAGATTTCGACCTCTATTTCTAATATTTAAATTTAAAGTATGTATTTGTTATCTTTTTTTGCTACTTATTTAGAATTTATTATTACCATTTATATTTTTTACTCTTTGTTATTATATTGTGATGTGTGAGCTCCTGTGTCCAAATAATTTCCCTTGCGGATCAATAAAGTCAAAGTCTAAACATCAATCAAAAAAGTATTTCAAACTGTTTTCCCATTTTATTGTTTTTTCGTTCTTAATTGAAATTCAAAAGAACAAATGGTACACGGACCGTTCTGTTTTACACGTTTCTAAAAGAGTAAAAATCAGGAACAGCGCCTTTAAAAGTGAAAAGTTAAAAAGACAAACCTTTAAAATGGAGATCTGTGAAAAGTCTTTCTCCTCGAAGTAGGCGTGAGTGATGAGCTGGAGTTTGGCCTGGAGCAGACCGTACAGAGGCTGCCACAAAACAACAACAACAACAACAACAACAACGACGTTAAAAAGACAAAGGACCGAATGAAAAACAACACTAAAGATGCACTATGGAACATTTTACCTGCTCGTCTCCATGGAGATGTCAATACTACATTATACTTCTATATGTTACATTTATTATGTGTAAAAGAGCTAGATTACAAGTCAGATCTGTGGAGACGTCATAAATGCGAGGCTCATACGTTTAATGCTGTACTGTGGAACATTTCAGGCAAGGCATTAACGTCCAGTGTTGTGGAGTAACGGATTACATGTACCGGAGTCATGTAATCAGAGTACAAACTATGAGTAACTGTATTCAGTTACAGTTACTGTTTCAGTGAGTGGTAATTGGATTACAGTTACTTTGTTGAAATAAATGGATTACACAGAGGGATTTTCCTGTTTTTACATTTTACATAAACCAGGTCTAAAACCAGGACTAAAACTAGGACTAAAACCAGGTCTAAACCAGGACTAAAACAGGACTAAAACCAGGACTAAAACCAGGACTAAAACCAGGACTAAGACAGGACTAAACCAGGACTAAACCAGGACTAAAACCAGGACTAAAACCAGGACTAAAACCAGGACTAAGACAGGACTAAGACAGGACTAAGACAGGACTAAACCAGGTCTAAACCAGGACTAAAACCAGGACTAAAACCAGGACTAAAACCAGGACTAAAACCGGACTAAGACAGGACTAAGACAGGACTAAACCAGGTCTAAACCAGGTCTAAACCAGGTCTAAACCAGGACTAAAACCAGGACTAAAACCAGGACTAAAACCAGGACTAAGACAGGACTAAGACAGGACTAAGACAGGACTAAGACAGGACTAAAACCAGGACTAAAACCAGGACTAAAACCAGGACTAAAACCAGGACTAAGACAGGACTAAGACAGGACTAAGACAGGACTAAAACAGGACTAAAACAGGACTAAAGCCAGGACTAAAGCCAGGACTAAAGCCAGGACTAAACCAGGACTAAAGCCAGGACTAAAACCAGGTCTAAACCAGGACTAAACCAGGTCTAAACCAGGTCTAAACCAGGTCTAAACCAGGTCTAAACCAGGACTAAACCAGGACTAAACCAGGACTAAACCAGGACTAAACCAGGATTTAACAGGACTAAATCCTGCTGTGTGGACGTGTTTCTTCGTCTTCTATCAATAATATTTTTAATTTGGTTCAGTAAAGTCTGGACTTTTTTATTTTCTTTTATCAGACAAAACTTCATATGTGAAGATTTCCTCGTCTTTGCTTCTTTACAGCAAATCAAGTAATCCAAAGTATTCAGATTACATTACTCACTTTAAGTAATTTAATGGATTACGTTACAGATTACATTTTGGGGTGTGTAATCTGTAATCTGTAGGGGATTACATTTTATTTTAAACCTTCCCAACACTGTTAACGTCTCCATGGAAACAAAAGGGTCACATCCTGAAAGTTTAAAGGTGTTTTGTGTAACTTTTTCTTTTTCTTTCTCCATGCAGATGTCATTATTTTGTATGTAATGTTCCACAGTATGGCATTAAACCTTTCTATCTCCACGGCGACCAAACCAGATCAAGTTACATGTCAGATCTGTGGAGAGGCGACCCCCACTCACAGTCAGAATGTTTGTTTTTCTAGCAATTTTCAAGCTGTAAAACCTGCACCTGTGATTGAATAAATGTAAAGTCGAGCTGTTTAAAGTCACACTGCGGAACATTCCAGGCAGAGCAGTGACGTCTCCATAGAAACAAGTAGACGACAGTGTTTCTAAAATAAGCGGCTGGAGCTAAATAAATCCAAGATAAACAGGTTTAATCCCATATTGCTCAATTTTCCAGACAGAGCAATAACATCTCCATGGAGACGAGCAAGTATCAGACCGTCCAGCAGGAAAGTGACACAGTGCAGCTTTAAAATGAGTAGCTCCAAATATAATCCTCACCACTCGGCTGAGGACACAGACGCTCTTCTGGACCGTCTCTCTGGTCACGTCGGCCTGTCTCACCTTCAGAGTCTGGACACAGAAAACACACCAGGAAAATTTAATAACATTTTACATTTATCTAGATCTTTAGTTCTTACATCCTTGAGAATAAATGAAACATATTCTGCAAAACTGACCTCAAAAAACATTCAGGTCATGAGGTCAGTGTCATAAAAGCAGAAAATGTGGACAGAGAATCCGTGTGTCATTATTCATTCATTTTTCAAAATAAAACCAAAAATAAGAAAACAAAAAACAACAATTTTCTTCATTTCATTTTTGTCTCTAAAACCAAAATGAAAAAACAGATAATGATTCGTTTTTTCAGTTTTCGATTTTGTCTTTAAATGAAAAACGGAAAAAAACGGATAACGGCCGTTTCCCGTTTACGTGACTTCCGTGACTGAGATGTCGGACTTTTGCACTGCATACAGACTGAACCAGGACTGATCCAGGTCCGGGACCAGACCGAGACCACAGCGGACTCTGAGCTTTGACTCCGAGCCTCAGCTTCGAGCTCTGGCCCACCCTCCGGTCTGGTCCAGGTCTGGTCCCGGTCTGGTCCCGGTCTGGTCCGGTCTGGTCCGGTCTGGTCCGGTCTGGTCCGGTCTGGTCCCGGTCTGGTCCGGTCCAGTCTCAGTCTGATCTCAGCCTCAGTTCTGATCTCAGCCTCAGTTCTGATCTCAGCCTCAGTTCTGATCTCAGCCTCAGTTCTGATCTCAGCCTCAGTTCTGATCTCAGCCTCAGTTCTGATCTCAGCCTCAGTTCTGATCTCAGCCTCAGTTCTGATCTCAGCCTTGGTCTGGTCCTGGTCTGAGTCTGGTCTGAGTCTAGTCTCAGTCTGGTCTCAGTCTGGTCTCAGTCTGGTCTCAGTCTGGTCTCAGTCTGGTCTCAGTCTGGTCTCAGTCTGGTCTCAGTCTGGTCTCAGTCCCGCTCTGGTCCTGGTCTGGTCTCTGTCTCAGTCCCGGTCTGGTCCAGGACCGGTCTCAGTCCCGGTCTGGTTCCGGCAGTCCGACATCTCAGTCACAGAAGTCACGTAAACGGGAAACGGTCGTTATCTGTTTTTTTTCCATTTTTCATTTAAACACAAAATCAAAAACTGAAAAAACGAATCATTATCTGTTTTTTCATTTTGGTTTTGGAGACAAATAATTAAGAAAATTGTTGTTTTTTTGTTTTCTTATTGTTGGTTTTATATTGAAAAACAACACAGATTCCAGAGTTTTCAGAGGTTTGACAAAAACACACAGATTTTATTGCAGAGAATCCACCTGCTGCACAAACTCCACTCTTAATGTCTCGAAACAAATGTCTGTGCTTTTTGTTATTCTTTTATTCAGAGCCTTTTAATCTTTTCATTTACCTGTTGGTTTTGTGGTTTGTCGGTGAAAGACAAAAACAGCCTGAACAACATTGTAAAATCGTGCTCAAAGACGACAGGTGTGTGTGTTACAGCCCCGGGCCTCCAGTTCTTCCACTTGTTTTGTGTGTGTTTTAATTTCTTTCTCGTCCTCGTGGATTCCTGCCGTGAGAGTCCTGGTCCCTGATTGGTGGAGAACTTCTACACCTGCCTCACCTGCCTCACCTGCCTCACCTGCCTCACCTGCAGCTCCTCCCCCCTGTTTATGTTGATTCTCCAAACGTGTTTGGGGGCGGCTGGTCTTTGTGGTGTTTCTGTACTTGTACATGTTTGACTTTGTGACACTTGAGACTAGGGACGGGCATTTGATGAAATTTTCTTAATCGATCGTCAGGAGAATTAAGTCATCATTAATCAGTAATCAGTAATGTTTTTATATTAAAATGATCAGCATTATTGTTTCTATCTGCACTACTAATCTGCATAAATAAATTCAACTTTACGACATATAAACATAACGACTCTAGATCCACATCAGCTGTTTGACATTATAATGTGTTTAATTCAGTTTTGTTCAAATCTCACAGAAACGAAACTTAAAACCACATCACTAATTTACATAAACTAAGTGAAGATAAAACTCCAGCTCTTGTGTCGCTGATGTGGTTCAACTTGTGTTGGATTAAAAGACATGACTCAGGTGAATACAGGTCAGTGTGACCAGATTTGTGTTTGTCAAAACCAGGACAGCGTACGGGGGGAGGGGGGCGGGGCCTCGTCATCCACATTGAGCGACTCTCACCTGGAAAAACTTTTTCCCACTGGACACAGAAACATATGTGCTGCTTTATCCACTGTGCACATGGACTCACACTTGTCCCAACGCAACGGAAAGTGTGGAATTTCTTCTACAAATCCTGGTTAAATCCACATTTGTGCTTCGGTTCGTTACAGACTGACCCACTGTTTGTGTCTCGCTCCTTCTGATGCAGAGACACATGTACACACCTGTTTGGTCACGACACACACAGCAACCTACATTCGGTTTGTCGATTAAAATGAACGTAATCGATGAAATTCTTAATGATCAATTATCGACTAATCGATTAATCATGCCCATCCCTACTTGAGACACTTGTTTAGTTCTTGTCTCGTAGTGATGGGCAGATGAAGCTTCCTGAAGCACTGAAGCCTTTCATCCAGTTGGTTCATTTCAGCGCGAAGCTTCTTACAACTTCATTTGCTCTAACAGGAAATCTACTGGACGCAAAAATATCAGTTGGCATGAAAATAAACAGCCGATTAAAGGCTCCCAGACCTTTAATCGGCTGTTTATTTTACACTCTTTAAGACCTTTTTTATATCGTTATTCCAGGTTACAATGAGTAAATCCAAAATGTTGATCTATAAAATGTAACCGTTCAAATCTAAACACCTAAAATATAAAATTGCATGAATGTCCCTTTAAATGTGCTGTTTTATTTATCCGTGAGCGTGTACCTTGGCTTCTATTTGGCGATAGCAGGAGACTCCGTACACACACTTCTGCTCGGCGCTCAGAGGAGGCAGGTGGAAATACACCGTGTCTGAAAAACAACACACAAACATTTATTTAAGTCACATGCTTTTATTTATTTATTTATTTATTTATTTGAGAGGAACAGTACAGTCATCCATAGTCACAGGCAGAACATGCAACTTCTGTCCTGGTAACTGGAGTCTGTAATATAAATATAATCCTCATTTGTTCACAGAATTTCACTATGAAATTAAATTTAAATCATTTTTCTCTTGTTCTCCAGCTTTAAGCAGCTTTTACCTGCACATTCTGGACATGATATGGCTTTAAATAAAGAAACTGCAACCAAAATCAGGTTTAGTCCTGGTTTAGACCTGGATTATTCCTAGTTTGGACCTGGTTTGGACCTGGTTTAGACCTGGTTTGGTTTAGTCCTGGTTCAGTCCTGGTTTAGTTTGGACCTGGTTTGGACCTGTTTTGGACCTGGTTTGGACCTGGTTTGGACCTGGTTTAGTCCTGGTTTAGTCCTGGTTTAGTCCTGGTTTAGTCCTGGTTTGGACCTGGTTTAGACCTGGTTTAGACCTGGTTCAGTTTAGTTCTGGTTTAGTCCTGGTTTAGACCTGGTTTAGACCTGGTTTAGTCCTGGTTTAGTCCTGGTTTAGTCCTGGTTTAGTTTAGACCTGGTTTAGTCCTGGTTTAGTTTAGACCTGGTTTAGCCCTGGTTTAGTTTAGACCTGGTTTAGTCCTGGTTTAGTCCTGGTTTAGTTTAGACCTGGTTTAGTCCTGTTTAGTTTAGACCTGGTTTAGACCTGGTTTAGACCTGGTTTAGACCTGGTTTAGACCTGGTTTAGCCCTGGTTTAGACCTGGCCAAAATAATAACGAAATAAATAACGATTATGTCCCGATCATTATTTAAATTGTTGACAGTTTTAAATGTTACGATCTGAATATTTATAATTTTAATGTTTTACAGCAGAAATCTCGATGCATAAGAAGCTTTTTCCTGCACATTTTGGTGATAAAATGTCTTTAAATAAAAAAAAACTGCAACTGGAATCTTGAACGTAACAAAAGAAAAACGTGACAAAAGCTCGTCCCGGTTCCATGTGAAGTGTGTGAGGTTTGAGTGTGAACAGAGGATCATATCGACGCTCTGATTCTGCGCCTTTGTTCCTATTTTTGTTCGTTTGTTGTGGTTTGATTCGTGGTCAAACCGGTTTTAAAGAGGTCGGACCTGCTCCACTCACAACAGCTGTGACCCACAATCGTCACAAAACACTGAAGTCACAATTTACTCCTGAGAAAAACGACTGCAGGGTCAGAACCGAGAGCAGCAGAGACGTGAAAAGAACCTGAAAATCAGATAATAATCCCTACTAAAACTATTACCAAAACTAGATCCTCATTTATCACAGATCATTATCAATACTAAAAAAAGAAAGTCCCACTGACAGGACAGAAGTGAATCTTAGACTTGATTTAGACCTGGTTTACATCTGGTTTAGTCCTGGTTTACACCTGGTTTAGTCCTGGTTTAGTCCTGGTTTCAGTCCTGGTTCAGTCCTGGTTCAGTCCTGGTTCAGTCCTGGTTCAGGTTTAGTTCTGGTTTAGTTTAGTCCTGGTTTAGATCTGATTTAGATCTGGTTTAGACCTGGTTTAGACCTGATTTAGTCCCGGTTTAGACCTGGTTTAGACCTGGTTTAGTCCTGGTTCAGTCCTGGTTCAGTTTAATCCTGGTTTAGTTTAGTCCTGATTTAGATCTGGTTTAGACCTGGTTTAGACCTGATTTAGTCCTGGTTTAGACCTGGTTTAGTCCTGGTTTAGACCTGGTTTAGACCTGGTTTAGACCTGGTTTAGACCTGGTTTAGATCTGGTTCAGTCCTGGTTCAGTCCTGGTTCAGTCCTGGTTCAGTTTAATCCTGGTTTAGTTTAGTCCTGGTTTAGACCTGATTTAGTCCTGGTTTAGACCTGGTTTAGACCTGGTTTAGACCTGGTTTAGTCCTGGTTTAGTCCTGGTTTAGTCCTGGTTTAGTCCTGGTTCGGTTTAGTCCCGGTTTAGTCCCGGTTTAATTTAGTCCTGGTTTAGACCTGGTTTAGACCTGGTTTAGTCCTGGTTTAGACCTGGTTTAGACCTGGTTTAGACCTGGTTTAGACCTGGTTCGGTTTAGTCCCGGTTTAGTCCCGGTTTAGTCCCGGTTTAGTCCCGGTTTAGTCCCGGTTTAGTCCCGGTTTAGTCCCGGTTTAGTCCCGGTTTAATTTAGTCCTGGTTTAGACCTGGTTTACACAGATATAAGGAACATGGGAACAGAAAATAAAATTGTACCATTTAATGTGGAAAATCACAATCTGTCGTCTAAATAAAGAGGTTTTATTCTCATCGTGGAATCGGTATCAGTATCAGTATCGACTATCAGTATCGAGTATGTTCCTTAGTATCAAAATAGAGTTTCAAATTTTAGTATCATAAGAATCTTCAAGGAAAGTGAGGAAGAACTTTGGACGACTGTGAACTATTTACGATAAACTAGATCTGTTTTTAAGACATTTTTAGACAGATTTTTAAAGGCTCCATGTCATTCTATTCTCTGATTTTCATTTTTTAAAGTAAAAATCAGACACGGAGCTTTTAAAAACAGGTTAATGATTCTTGAAAAGGCTCTTGTGCTGCCGTCACTGTCACACATAATAAACTCTGTCTATGTAATTACAGAGCTGTTTTTGTTCCGTCAGATGAACTGGAGCTGAACGTTGACCCTGAATCTGCTGCTCGCTCGGTCACATGACCCCGGTCACATGACGCAGAGCGGAGGAGACGCTGTCAGGTTCTGTCACAAACAAACACAGACCCAACCACAAGCAGAGTCCAGGACAGTCACACAGGGGGTAAATGAAGCTCAGGTTATCACAGCACAGACTGTATAAATAAATGGACATAGGTGAGCATGAGGGGGTTGGCCACTTCCGGCTCCATCGACTCTGGATCCAATTCACTTTGTACTGAAACTAGGGATGGGCATGATTAGTCGATTAATCGATAATTGATCATTAAGAATTTCATCGATTACGTTCATTTTAATCGACAAACTGAATGTAGGTTGTTGTGTGTAGCGCAGGGCGACGAAACAGGGTCAGTACATGTGTCTCTGCATCAGAAGGAGCGAGACACAAACAGTCGGTCAGTCTGCAACATGTCGAAACGCAAATACATATTTAACGATGATTTGTACAAGAAATTCCATGCTTTCCGTTCAGGACAAGTGTGAGTCCATGTGCACAGTGTAAAAGCAGCACAAATGTGTCGGTGTCCAGTGGGGATAAAGTTCACCAGGACACAGAAAACATGAAAAAGCTTTGCCAGGTGAGAGTCGCTCCATGTCGATGACGAGGCCCCGCCCCCCTCCCCCCGTACGCTGTCCTGGTCACTGAGTCGTGTCACATCAGCGACACAAGAGCTGTTTTTTTCTTCTCTTAGTTTATGCAAATGAGTCATGTGGTTTTAAGTTTTGTTTCTGTGAGAGTTGCGCAAAACTTAATTAAATGGTAAATGGTCACATTTTTCTATAGCGCTTTTCCACCTTCAAGGCTCAAAGCTCTTTACAACAAGGAACCACTCACACATTCACACACCAGTGTACGCAGACACTGTGGGCAAGGTGGGTTAAGTGTCTTGCCCAAGGACACAATGACAGCATTCATCTGTGGGAGCTGGAATCACACCAGCTCCTGTCAGTGGATCTGACCACTCAACCTGTGATGTTTATGTTGAGAGCTGGAATCAAACCGCCAACCTTCAGATCAGTGGGTGAATGCTCCACCAACTGAACTAGTGCCGCCCCATTAAACACATTATAATGTCAAACAGCTGATGTGGCTCTAGAGTCGTCACGGTTTATATGTCGTAAAGTTGAATTTATTTATGCAGATTAGTGCAGATAGAAATAATAATGCTGATCATTTTAATATAAAAATGATTAAACGATAATCGATCCTTAATTCTCCCGACAATCGATTAAGAACATTTAATCAAATGCCCGTCCCTAGTTGAAACATCATCGCCCCTCCCTCTCTCTGTAACTGCTGATTCAGGCTCCTCGTTTTGGTCAAACTGGTTTGTCAAACCCTGATCTCATCAGATCTCAGACGCTCAGCGGGTCCAGGTCGGGTCAGGACTTGGATGGAGACACTGGCAAAATCAGGAGCCACAGGAGGCGCCAGCCACAAAAACTGTTGTTGTGTCCTGAGACAAGACACTTCACCCACATTGACTCGTATGAAAGTGTAGTGTTTTTGTGAGTGAAGGTGGTCGGAGGGGCTGATGGCTCAGATTGACGGCCTCACTTCCATCAGTCTCAGGGCAGCTGTGGCTACTAGGAGTTTACACCAGCGAGTGTGGAGTGGATGAATAATGCTCTGTAAAGTGCTCCGGGTGTCTTAAAAGGCGCTTGAAAAATGCCAAGTGTGATATCGATTCAATTTCGATACGTTTTAAGATGTGAAAATGTTAATGAGTCTAAAACATTACAGGAGAACTTGTGTACAGCTGGAGTTTATATGAAGAGTAAGTCAGAGAAAGTAAGAACAGAGCTTCCTCGGGCTGTTTTATATTTTATAATAGAGCCAGTCTAAGTCTTAATATAAACTGTAGGGGACAGACACTGTCAGACTTTTCCTTTTTTGATGAGAATTTGACGGTTTGTTTTCTTTTCTTCCTGAGTCTGTCTTGTCTCCAGCAGCAGCAGAGACAGTACGGAGCTTTTTTTTTTTTTTTTTTTTTTTTTTTAACACACAGCTCTGAGCTCTAACGTCCTCTTTCTGAACACTCAAACTATGTTTAGAAATGTCTTATCAGACCGTTTTCTGAGTAAAACTCCTGGGACAGAGTCTGAGAAAAAGATCGTGTACATATCGACAGGAGCTCAGTTGAGCGTTCGTCCACTGATCTGAAGGTTGGCAGTTTGAATCCAACTCTCGACATAAACATCATTGGTTGAGCAGTCAGTTCTTTGGTGTGTGAATGTGTGTGTGGTTCCTTGTTGTTGTGAAGAGCTTTGAGAGACTTGAAGGTGGAAAATGTGAAAAATGTGACCATTTCCCGTATCGCATCACGTGTAAGATGTAAAACCAAAAGTGATTCTAAAGGATTTAAAAGCGAATATCTTTGTCATTTCTGGGTCTATCGATGTAAAATAAAAAGTGACTGAAAGTGAAAACCCTCCTCTGTTAGAATATTTCAGTCCATATGGAGCCGTTTTCTTGACACCACGATATCTGTTCTCCTTTCGGACCAGAATAAATGAAAACAAAGCGCACAGGGACGGACACGAGGACGTTGACTGAACACGAGTATCGAATCCTGACACCAGTATCGACCGAATATCGTTGCATCCCTGGTAACCATGTTTGAAATAGACACCAAAATGAATCTTGATTTAAAAATAATAATTGCACTTTCCCCTTCAAACCCTCAAGACTAGGGACGGGCATTCAATGAAATTTTCTTAATCGATCGTCGAGAGAATTAACGATTGTTTATCGATTAATCATTAACATTTTTATATTAAAATGATCATCATTATTATTACTATCTGCATAAATAAATTCAACTTTACGACAAATAAACCTAACGACTCTAGATCCACATCAGCTGTTTGACATTATAATGTGTTTAATTCAGTTTTGTTCAAATCTCACTGAAACTAAACTTAAAACTGCATCGCTAATTTACATAAACTAAGCGAAGATAAAACTCCAGCTCTTGTGTCGCTGATGTGGTTCAACTTCTGTCAGATTAAAAGACATGACTCAGGTGAATACAGGTTAGTGTGACCAGATTTGTGTTTGTCAAAACCAGGACAGCGTACGGGGGGAGGGGGGCGGGGCCTCGTCATCCACATTGAGCGACTCTCACCTGGAAAAACTTTTTCCCACTGGACACAGAAACATATGTGCTGCTTTATACACTGTGCACATGGACTCACACTTGTCCCAACGCAACGGAAAGTGTGAAATTTCTTGTACAAATCATCGTTAAATATGTATTTGCGTTTCGACATGTTGCAGACTGACCCACAGTTTGTGTCTCGCTCCTTCTGAGTGCAGAGACACATGTACACACCTGTTTGGTCACGCTATATACACCAACCTGCATTCGGTTTGTCGATAAAAATTTACGTAATCGATGAAATTCTTAATGATCAATTATCGATTAATCGACTAATCATGCCCATCCCTACTCAAGACCCTTCGTAGAGGCGAGCGGCGGCGGACGTGGCGTTTTTGTCTCACCCTCCTGGTAGTTGTGCGCCCCGTCTGGCAGAGCGAGGAACGGCAGGTACTTCCACTCCTCTGGGATCAGTCCGCTGTCGTGTTCTCCGTCCGGGACCAGAGGAGGGTACGAGAACTCCACCTGACGAAACACACACAGGACACAGGACGAGCAGTTATTAACATTAGGCCTTTTTATTAGGTCAAACAACGAGCAGCACTGAGCCCTTCTCTGTTTGTGTCACTGCTTTCAGTCTGTTTATCTCTGTGGTTTGTGCTGAGTCGTGCTAAAATGATGAATATTTAAAGATAAGGCGGTGAACAGGAAACTGTGGGTGGATGTGACCGACGTAATGTTAAAAAGTACAAATAAAACAAATACTTGTGCAAAGGGAACATCTGTTTTTGGAAAAAGAGATGTTTGTGTCTCAATGTTTACGCGAATGTTGAGGCATAAAAAATATTAAAACAATGACACAAACACAGAGACCAGATTTTCTAAATTCATTTATACATTTTTACAATTTATAAATAAAAGTGTGACAAGAGCGCGGGACACTGTGAGATCAATCATGATCTGAGGTATCGGGCTGGTGTCACCTAGTGCCTCCGCTCAATGTCATTTCTCTCCAGCGACTTGATCAGGAATCAGAATACACTAGACGGTTCACAAAAACCCCAGAAGTGTGAGTTCAGGCAGCAGCCAATCAGCGAAGAGTCATATATTCAGTGCTGTCAACGATTCCCGAGATCGAGGATTTAAAGCCGAAACAAAGAGAATGTTTGGTGAATCAAGGGGAAAGACGTTATTGTTCTTCTTCCTACGGGATTTGGGGCATTACATACGCCACGACCAAACAGCAGCGATTGGTTAAATAAAAAAAGTACCTGCCTACTGTCGAGTGAACGAATCCTAATGCTGCGAGGTCACACGGTTTCTAGCAAGTGAAACGAAATAAAACTGGCTGATGAATCAGTCAAGATCTGAGGGACTTCTGATGCTGCACTTTTTTTTGTTTTATGGTCATTCACTAACACGGATGTATGTATTTTAGTACACACTGTACTATACACTGTATTCTACACACTGTAGTACAGAGTGTAGTACACAGTGTAGTACACAGTGTAGTACACAGTGTAGTACACAGTGTAGTACACAGTGTAGTAGTCTGTACTACAGACTACAGACTGTAGTACAGACTACAGACTGTAGTACAGACTGTAGTACAGGGTGTAGTACACACAATAGTGCAGACAGCAGTATAAAGTGTAGTACAGTCTGTACTACAGTCTGTACTACAGACTGTAGTACAGACTGTAGTACAGACTGTAGTACAGGGTGTAGTACACACAATAGTGCAGACAGCAGTATAAAGTGTAGTACAGTCTGTACTACAGTCTGTATTTTAGTGTTTGCTGTAATAAGATCTCAGTGTTGAGACCTGAGACCTGATCTCACTCAGGTCTCTGTTTCAGTCTCCGTTTCTGTCTGCGTCTGCCACGTTTCCTCCCTGGAGTTTATCAGACCTCTGACAGGTGCAGGGCAGTGGGGGGCAGGTGCAGGGCGGTGGGGGGGCAGGTGCGGAGTGAGAGCTGAAGAACAAAAGCTTTTTAACATGAGGCACTTTCGCTAATTAATAAGGCGTTGGACTGGTCTGCCGTCGCTGTGGGGGAGGAGCCAAACTGGAAAAACCAACACCTCCACATTTACACACAACAAGAGAGTTTGGGTTAGAAAAACACAAATAGGACACAAGAGAAGATCTGCTTCACTGTCAATTAAAAATACTGATGGTTTGAATAAAAATGCATCAGTTTTGTGAGCGAACTATATACCAAATGTAATTATCTGTCTATCATTTTTATAGTTATTGTTTTAAACCACTCTTAATTTTAACCAATCACTCAAACTGCACTCACACGATGACACCTGTAGGGGGAGTTCATTCAAAAACTACTATTTATGCAGAAAAAGTGTATTTAAAGGGCTCATATGACGCTATTTTCTGATGTTCTAATGTCGTTTCCTCGTCACAAACAGACCTGGAGTTGTGTTTTGTTTCATTCACATGTTTAACACAAAAACCTGCAGATTTCACCTGAGTTCCACTGTGTTTTTAAACTCCACACACCTTCACTAGAATCATTTGGATCATTTCAGCCAATCTCTACTGAACCAAAAGCTAAAAACAGGTTTCCCACTCTTCCACTGACAAAATTTCAAAACTTTTCCATGACTTTTTCATGACCTAAAGTGAATTTTCCATGACTTTACAGCACCTACATGTGTAGAATTGATCAGACTTTTAGGTCTATATATGAAATGTTAACTCTTTCCACTCACCTTATGGTTTGCGATTATAGTTTTTAACATTCAAAGTCCTTTCAGTGTTTTAGGGATGTAACAATAATCAAATTAGCCTGATATCGTATCAAAAAGTTTCACAATAATATGGTGGGATGTCACAATATATCGAATCACAAGTCATGATGCATTTCAGTGAGGACAACATGAAGAAATATGTTTTTGACTTGAATTCTTGGGATTATGATGGAAATAATTCACACCAAATCTTGTCAAGGTGTTTTAAAAGCAAAAAAGTGTCCTATCTACAATTATATCAGCCTCTTCAAAATATCACAACAAATATCGTACCGTGAGATTTGGATATCGTTACATCGCTAAAGTGCATTTACTGTCGTTTCTTTTAAACAAAAGATGCAGACGTTCAGAAATAATCAGAACAGCCTAATAATGAGAACTTAACAGAATGCTGGAGTTGCATGAACGAGATACTAAAATTCCATGACTTTTCCAGGATTTCCATGACTGTTAGGGAGCATCATTTATTTACCCAAGTTTCTGAAAATTTTTGAAACTCAATCTGTACCTAGAATCAATTTTTTACTCTTGCCAAAGTAAAATTCTGTGAGAAATTTCATGAAATTCTCTTGATGTTTACTGGGTTCACCAAATCTCTGAAATTTAGAGCCTCCAGAAGTCTTAAATCTGAGCTGAAAAATCAGTTTTTCTTTAATAACATCCTTATCGTTTCTGGAAACTTGTGTTTTTCCAAAACCCATCATTGAGACGCTCTGGTGACATCACACTCGTCACACTTTTTTTTTTTTTACACAGTCTATGATCGCAACAGAAAGAACAAACTTTATGTCTCTCATTTCATCTTTGGACTTTGTGAATATTGGATAATTATGAAAAACACTCAAAATCTTGACAAAATTATCATATCTTAGAAAGTTACGAAGACAGAGATTTAAATTAGGAACCAAAAGATGCAACAGCAACATTTATATTCAACTTTCATTGACGCCGTGGCCCTAAATGGATTATTTTTAAAGTTATTTGATAAAAACAGATTTTTCTGCCAGACCTTTATGGACACTTTTAGGACAGAACTTGAGACTTGGTGAACCCAGTAGATTTTATTCAACTGAATCACAGATTTTCTTTTAATTGGTTTTGTCACATTGGACATTGGGTCCAAGTTGAATTTCTGACATTGGAAGCAAACGCAAACGCCGCAACAAATACAAATGCTACAACAAACAACAAAAAGCCACAACAAACCAAAAAGCCACAATGGAAATGACCGTGGGACTCTATTTTAATGCAAACACCGCAACAAATACAAACGCCACAACACAAACGCAAATGCCACAACACATTAAAAAGCCACAACACATTAAAAAGCCACAACACATTAAAAAGCCACAACGGAAGTGACCGCGGGACTCTATTTTCCGACGGACCGATCAAGCGGCAAGTGAAGAAGAAGAACTACAACGTGAAAAGTAAAGGAACGGAGAAGTTGGAAACGTAAGTAAAAGTAATTTATTGTTTTGTCATTATTCGTTTCACGTTGTAGTCCTTCTTCTTCACTTGCCGCTTGATCGGTCTGTCGGAAAATAGAGTCCCGCCGTCACTTCCGTTGTGGCTTTTTGATGCGTTGTGGCATTTGCATTTATGTTGCGGCGTTTGCGTTAAAATAGAGTCCCGCGGTCATTTCCGTTGTGGCTTTTTTTGGTGTGTTGTGGCTTTTTTGTTGTGTCGTCGCATTTGTATTTGTTGCGGCGTTTCCGTTTGTTGTGACCCCTCTCGGCTTCCGCAGAACCCTGTAAAAAGGAGCCGTTCACTTGAAGACCACCACTTCGTGACATCACAAGGTAGACAACGTAAACAGACTGATGATAAAGAGCTGCGCAAACACGTGTGAATGAAACAAAACACAGCTCCAGGTCTGTTTTGGAGGAGGAAGCTGCATTCTAACGCGGCTTAACGATCTCAAGAGTAAATATTCCGTAACTTAGGACCTGTAAAAGAGATTAAACGTGTAAATTGTGAGTTTAATCTGCCTTTTAAGATATAATAATAAATCATTCATGCCATACAAACCTTTTCCCATTGTACTGCAGAGAGCCAATTGTTATTCCACTGCTATAAGATCATACATTTTCATTTTTAACCAGACATTAGTCATTGATCATTTTTCCCCAGCCTGACACAGGAAGTAATCAACGTGATGACTCGGTGTTATCTCGCAGCAGGAAAAAGCGTGCAATTTAGCTTTTGTTTGCGTTGTTGCTGCTGCACAGGAGGGAGCAGATGGCTTGGAATAAAACAAACAGAGATTCTGCAGACACACTGAACTGGAAGGATGTGAACACTGGAAGCTAAAAGAGCAAGTTACATAACGCTGACAAACCAAGAACCATCTGATATTAAGCACGCTCATGAGGAAACACGGGATATTTTGCGTTTCTGTGTCATGGTGGTTAGATTTAGAGCAATTTTAAGCATGTATTTAAGCGCGTATCGTGTAAATATAAATGTTAGATAGCTCAGTTGTGTTTTAAAGAGGTGTTTTTTTTTACCTGACAGCCTTTTTTGTGGTGAAATCCAATCACTACGATGTGCAGCACGGGTCCCTTCTCGTGCGTCTCCATGCTCGTTTTTGGTCAATTTCAGCGCCCGGATTTGATTAAAAGTCCTCGGGTGAGTTCAGACCCACGGCCCGGGGCGAGACGAGGCCCGGAGAGGAGGTTTATTCCCCCCGAAACGATGCGGTGAAGAGCGGGCAGAGGGAGAGAAGAAGAAGCGGAGACACGGGAGCCCAAAGCGCCGCAGCTCTTCCGCTTTGACACAAGACGCACCGCGGCGAGATGGTTACGTGCCGCGCACCGCAGCTTCGTTTCAGTTAGGCCGACGCGCTTCCGGTTTCGTCTTAAAAATAAATAATAAACATAAGAATATAAATAAAATATATAATAATAAAATAAGAACAAAAAAACAAAACAAAACTATAGACCATTTCGAATCTCGTGTCATCGGAATGTTCAAAATTCTGGAAAGCACGCGGCAAGTGGAGGCAAAATTAAGCTAACGTCATAAATTTACGATGATGAACTGACGACCAGACCTAAATGCTAATGGTTTTATGACATAATAAAAAAAAAAACATAACAATAATAATAATAATAATAATAATAATAATAATAATAATAATAATAATATAATGAAAACCACACAGACACATGTGAGTGATATCAGAACCCAGTTTAAAAACACAATTGTGTTTTTCATTATATACTTAAGAGTTTATGATAGGTTCTAAGCATTTTTACAACGGCAAAATCCACATTTTGAATTTCCAAGGTACAAATCTTATTTACTTTGCTTCTCTCTTCAGAAGGATGGAGAAAATACAGTTTTCTATCCCTAAAATAATATTTGGGCTTCACAAATGTCTCATTTGACACATGTCTCTTGCTCTTTTTTGCTACTTATTTAGAATTCATTATTACTATTTATATTTTCACTCTTTGTTATCATATTACATTGTGATGTGCATGATCCTGTGTCCAAATAATTTCTCTTGTGGATCAATAGTTTGTCTAAGTCTTAGTCTAATTTATGATTAAATGTGTAATTTTTCTGTAGATGAAGTGAAAAACTGTTGTGAATTTAACATTTCTGTAAAGATTTGTTCAGTAAAACCTCAAAATGTGGATTTGATATGATGATAAACTCTTGTCAAATAAACAAATAGTGTAAAACAAAATTGTAAGTGTTTTTAAACTGGGCTCTGATATCACTCACATGTGTCTGAGTGGTTTTCATTTTCTAAATTCTCCTTGAATTTTCATAATTTGTGATATTCTGAAATGAATCCCAGTTTTCCCATTAAAATCACATTATGTTTCACTTCACTTTTGCCTCCCGCTGACTCCATTTCAGAATTTAGAATGTTTTTGTTTATAATTTTTAAAAGGGTCTGTGATTATTACGATTATTATGATGATTGAGCGGCACTTTTTTACTTAATAATAAAAAAAAAGGTATTCTCACAGTTATTCTTTGTTTATTTATTTGTTTACATGAATCCACACAATGATTATTTGGCCACTACAAACACAATATGAGACATCTTCATATCCGACTTTTTGAATTAAAGAGACAATGGTTTATGTGTAGAAGTGCAAACAATTGACTTAAATTCTTTTGGGGTTCACTTGAGACTGAATAAAAACATAACGTATTGTTGCTTTATCCTTTATGAATAATAATACAATAACAGACAAATGAAAGCCTACATCTTTATATTCTGACTTCTTCTCCTGTCATTTCTTACATCTGCCAGAAGGGGGCGACAGATGCTGATCATTCACCAGGAGACTAGACACTGCTGGTGATGAAGAGGAGATGGAGAGGCTGAAGAGGCTGACGGTTCTGTTGCTGAGAGGAGATGTAGCAAAGATGGGTTGTAAGGAAGGGAGAGAGAGTGTATTTACATGGTTGTTAAGCGCTTACTGATTGAGAGGCAGCGTGTAGGATTTATTTTGATTTTCTTTCACAAAGCAGCCATATTAATGAGGGGGTTAATTGTAAGATTCTGTACGAGACTCTTCCCACAAGCCTACGACACCCATGCTCCCACACGACTAAATAAATACATATACGATTCAATAAATGTACAAAAACCTGATACAAACCTGATGTGATGTGCAGCAGTTTCATTAACGCTGATTGTGTTGTGATGATGCTTTGAAGGGGGAGTGACTTAGTGCAGAGAACAAAGTGAGGGGAGACTCAGAAACTTATAAAATGTTTTAATACATTGTTTTTGATGATTCATAGCATTTTCCGAACAATAAAAGGAACATGGGGATCTAAACGTGACGTGTGAGAGCAGTGAATATAAAGTAAAATACAGACGTCGACAAAATTGTTGGTACCCCTCTGGCAATGGAAGAAAAATCAATAATAATCACTGAAATAACTTGAAACTGATAAAAGCAATAATAAATAAAAATTTACTGAAAATTGTCCAATGAAAATCAAACATTGTTTTTCACCTGTGGTTCAACAGAATTATTAGAAAAAAACAAAATAATGAAACTGGCCTGGACAAAAATTATGGTACCTTAACTTAATATTTTGTTGCACAACCTTTTGACGCAAACTCTGCGAACAAATGATTTCTGTAACTGTCAGTGAGATTTCTGCTCTGATCAACTGGTATTTTGACCCATTTCTTGTGAGCAAAAATGTTCTAGTTGTCTCAGGTTTGAAGGTTCTTTTTTCAGACGCATGTTTCAGCTCCTTTCAGAGATGTTCAGTAGGATTGAGATCTGGGCTCAAAGAAGAACGCTCCAGAACAGAAGAACACTCCGGAAGAGAAGAACGCTCCAGAACAGAAGAACGCTCCAGAACAGAAGAACACTCCGGAAGAGAAGAACGCTCCAGAACAGAAGAACGCTCCAGAACAGAAAGAACTCCAGAAGAAAGAAGAACGCTCCAGAACAGAAGAACTCCAGAAACAGAAGAAACAGAAGAACAGAAGAACAGTCGAAGAACAGAAGAACGCTCCCAGAACAGAAGAACGCTCGGAACAGAAGAACAGAAGAACAGCTCGAGAACAGAAGAACAGTCCAGAAGAAAACAGAAGAACGCTCCAGAAGAACAGAAGAACGCTCCAGAACAGAAGAACGCTCCAGAACAGAAGAACTCCGGAAGAGAAGAACGCTCCAGAACAGAAGAACAGTCCAGAACAGAAGAACAGTCGAGAACAGAAGAACAGTCGAGAACAGAAGAACGCTCCGGAACAGAAGAACGCTCCGGAACAGAAGAACAGTCGAGAACAGAAGAACAGTCGAGAACAGAAGAACAGTCAAGAACAGAAGAACAGTCGAGAACAGAAGAACAGTCGAGAACAGAAGAACAGTCGAGAACAGAAGAACGCTCCGGAACAGAAGAACGCTCCGGAGCAGAAGAACGCTCCGGAACAGAAGAACGCTCCAGAACAGAAGAACGCTCCATTCCAAAATACCTTGATAGTTTTGAGATTCTGTTGTATTTTTCACAGAACAAAACCAAGCCTCCTCCGTGCTTCACAGTAGAGACAGTGTTCTTTTCTTGGTCTGCTTCATTTTTGCGTCTGTGAACATAGAGCCAATGTGTCTTGCCAAAGAGCTCCAGTTTTGTCTCATCTGTCCAAAGAACATTCTCCCAGAACCTTTGTGGCTTGTCAATATGCATCGTAACAAATTCCGGACTCACTTTTTTATGATTTTCTCTCATTCTCTCTCCCTTTAAACAGACAGAGTGACTGAGGACAAGTTTGCAGGCACCTGTGATGCAGATTAGAGACACACTGAAGTTTAAAATGTCCCTATTGTTCAAGTATTTACAGTCTTTTCTAGGGAACCATCATTTTTTTCCTGGCCAGTTTCATTAGTTTTTTTTTTATTATTATTATTCTATTAAACAACACTTCACTGGATATTTTTCAGGAAATTTTTATTTATTATTGCTTTTCTTAATTTCAAGTTATTTCAGTGACCATTGTTGATTTTTCTTTCATTACCAGAAGGGTACCAACATTTTTGTCCATGTCTGTACCTCCACTTTAATGCTCCACTTTATTGTGTTGTTGTCAGTAAACCTATTGTTCCTGTTTTTTTGTTGTTAAGTGAGATTTATTTGAACAGAATACGCAGGTGCCAGCCCTGCCCATCTTTCCAAGAGCAGCTTAAACCAGTCCTGTGAACACTTTCCAGACACTAGAACTGAATCCTGCGATCATGATGAATAAATCTCTCTTCTTTGTCTCTTCTGTTCTGATTCTGCCTGCGCTCTGTGTCGGCACCAGTGAAGGTAAGTCTTTTCAGAATGTCTTTTTGATGTTATTTGTCTTTTGTTGTTGTTGCCCCTAAATAATTTCTCTTGACTAAACATTTTACAAGTAAGTCAATTAAATCATGGGCCTGTGAAATAGAAAGTAAAGGTGAAATACTCTGTCTGTTTGAATGAATTCATGACACTCTATTGACCCTTTGCAGTGACAGCACATTGCAGGGGGTTCTGTATGTTTGTCTTGTTTTAATATAGTCTGAACACTTAAGAAAAACAGTAGACCACACATTTTCAGGAGCCTGTGATCAATACGAGCGTTTATGGTCCTGTTTAGGAGCTTGATTTTCAACAAAAAGGTGAATAAAGTTGAACAAAAAGGTGACTAACAGAAAACTAAAGCTAGCTTGTGACTGTAATGCTATTTGAGAAGGACTTGTTTAACAGCGAGTCAACTACATCAGCCCTTTGTGGTCAGATTGTGTTGTAACGAAGCAGAGCTTCAGACAGAGCAGTGCCTCCAGTTAAACCCACTCCCTCAAAGAATGTTGATGACATCATCTGCATCATTTGGACTACAGTTACTTTTATGTTGCTATATAATTTAATCACAGCCTGAACATGAAGCCAAGACTCACTTTTGCTAAAATGAAAGTGAAGCTCCAGATATGAGCACAGTTGTCCAACTCATCTCACAGGAAACGTGACTTTAAATAAGTGTGCACTTAGCAGTCCAGGGTCTGTCTCCTGTTCAGACTCGATGAGACACATCATCACAGAAAAGAGCCGTGATAGAGGAATGTGGCTACTACACAGTAACATATCACTTTGTATGTGTTTGGCCTCACTTCTGTCAGTCTGCCCCAGGGCAGCTGTGGCTTCAATATCTGACCACCACTGAGTGTGGAGTGAATGAAGAATGCTGTAGAACTCCTTTGAGGGTCAAAAACTCTATATAAATCATTGTTGTTTTCTCAGAGGTCAGAGAGGTCTCCTGCGCTCTGGGGACAAACTGCATCCTGCCCTGTTCCTTTCACCTCAGCTCTTACAGCTCTCACCCTTTCATCTACTGGTTAAAGAAACCTGGAGATGAAATAGTCCACAGCTACTACTACCAACAGAACCAGGATCAGGACGAGGCCTACAGGGACCGCACGGCTCTGTTTGAGGGCAATATCCAGAGAGGAAACGCATCACTGTGGCTGTCAGAGGTCAAAGTTCAAGATGAAGGAGAATATGTCTGCCTCACCGGGACCACAACTGACAAACAGACAAACAAATCCAGAATCTTCTTAAGTGTCTTTGGTAAGAAAAAATCCTGTTATATTAGCATAGACTGTATATGTAAAAGGACAGAGTCTCAGTGTTTCAGACCAGTTCTACCAATGTGAAATTCTTCTGGATGGAACCAAAGGTTTTGATCACAGAAACATGGTCCAGATGACCACCAATGAAACCGTTTCTACTGTGAGCCATTCCTGTATGAATGAGGGATTACACCGTCTCAGTGACTCGTGTTGTTTTCCAGTGGACTTTGGTGTAGTTGACCTGGTGAGGCGGGGCTCTGAGCTGGTCTGCCGTGCAGAAGGACTCTACCCTAAACCTACAGTGATCTGGTCCTCTGGGCTTTGGTTCTTTGAAGTCAAAACCAAAGTCCATCAGAGGGAGGACCAGCTCTATGACATCACCAGCTCTATCACCCCACAGCCAAATGCAGGTAGGTGTGGGTCATGAACATCTCAGTGATTCTTTGGGGTTATCGGGGTATTTTGATATTCAAATGATTTTATGAAAATCAGTCAGAAATGTGCTAAAGGGCCTGTAAATGTTGTAGTTGAGAATGGAATAAAATGTAGACTCTTGACTGTGCAGAAAAATCACTGTAAACTGTTATTTGAAAGACTAAACTGCACAATTCATACACAAAGTCATTAAAACTTTTTCACAGAGTAAGAAAGACATTAAGATCACAAAACAAACAAACCAAAACATAAATAATACATCATAAAATTAACTTTAAAGAACAGAGTGCAGAATACAAAAAAAAACTTTCTGCCTAAAACTGACCAACAGGAGGCTGAGTCTAAACCAGGACTAAACCAGGACTAGAGCAGGATTAAACCAGGACTAAACCAGGACTAGAGCAGGACTAAACCAGGACTAAACCAGGACTAAATCAGCACTAGAGCAGGACTAAACCAGGACTAGAGCAGGACTAGAGCAGGACTAGAGAAGGACTAGAGCAGGACTAGAGAGCAGGACTAGAGCAGGACTAGAGAAGGACTAGAGCAGGACTAGAGCAGGTCTGTCCCTGTGGTCCTCAGAATGCAGATGGTTCATGTGGCACTAACATGTCACACATGTGTTTTGTTGTAAGGCCTTGGACTTGTTCACATGCAGCATGTGCTCAGACTTCCTGGTTCTAGTCAGTGTAACTTATTTTATGTCCTTATCAAATAAACAACTGAGATCTTTCTTCATGTCATTTTATGACTTTTTTGTTTTTAACCCCTGACAGAAATATTAGATTAACATTTGTAATATTATTATTTTGTAATATACATTTTTCTTCCACATGCAGCTGCTCCAGATCCACATAAAAAACAGTGGCCTTCCTGCACTGTCGGCACTCGCCGCAGCTCAAGGACAGTTATACTTACAAAAGAATGTGAGTATTCTGTCTTCAGTGTGACTTTGTGTGTTGTTGTTTCTTGGATACAAAGATTTTGTGTATTTTATCAGATCGTCTTGGAGTTTACTATAATGATGCAGTCCTCAGCTGCTTGGACTTCGACGCTCCAAGTCTCATCTGGAAATTCAGCCAAACCCAGATCATTCTGACCCGGTCTGGATCAAACTCTTTCTTTAATGAGTCGTGGAGACAGTTTGTGGATAGACTGACAGAGTCTAACCATCTGATTCTAAAAGATCTGACCAAAGACCAGGAGGGGCTGTACTCGTGTCACGTCATCACAGACACAGATATATATGTAAATAACATACAACTGGAGATAGAAGTGGAGGAAAAAAATAAAGAAATGATTGGTAAATATGAATCTGAATCATTATTAAACAATGCTGTGTTACTAAACACTATTTTTATTTGTTTTCTTTCAGGATTCAGATTTGTTTGGATTTTCAAACTACTGTTTGTGTTTTTTTGTGGATACCTTGTAGGCCTATACAAATTGGTAACATTACTTTTGTGAATATATTTTTAGATTTTACACATTTGAACTGAAACAAACCATAACTTATATGTATTCTTTAGAAATTAAGTTTTCCTCAGAGGATCAGAGGTTTCTTTTCAAGGTCCGAGTTGAGGGAGAGATCCATGAACATTCCCGTGAGCCAGCAAGAATCTTGGAGTAAGTACTCACCCAAACTGAATATTATATTTGGACAACAGTCTTTTATTTAAAATTAAAGTGAAGAAAAGCACCAAAGAAATTCTACCTGTTTCTGTTTATTTAAAGCGGAACAAAATGACAACGAGACACTGCCGAATCCTGCGAGTCCTGTCCTGCCGAATCCTGTCACCGACACTAACACTGGAGAACCAAGTAAGTTTGTCTCAGCGGACGTGTACTCAGGCGGTGAAAACAGGTGTACACTGGAGAAATTATGTGTTTAATAGAGGAGAATAAAGATGACTCAAACATACAGGAATCACTCCAAATACAACTTCAGTGGGCCAATGAGGAGGGAACTACTATAACATGATTAAAAGATCTGAAAATCAATTTTGCAGAATATGTCTGATTTAAATTAATTGTCTTTACAGGGGAAATGACACCAAAGAAGCTGAGCGGCCACAGACGATCTAAGAAGAAAAAACACTGATGCCCAGGACAAAGTCTATCTCTTTCTACTTCTCTTAACTGCATTTTGAGTATTCATATATGTATTTAATGTGTTTCTTTCTTTGGCAGAATACATTGATTATTATGACACTCTTTTGTATCTCCAAACCATTTACAGAGATGTGTATGACTGAGCTCATGACTACTGGATATGTTTGTGGTTGTTGTTAAAAATATTTTCTATGTCATAAGGCTTTTTTACTTCACACAAATTACACATTATCTGACAGATCCATGGTTACACGTCAGCCGAATGCAAAATGCAAAAATGGGGCACTCTGGGTTCTGTCTAAACTTTTTTGGGTTTTTTTGCTTTTGTTTTGCTTTGTGCTCATCTCATTTGGAAGCACTGTTTTCTATATTTTAGTCAAACACAACATGACAATATCTTCATAGGATTAATAAGGATGTCTGGTCACGTTATGTCAGCCAAGTGCACTGCTGATGTCTGAAAGAATGCTGCAGTGTACACACAAGATTATAAATAAATAAATAAATATGATCATTGCTGGACTGATCGGTGGTTGATTACACGTGTCTTTCTAGCTCATTCACTCTGGTCTTGATTGCTTCTGTCTTTGTGCACCGCAGTTTAAAAACATCTATAAATGTTTTGTCAAATAAATAAATAAATAAATATGATTGTTAATGGACCGATCCGTGGTTGATTACACATGTCTCTTTCGCTCTGGTCTCGATTGCTTGTGTCTTTGTACACCGCAGTTTAAAAAAAAAAATCTATGTTTTGTCAAGTAAATAAATAAATAAACTAATAATAAATAAATAAATAAATATGATCACTGATGGACCGATCAGTGGTTGATTACATGTCTCGCTCACTCATGCGCTCTGGTCTTGATTGCTTCTGTCTTTGTGCACCACAATATAAAAAAAAAAAAAAAAAAAATCTATAGATTTTTTGTCAAATAAATAAATAAATACGATTGTCGATGGATCGATCGGTGGTTGATTACGCGCGTCTTTCTCTTTCGCTCTGGGCTCGATTGCTTCAGTCTTTGTGCACCGCAGTTCAAACATGGCGACCACGAACCCGTCGCAGCTTCTTCCTCTCGGTTTGTGCAAGAAATTCAACGATTTATTCCCGTTAACTCATCGAAATTGTACCATTAATTTCTTACGTGAAGTAGACAGAGTTAATATTCTCACGTAAAGGCTGTAGCTGTGATTTTAAAGACATATTAGCGCGTTTTCTGTCACGGTTTGCGTCACGTTGCTCTGCGCCGCTTTACGTTTACGTTTCACTGCAGGAGAAGAGAAAATGAGCTAAAGCGATTTAAACACGCTTAAAAAATGTAATAATAAATTCCAGAATGGAGGCAAATGTGGGATATAATGTGATTTCAATGGGAAAAACTGGGATTAACTTCAGACTACAACAAAATATGAAAAATCAAGGGAAATCGGAGACGTCAGTGATTTCATATTTCATCAGATTTAGAATTTTAAATGCTGTTGAATTTCTCACTTTGAACTCTGAAGAAACATCTTTGAATTATTTTTATTATGATTTGGTTGCTGAAATTTTAAGTGTATATTTTCAAAGTGTTTAAATTCTATGTATATATAAAAATAAAAATAAAATCACCTTTTAAATATTCAGCACAAATATTTTCAAGCCTTCAAATTCAACAGTCAAAATTCAGAGTGTAAAATTGAAAATATCTGTGGTGAATTTCTTTAATTTTGAATTTAAAGCATATTACACACAAGTAAACTTCAAATTTCAGCAACTAAAATTTAGAATAAAAACAATTCAAACATCTTTTTTCAGAGTTAAAAAAATTCAAAGTGAGAAATTCAGTGGTATTTAAAATTCAAAATCTGATGGAACAAGTTATCTGCCATAATTTCAGCCAGACGTCTCTTTTTTTCCCCGGGACTGTCCTAGTTTTGACCCTGTGTCCCCTGTCCCAGCAGATTTATACAAAACTAGTGATTTGTCCTAATTTTATACAAGAAATGTCCCAATTTTGCACCAATTTGATCACTGCCAACAGTAAACAGAGGCACAAACTCTAATTTGTTTAGGTAAAATACAACAAAATATAGGCATAAGTGCATCTTGTTATAGTTAAACGTGTGTACTACTTTTATTTGTCGCAGATAAATTCTAACCACGTTCTATTTTCTGTTTTCTTTTTCCAGAGCTGGTGGACAAGTGCATCGGCTCCAGGATTCACATCGTCATGAAAACGGACAAAGAGATCGTGGGGACTCTGCTGGGCTTCGACGATTTTGTCAGTATCCTTTGAGCAAAATCTGATCCTTACTTTGACCATAGTCCAGTGTCCCGGGCGGGGGGTGTTCTACATGTATCTCTATGGACACATCGATAAAGCCTAACTGGTACCCAAGGAAAGTCTGAGGGACCGAAATGTCGTACCAATAAAAGAAAAATCAAGAATGTGTGGAGGTTTTCTTTAAAAACAGAATATTTAAAAGGTGAAATTTTTATTTTGAATTTGAAACATATCGAAAAAGTAGACTTAAAATTCAGAATAAAAATAAGTCAAACATCTTTTTTCAGAGTTAAATGATTCAAAGCGAGAATTTAAAGCCGGATTTAAAATTCTAAATCCGATGAAACAAATGATCTTCCTTAGATTCGACCCCTTTCTGTTTTCATGTTGTTTTATGTTTTATATTTGCATTAGTCCTTCACTCTTCTCTCAGACATGGTCCTGGAGGATGTGACAGAATTGTAAGTATTTATTTGTGTATTTCTAAAACTTAAAAACATGAAAAACAAAACTAGTTCTTTGTAAACCGTCTGCACTGGTCCAAAGTTCTTACTCGTACATCCTAATTATTACCCACAATGAGATTATTAGAGCTTCGTGCAACTTTCAGAGACCAGAGCGGAGTTTCGGCTTCACAGTAATGCAAACAACTAGCATGCTAACAGTGCACTTCCTAATTATCAAGCAATAAAACAAACAAAAAAACTGTAAGAAGACATTTGTTGTAATGTATTTATTCTTCTGTTTCAGTGAAATCACACCAGAGGGACGAAGGATCACCAAACTAGACCAGATTCTCCTCAACGGAAACAACATCACAATGGTAAATGAGTGTGTCAGATGCCCTCCCGTCGTGATTCTGCTGTGTGTCAGATGCCCTCCCGTCGTGATTCTGCTGTGTGTCAGATGCCCTCCCGTCGTGATTCTCCTCTATTAGAGTGTGGAATCGAACCCGACCCGAACCCGACACAATTAAAATCTAATCTTAACTATTTTCATCGGCCTCATGACAGACGGAGGATTTAGTTTGTTCCTCTAACGGACACAGAGACGCAAAATACAAACTCGAGATAAAACGAAAATAATGAGACGAGTTTATTCCTCAGATCTCGTAAAAGCGGTAAATTACTACTACAACTACTACTACAACAACAAGGACTACTACTGCTGCTGCTGCTACTACTACTACTACTACTACTACTACTGCAACAACATCTACTACTACTACTACTACTACTACTACTACTACACTACTACTACTACTACTACTACTACTACTACTACTACTACTACTACTACTACTACACTACTACTACTACTACTACTACTACTGCTACTACTACTACTACTACTACTACTACTACTACTACTACTACTACTACTACTACTACTACTACTACTACTACTACTACTACTACTACTACTACTACTACTACTACTACTACTACTACTACTACTACTTACTACTACTACTACTGCTACTACTACTACTACTACTACTACTACTACTACTACTAAAACTACTACTACTACTACTACTACTACTACTACTACTACTACTACTACTACTACTACTACTACTACTACTACTACTACTACTACTACTACTACTACTACTACTACTACTACTACTACTACTACTACTACTACTACTACTACTACTACTACTACTACTACTACTACTACAACAGCTACTACAGCTACTATTACTACTACTACTACTGCAACAACTACTACTACTACGACAGCTACTACTACTACTACTACTACTACTACTACTACTACTACTACTACTACTACTACTACTACTACTACTACTACTACTACTACTACTACTACTACTACTACTACTACTACTACTACTACTACTACTACTACTACTACTACTACTACTACTACTACTACTACTACTACTACTACTACTACTACTACTACTACTACTACTACTACTACTACTACTACTACTACTACTACTACTACTACTACTACTACTACTACTTACTACTACAACAACTACAACAACACTGCTGTAACTACTGCTGCAACTACTACTACAACTACAATTACTACTATAACTACTACTACAACTACTACTAGTCTCAGAGCGAGTGGTTTTACTGGAGACAGGAAACAGTTGCCGCACTGACGTGTCCAACCCAAGAAGTTTTAAATATTTGTCCGAACCAGTCAGACTTTGGTCGGGTTTTCGTGCTCCGTCCTCTGTGTCTCTGTGTGTGTGCCCTGTCATGACTGTGTGTCATGATCAGATGCCCTCCCGTCATGATTCTCCTGTGTGTCTGTGTGTGTCAGATGCCCTCCCGTCCTTTCGTTGACTCTTATTTCAATATTTCTTTTTGTTGCAGCTCATTCCTGGCGGCGAAGGGCCTGAAGTTTGACCGCTGCACGTGTTTCCCCCGAGTGTTTTTTAGTTGATCATGTGAAGTTTTTTTTTTTTTTGTTTCTCGTTGATGAAAATATTTTTGTAACGTGTTTCTGAGTTTAATAGAATAAGGTCCAAACGAATGGCACTTTTGGTTTAAAATAAAAGACATTTTCAAACATGTTTGGAGCTTTTTTTATTCAAATCTTACAACAACAAAAATGGTGCAAGTACTGCAAAAGAAATGCAGTCCTTTCCAAATGGAATCTACACAAATCTCAGTGCTTATGACAAGTTTTTATGACTCATTTTGATGGGATTAGACCTGATGTAAATATAAATTATAGTTTTACACAAATCAACAGTGGAAGAAGAAGAACTCCATGTTACTCAAGTAAAGTACACATACAGGCGCAAAAAGTTACTCAGAAATATCACATGGAAAAATCTACTTAAGTATGAAAGTGTTGTTTAAAATTTACTTGAAGAGTTTTTCCACTGGTCAATTGTAAAAAAAAAATCATTATTGAAAACCCACAAACCATTGATTGTATTGATTATATTGATATTTGTTTGTATTTGTGTATGTGAAACTGGAGCGTCGCACAGGCTCAGTACAGAGAGTACTTTGCGGGCTCAGTACACGCAGTACTTTGCGGGCTCAGTACATGGAGGACTTCTCTTCTCCTTTGGGGTTGGTCACTTTGTCCAGATTTTTGTTGATGACGTCGTAAAATTCAGTCTAAAACAAAAAAAAAAGCATTTGCACTTTTTAAAATTGAAACGTTTCTCAGTTTTTGATACTACTACTACTACTACTACTACTACTACTACTACAACAACACTGCTGTTACTACTACTGCTGCTGCTACTATTAAAACTACTACTACAACTACTGCTGCTACTACTAAACTACTACAACTACAACTACTACTACTACAACAATGCTGTTACTACTACTGCTGCTGCTACTACTAAAACTACTACAACTACTGTTACTACGACTACGACGTCTACTGCTGCTACTACTAAACTACTACAACTACAACTACTACTATTACTACTACTGTTACTACTACAACAACAACACTGCTGTTACTACCACTACTACTGCTTTACTGCTATTACTATTACTACTTCTGCTACTACTACTGTTACCACTACTACTACAACTACTACTGCAACTACTACTATTAGTATTATTACTACTATTACTACTACAATTAAAAAAGGGGCAGTGGTTAAATCTCTCAAAACTCTGGGTCTCTGACCCAAACTGGACTCACAGGATTACACCTGCAGGGGGCGCTCATGCACTACTACTACGGCTACTACTACTGCTGCTGCTGCTGCTGCTGCTACTACTACTACATACTACTACTATTACTACAGGTAAAAGTTTATAATATTTAGTGACTCACGTAGAGACTGCGGATGTCCAGCAGGACCACTCTGGCCTCCTGGAACATGTCTCTGTCTTTTTCATGGACCAGAGAGCGATAATTCATCTGAAAACACAGACGTGGATTTAAAAACAAGTCACTTAGAGCTAAAAGATTAACATTTGGAAAAAAGCAAGATCAAAATGTGTTGTTTTTGAGGAGGTAACAACATAACAACATTATAACACGGCTCAAAGCTCACAGAGTCAGTTTTACATAATAAGATAAAATAATTCTTTATTGAAACACGGCAACATCAGCCAAGAATAACCATGAGTAAAAGGAACGTGTACCATTCGTTCTTTTTGAATTTCAGTTAAGAACAAAAAACAATAAAATGGGATTTACTGTTTTTCTGTTTTAGTGTAAAAAAAACAACTAATTTTGACCTCCATTTCCAATATTTAATGAGTTTCCTCTGCAGGGCATCTGGGCGTCTCCCTTAGAGACAGAGTGAGGAGTTCAGTCACACAGGAGGAGCTCGGAGTAGAGCCACTGCTCCTCCACGTGGAGAGAAGCGTCCGAGGGGAGGACGTCTGTTCTGATGTCTCCTTGGCGTCTCCCTCAGGAGGTGTTCATGTCCCACCAGGAGGAGGCCCCGGGGAAGACCCAGGACACACTGGAGGGACTATGTCTCTGGACTGGACTGGGAACACCTCAGGTCCCACTGGAGGAGCTGGAGGAAGTGTCTGGGGTGAAGGAAGTGTGGGAGTCCCTGCTTAGACTGATGCCTCCGTGACCCGGCCCCAGATAAAGTGGAAGAAAATGGATGGATGATACTAGATGCAGGTTTGAGGCTCTGTTTGCCTCATTCACTCACACATTCATACACCAAACGCGGGGTGAGGGGTCAAGTGTCTTGCCCATGGACACAACGACAGCATTCATGTGTGAGAGCTGGAATTGTACCGCCAGCCTGTGTCTCGGTGTCATTATGAAATGATGAATAAAAAAGAATGAAACGTACCACGTGTGTCTCTTTGGAGGCTTTGGCGACGGCGTCTCCTCTCTCCGACAAATACCTGAACAAAACACCACATTCAAACTAAACTCACACAAATAATCAAATCTGAGACTAAAGGAAAGTTCAAATGTGCCTCACTTGTTGATGTTCGGGAGCAGCTCGTCCATTTTCTTTTGGACCGCGGCGATTCTTTCCAGAATTTTCTCCTGAAGTGAGAAAAATAAGAAAAAGATTTAGGAAGAGGAAAGTTTTTTGCTACTGAGACGACGACAGCTGCAGTAACAGTAGTAACTTTAACTAACTAATTTAAATCTGTTTGGTTATTGATACTTTTCAGGGGGTGTTCTACATGTGTATCTATGGCTGAATGGTTTAACAGCACAGATCATCTCTCCTGTATTAGTAGTAGCAGCAGTAGTAGTAAGTAAGTAGTAGTAAGTAAGTAGTAGTAGTAGTAGTAGTAGTAGTAGTAGTAGTAGTAGTAGTAGTAGTAGTAGCAGTAGTAGTAGTAGTAGTAGTAGTAGTAGTAGTAGTAGTAGTAGTAGTAGTAGTAGTAGTAGTAGTAGTAGTAGTAGTAGTAGTAGTAGTAGAAGTAGCAGCAGTAGTAGTAGTAGTAGTAGTAGTAGTAGTAGTAGTAGTAGTAGTAGGAGTAGTAGAAGTAGCAGCAGTAGTAGTAAAAGTAGTAAAGTAGTAGTAGTAGTAGTAGTAGAAGTAGCAGCAGTAGTAGTAGTAGTAGTAGTAGTAGTAGTAGTAGTAGTAGTAGTAGTAGTAGTAGTAGTAGTAGTAGTAGTAGTAGTAGTAGTAGTAGTAGTAGTAGTAGTAGTTAGTAGTAGTAGTAGTAGTAGTAGTAGTAGTAGTAGTAGTAGTAGTAGTAGTAGTAGTAGTAGGAGTAGGAGTAGTAGGAGTAGTAGAAGTAGCAGTAGTAGTAGTAGTAGTAGTAGTAGTAGTAGTAGTAGTAGTAGTAGTAGGAGTAGTAGAAGTAGCAGCAGTAGTAGTAAAAGTAGTAAAGTAGCAGCAGTAGTAGTAGAAGTAGTAGCAGCAGTAGTAGTAGTAGTAGTAGTAGTAGTAGTAGTAGGAGTAGTAGTAGTAGTAGTAGTAGTAGTAGTAGTAGTAGTAGTAGTAGTAGTAGTTAGTAGTAGTAGTAGTAGTAGCAGCAGTAGGAGTAGTAGTAGTAGTAGTAGTAGTAGTAGTAGCAGCAGTAGTAGTAGTAGTAGTAGGTAGTAGTAGTAGTAGTAGTAAGTAGTAGTAGTAGTAGTAGTAGTAGTAGTAGTAGTAGGAGTAGTAGTAGTAGTAGTAGTAGTAGTAGTAGTAGTAGTAGTAGTAGGTAGTAGTAGTAAGTAGTAGTAGTAGTAGTAGTAGTAGTAGGAGTAGTAGTAGTAGTAGTAGTAGTAGGAGTAGTAGTAGTAGAGTAGTAGGAGTAGTAGAAGTAGCAGCAGTAGTAGTAAAAGTAGTAAAGTAGTAGTAGTAGTAGTAGAAGTAGCAGCAGTAGTAGTAGTAGTAGTAGTAGTAGTAGTAGAAGTAGCAGTAGCAGTAGTAGTAGTAGTAGTAGTAGTAGTAGTAGTAGTAGTAGTAGTAGTAGTAGTAGTAGTAGTAGTAGTAGTAGTAGTAGCAGTAGTAGTAGTAGTAGCAGTAGTAGTAGTAGTAGTAGTAGTAGTAGTAGTAGTAGTAGTAGTAGTAGTAGTAGTAGTAGTAGTAAATTTGACCTGAATCGCGACTCCAAAGTCGTTTCCGTCTTCTATTTTGGGGATGAGGTGATGGATCCAGCAGGTGATCTACACAAACACATCGTCACTACAGGGAAATGTGGAAATGTGTTTAAGTTTAAAAATAAAAAAGTCAGACAGAATATTTCTTACATTAACCATCGTCTCTCTGAGGGCAAATATCTCCGGCTTCACCAGCCCCAGCAGATGTGAGATCCTCTCGTTTGAAATGATGAAGCCGCACTTGGGAGCTGTGGAAAAACAACACTTTTATTTACAATATTTATATTTACATGTAAGTATTATGAATTAGTGTTGTCAGGATATAAAAATGTCAAACTCTTCACTCTGATATTAACAAATAAACCTGATACTCAATACTGATTCTGATACCACAATCAGAATAAAAACTCATTTAGTACTTTCTAACTTGTTCTAATGTTTCCTCGTCAAAAACAGAGCTGGAGTTGTGTTTGTTTCATTCACATGTTTGAGTAACTCTTTATTATCAGTCTGTTTACATCTTCACAGCTCAAAACGCTCTGTTCCACTGTGTGATTAATGATGGGCCAAAAGAGTCGACGCGCTGACACACTTGTCGAGCTGTCGCTGTGTGTCACGTTAAGGAAAATAACATGACCAATACAATCTCTTTGGCCAAATTTTCATGTATCAAATCTGTATTAGAGCTGCCGCTGCACACAGATCGACTATAAACACATTATTTATTTAAAATGTTGTTATTATTTTATATTCTGTTTGTTCTGGATTCAATGTTTATGTAAAACTATTATTAAACATTTATTTTAATAAGAAATGGTTTAACATTACACATCTGGAAAGAAGAGAAAACATGCAGATGCAGAGAAATTTTTCAATAAATATTTAGTTTGTCCCACGACTTAGTCTCAGTTTTTCATTTTGGCCTCTGTGAGTTTGATTCTTCTGGTTTAGAGAGCGAAAAGCACGAGGCTCAAATCTGTCACAGCGTCTCAGTTCATCACCACAGAACCACACAGAAACACAACACAGGCCTGTTCTGTGTGGCTCATTTTAATAAAAACTAAACAAAAAAACAACTATATTATTTTTACTATTATTTTACTGTCATTTTCACAACGATTCACTTCTTCATGTATCACATATTTGTCGACTTTATACGACTGTGATTTGCGTTTTAATGACATGAGATTGCATCACCGTCTTGGTCAGTTCTTATATTTGTTGGAGATCAGAAGATAATCCAGAACAGGGCGGCTCGTCTGGCTCTGCGTTGCCCTTTTAGGAGCAGCGTGAGCGTCGTGCACGAGAGGTTCTCCTGGTTTACTGTTGAGGACAGACTTACCTGTAGCCTTATTTTGTTTTTAAAAAATGTCTGTATTTTACAAAGAGCGTTGAGCCTGTTTGCACAACTACTGCCCTCTAGTGGTGGGCAGGTTTTATCACAAGACGAGCTTCACATGGACATTTTATACTTCCACTGCCCAGGACTAATGCTCTGAAAAGAACTGTTCTATACAGAGCGATAGAGCTTTGGAACACACTCCCCCAAACCTGAACTGTTCACAAGCACCAACCAAGTTTTAAGAAAATGCTAAGGAAATATATTGGAAATTGTACAGAATTTTATCTTGGAACTAGTCACACATTGTAATTTATTGGATATATTACAATTGTAGTAGTGTTGTGTAGTGCAGTAAACTGTGGTACAGGACTGTAGAACTTGTGTAAACTTTGTTATTATTATGGAACATTTTATTGTAAATTATGCCAACTTGGACCCCAGGAAGAATAGTCTTTACCTGAGTAAAGACTAATGGGGATCCAATAAACAAATAAATAAATAAATAAATAAATAACACAGCAGGGGAATTATTTCATTTTTAAGCCACCAGATGGCGCTACAGAACAAACCAACACCGTGTCAACACAGAGTTGGAAACGTGTTACACACTGAGGCCTCATCTACACATCACGACCTGTGACGTCATGAAGCTGAGGTTTTCAGGTGAACATCTCCTTTTACCTTTAGTTCAGTAGAGATCAGAAGTGCAGGTTTGAAATCATCCAAATAATTCTAGTGAAGGCATGTGGAGTTTAAAAACACAGTGGAGCACCTCTATATTTCCACATACCATGATGATATCGTATCATATCGTGAGACTTGGATATCGTTACACCTTTATTAAATAGTAGTACTTCATTTTCTGTTCCCATGTGGTTTTTAGGTCTATCTGTCTGTCTAAAGGTCTAAACCAGGTCTAAACCAGGTCTAAACCAGGGGTCTAAACCAGGCTAAACCAGGTCTAAACCAGGTCTAAACCAGGTCTAAACCGGGACTAAACCAGGACTAAACCAGGTCTAAACAAGGTCTTTTTTGGAGAACCCTGTTACAAACAAACACTTACGAGTTTTCTTTTTCTTTCCTTCTCCGTCGGGTTTGTCCGTCTCCATTTCCTTCAGGAGAAAAATACAGTTTATAATGAGAAGAATGTAACACGTTTTAAATTTTATACATGAATTTAACATCATTAACAGGTGTTATAATGTTGCATCATGGTAAATATTCCACAGTAGGCATTAATAATTCTAACTGGAACTGATGCTGAGTCTGACGACAGCGACACAGAAGAGGAAAGCGGCGCTCTGTTTACCTCCAGAGGTTGATGCCGAGTTGTTCAGAAAGTGACACCGAGGATGAAGAATCAAATGGATTTAGTGAAATTGGAGTGAGATGGAGATTTTTTTAAACTTGTTCTGTTCTGTTGTTTATGTTATAGTTTATCTGAAGAACTGTTCATATGTGACGTTAACAGAGCCGCCTGGACTCCCTGTACTAGAGGACTACAATTACAGAAAAACGTCCCAGAGGATTTTAAAAAAGATGTGCAACAGACCGGGACTAAACTCAGAGTTTCAGCGGACTTCCCTCGGGTCAGAAGCTTTTAGTCCCAAGATCTAGAACAGATCGTTTTAACAGGAGCTTCGTTCCAGCTTCATACTTATGAATAAATTTATCTTCCATTTATCTATCAATTTGAGTATATTTATCTCAGAAAAATCAGGCATTTTTAAAAATATATTTAATATTTATTGTGATCTTATTCCAGACCGTGATGGATGAATTTAATTGAGTGTTTATGGAACAAACCGTTCTGCTCTGGTGCTCTGTAACACTTTATTTTGTAATTGTGTTTTTATTTGTGTTTACTCTTCATAATGTGGATGAATGAAATGTGAAATGTGAAACCAGCCTCTCAAATTTGGCAAAACAAATTTATCTAACGAGCATGAATAAAGCAACAGAACCTAACCTACATTAACACCTTGTTGTTCTCTGTTATTATTCAAGACTAAAATGTTGGTTCCTGGTCTCTGATTTTATAAAATAAATTTCCCCAAAAAAATGAGACTTAACAGTCCAGGGCGACTTTTAGATTGCAACTTATACTCCGCAACCGATGGTATGCTTAAAGAGGGCTATTTGACTTCTATGGGGTTTTAACTGCCGGATTTTTTTTATGGTCTGAATCCCCCTCCTTTTGCTCTCCGTGGTAAGCTGCTCCCCCTTCAGAGCGCTACACAAACACACTCATTGTGCGTGGTACAAAGTTTGCATAATCTTTTTCTTTACAATATCTTGGTCCAAACTGCTTCACACAGGTGTTTTGTGTGTTTTTTTTGTCTCCTCACCTCTTCCTCGGAGGGCGGGTCTGGGATGGGGATGTCCAGAGGAGCTTTGAGTGTCGACATGTCAGTGAACGCAGCATCCTACGAAAACACAAAACACAAGTAGGACATGACTAAATATTTAAAAATAACAACTGAACTGTGAACGTTGAGGTTAAAACAAACTCCACGAACCTTGAGCAGCCCGTCCAGGTAAACTACTTTCTGGGGAATGATGTTGCAGAACAAATTTTCAATCTGGAAAATGAAAAACTGTGTCAATGATGCCGAATAATGTAAGATAATAAATTAACTAAACCAGACTTTTTTTTTTTTTTTTAGAAGTACACATGGGTAATCCTCTGCTCCTCTGACCCTCTTCTCTGCTTCTCTGACCCTCTTCTCTGCTCCTCTGACCCTCTTCTCTGCATCTTCTGCTCACCTGACCTTCTCCTCAGCATCTCTGACCCTCTCCTGTGCTCCTTCTGACCTTCCCCTCTGCTCCTCTGCATCTCTGACCCTTTTCACTGTTCTTCTGACCCTCTCCTCTGCATTTTTGCTCCCCTGACATTCCCCTCTGCATCCTGTGCTCCTCTGACCCTCCACTCTGCTTCTCTGCATCTCTGGCCCTCTCCTTTTCTCGTCTGACCCTCTCTTCTTCTCCTCTGACCATCTCCTCTTTATCTCTGACCCTCTTCTCTTCTCCTCTGCTCCTCTGACCCTCTTCTATGCATCTTCTGCTCCTTCTGACCTTCCCCCCCTGCTCCTCTGACCCTCTACTCTTCTCCTCTGCATCTCTGACCATCTCCTCTGCATCCTGTGCTCCTCTGACCTTCTCCTCTTTATCTCTGACCCTCTTCTCTTCTCCTCTGCTCCTCTGACCCTCTCCTCTGCATCTCTGCTCCCCTGACCTTCTCCTCTGCATCCTTTTCTCCTCTGACCCTGTTCTCTGCATCTCCACTCCTCTGACCTTCTCATCTGCCCCGCTGACCTTCCCCCCTGCTCCTCTGACCCTCTTCACTGCTCCTCTGACCCTCTGTCTGCATCTCTGCTCCTCTGACCCTCTACTCTTCTCCTATGCATCTCTGGCCCTCTCCTTTTCTCCTCTGACTCTCTTTGCTGCATTTCTGACCCTTTAATCTGCATCCTCTGCTTCTTCTGACCCTCTGACCTTCCCCTCTCCTCCTCTGACCCTCTACTCTGCATCTCTGACCCTCTACTCTTCTCCCCTGACATTCCCCTCTGCTCCTCTGGCCCTCTCCTCAGCATCTCTGACGCTTTTTTCTGACCCTCTTCTCTGCATCTCTGCTCCTCTCCTTTTCTCCTCTGACCCTCTTCTCTGTTCCTCTACATCTCTGACCCTTTTCACTGTTCTTCTGACCCTCTCCTCTGCATCCTGTGCTCCTCTGACCCTCCACTCTGCTTCTCTGCATCTCTGCCCCTCTCCTTTTCTCCTCTGACCCTCTCTTCTTCTCCTCTGACCCTCTTCTCTGCATCTTTTGCTCCTCTGACCCTCTTCTCTGCATCCTTTTCTCCTCTGACCCTCTTCTCTGTTCCTCTGCTCCTCCTACAGGTAAAAACAAACCTGAACTTTTTGTTTTGTTTTGTTGTAAAGTCATGTGATTTTGTTACCTCATTGTTGAGCTGCTGGCGGAAGTTGTCCACCTAAAACAAACCGGAAACAGAAATAAACACGTTAAATTTTAGTTGCTGACTCACGTTACAGTCTAAACTTTCACAGATTCACTTTCGCTTTCTCCTTTAGTGGGACTTTCCGTCGAACATCAACGCGATTTTTAAACTTAATTCACAAAAACAAACGCGAAGATACATTTAGAAATATTGCGAACGTTTTTTAGTTGTTTTTAAAGCGGATTTGACAGGATTAAAGTAAATATTCCACCTGTGAACTCGCTCACCTTCTTCTGACTGTCGCTGCTGATTTTCAACGCGGTGGTTCTAGTCATGACTCAGCGAAACGTGCGGCGTAAAATAACGACGCTTTCGGAGTTAATTTTGCAGAAAAAACACGTAAAATCTCCGAGCGATCAAACGCGAGTCGTATTTTTTTAATTTCCTGATTCAGTTTAAGTTTCGTTAGAAATGATCACGCCCCTTCACTTCCCATTGGAGAACAAAGCAGTGCACGCCTACTTTATTTTTATTTTTTTATATATAATGTCCCAAATGTATTTAAAAATCACATGTTTGGAGCTGAGAGACACACGGTTTGGAGTGTAAAATAATAACATAAGAATATGTACACAGTGTTGGGGAGTATCGTATTACATGTACCGGCGTTATGTAATCAGAGTACAAATTATGAGTAACTGTATTCAGTTACAGTTACCGTTTCTGTGAGTGATATTTGGATTACAGTTACTTTGTTGAAATAAATGGATTACAGTGCGGTATTTTCCTGTTTTCACATTTTGGGCTAAACCAGGTCTAACCCAGGACTAAACCAGGACTAAAACCAGGTCTAAACAGGACTAAACCAAGACTAAAACCAGGTCTAACCCAGGACTTAACCAGGACTAAAACCAGGTCTAACCCAGGACTAAACCAGGACTAAAACCAGGTCTAACCCAGGTCTAACCCAGGACTAAACCAGGACTAAAACCAGGTCTAACCCAGGTCTAACCCAGGACTAAAACCAGGTCTAAACCAGGACTAAACCAGGACTAAAACCAGGTCTAACCCAGGACTAAACCAGGACTAAACCAGGGCCAATTTGAAGAGAACAAACAAGAAGGATGTGGTTGCTACATTCCTGTAGTTTTAAAAAAACATGACAATATCAAGTAATCCAAAGTATTCAGATTACGTTACTCACTTTAAATAATTTAATGGATTACGTTACAAACTACATTTTGGGGTATGTAATCTGTAATCTGTAGGGTATTACATTTTAAAAGTAAACTTCCCAACACTGTATGTACAAAAGAGATTAAAGAAGAAACAGCAAATTATTATTGTATGAATAAAAATAATTGCTAGTGAAACGTATGAATTCGCCAAGGTAGTTTTATGTATTGTATTCATAGATGTATAAAAATATATATACTGTCTATGATTATATTCTGTTATATTTAAAGATGACTTGCAAAATAAAATGGGTGATTCTGCCTTTGTCACTCTGCCCCAAAACTCCCTCCACTCCCTCTTGAAATCAAAAGTTCTTGCTCACTCAGCAGTTTGAAAACAAAACTGAAACATACTTTCTAATATATCAATTATTTTAAATTGTACAATGTTTTATCTAATAATATTTAATTGTTAATTAATTTGTTTTATATTTATATATATCTATTGAACTGCATTTCTGTAATGTATTTTTATTAAAAGAACTTAAAAAATTGCATGTGTTTTTATAAATATCTTGTGAATTTCCTCCTGCTTTCTATTCATTTATACTTCACTATGTTTTATTTTTAATTAATGATTTGTTTTTTTATTTTTTATTTATTTATTTATTTTTTATCATGGTAAAACTAAACTTATATTTTCTATTAGTATTTCGTATTAATTTATAATTTTTTTTTTTAAATACACGTTTTTATTTAATTTATTTGTATTTATTGCATTTATTTTGTATAATTATTCAACAGAGAATTTATTTTATTTGGTAAAACTAAACTGTTATATAAATATTTTAGAATATTTTTTATTTTTTTTATTTTTACTACAAGTTTTTATTTTTATTTATTTTTATTTATTGCATTTATTTTGTATAATTATTCAACAGAAATTATTTTATTTGGTAAAACTAAACTGTTATATAAATATTTCAGCTTTTTTTTTTTTACTACACATTTTTATTTATTTTATTTTTATTTATTTGCATTATATTTTGCATAATTATTCAACAGAGTAATTATTTTATTTGATAAAACTAACAACACAACAATAACGCAACAACAACAACAACACGTTTTTATTTATTTTATTTTATTTTATTTTTTATTTATTACCTTCACACTTGCCTTTTATTTTGTATTATCAAACGGAAAACCGCTTTTATTGTGAAGTCCTGTTTCCCTGTTTGCGCGCTGTTTCCGGTTTATCAGGAATCCCCCGAAGTCCAAACTGACAGCCCTGAGCCAAAAACCGACACAAAAACGGAATATTTCTGCTTTAAATCCTCCTAACGCGACCTTTAAGTGTCGTGAGGAGTAAAACACAACAGAAAACAGCTTAAATCTTAAAAACGGTGAGTAAATGTACCGAAATCTAACATAGGACAATTTGTTTTTGTTTCGATTTCAACTTTCAGCTACTTGGAGCTTTCTGACGAACTTATTATTACAATATTCACTTAAAATCTAATTAATAATCACTATTAACTATGATATTACAGTAGGATATGCAACGTTAATATAAATAAATGTTACAATTGTGGAGAAATATATGAAATAATTCTGTTTTATATTATTATTTAAGTCACAGCTGTCATTACCAACCATAGATTATACAGTTTATGTTCATAACTGATGTTGTATTTGCTTTTTATGCTCAAATATTCCACAGTATGGCATTAAACCTTTCAATTTTCACAGAGACCAAACCAGAGCAAGTTACAGGTCAGATCTGCGGAGAGGTGACCCCGCTCAAAGTCAGAATAATGTTTTTTTTTTTGAGCTGTAAAACCACCTGGAATTGAGTAAATGTAAAGTAGAGCTGTTTAAAGTCACACTGCGGAACGTTCCAGACAGAGCGATGACGTCCCCAGCCAAAAAGTTACACAGTGCAGCTTTAAGAGTAAGCAGAGGTTTGAGAGAAGTAAAAAAATGTACTCAAACAAGACTAAGGTTACTTCAAAATGATATTACTCAAGTAGAAGTACAAAGTAGTGGTCCAAGTAAGAGTTAAAAAGTATTTGGGAAAAGTACAACTCAAGTAACACTGACATTACTTCAAAATATTACTCGGGTATAACTAGAAAGTAGTGGTCCAAGAAACTACTCAAGTAAGAATAAAAAGTATTTGGTAAAAGTACAACTCAAGTAACACTAAGGTTACTTCAAAATATTACTCAAGTAGAAGTACAAAATTTAAAAAGTATTTGGGAAAAGTACAACTCAAGTAAGATTAACGTTACTTCAAAATGATAGTACTCAAGTAGAAGTACAAAGTAGTAGAAACTACTCAAGTAAGAGTAAAAAAGTATTTGGGAAAAATACAACTGTAGTAAGACTAACGTTATTTCAAAATATTACTCAAGTAGAAGTGCAAAGTAGTGGCCCAAGAAACTACTCAAGTAATAGTTAAAAAGTATTTGGGAAAAGTACAACTCAAGTAGAACTAACGTTACTTGAAAATATTACTCAAGAAGAAACTACTCAAGTAAGAGTAAAAAACTATTTGGGAAAAGTACAACTCAAGTAACATGAAATAAGTCACAAAATCTGGTGTTTTCAAATGACAGACACAAAAATGAGACAAACAAATTCATATTTGAAGGAGCTACAAGAAACACAAACGTTCAAATAATTTCATTAAAAAAAATTATATTAAAAATATAATTAATAAAAAATATTACTCAAGTAGCAGTAAAGGCACTCTGTACTCTGAAAAGTACAATTTCTTTCAAAAGTGACTCAAGTAAACGTCACTGAGAATGACCCACTTCTGAGAGTTTTTATAGTTTTATATTTTTTTTTATAGCATGTCTAAAGTCTAAGAGCAGGTTTTTCCAATCGCCGTCCAAACCTCGAGTGTAAAAAGTGTCCAAATTAATCCACGAATGAACAAGAGTGAACACAACTAACTGAATCTTGATCATGATTTCGATTTGTGTGTGAAACGATCTCCGAACTCATGTAATCGTGTTGAAACAAAATATTAACAAAGTTTATTTTGGGATATTTTTTATGTAAAGAAGTATCTTTATTTTATTGTATAATTTGCTTTATTTCATGTTCAAAGTATATTTTATTTCTATACATTATCGATAACAAAGTGTTTTTGTTTTTTTTAGAGAGAAATGCTGAATAATGAATGAATGAATGAATCGTGTAAATAAAAATGATCGTTTGAATAATTGTAATTTCAATATTGACCAAAATAATTGTGATAATGATTTTTTCCATAATCGAGCAGCTCTACTATCTTGAGTTCTATTTGTTTATGTTGAAAGATATTCAAAATGACAAAACAAATACAGCCAGGGTTATAAATAAATAAAGTAGTGACGGTTTCAAATTAAATTAAGCATTTTACTGTAAATAAAATAACTCGCTCAGCTCCTTTCGACTAATAATACACACTTCATCACATTGTTGTTGTTGTTTTGTGTGCAGATGGAGGAGACGCGGAGGAGGGCGCAGTCGCTCCTGTCGGCCTCTGGGCAGGCGCAGGATGCCAGGGCCGACGTGCAGCACCTGGCACGCATCCCGGCGCCCCTGTCGCAGAAATACCTCCACATCAGAGCAGAGACCATTCTGAGAGACAACACCGCGGTGAAGAGCAGGCACGAGGTAACGGGAGGGCATCTGACACACACGACACACGGGGAGGGCACCTGACACACACGGGGAGGGCACCTGACACACACGGGGAGGGCATAATAATTAAGTAAATAATTAAGTTGCCGACACGATACAAATATCGATACAGTGCAGTTTCTGTTCAATACGATATATTTCAAATCGTTTCGATACGGTTCAGTAAAAAATAATCGGTAAATCATGTCTGTGATACTAAAAGTCTTTTTTAAACCACTTCTTCTTGTGCAAAGTTCATATGAAACACAAACATTTTAATCATCAGAACAGTGAAAATGTCAAATGTGTCGCATAAACAAGTTTCCTTCCTCTGAACAAACAACAAAACTGTAGCTGTGTGACATAATAATTTAGTAAAATAAACCAAAAAATACTCTTATACCATCACATTAAACGATACGATATATATCAATATTTCAATATTTTTACACACTCCTATTGCTTGTTTGGAAGCAACTGTTATTAAATCTAGAGAAAAAAATCAGGCACAGCGTCCACAAAATAATGAAGTACGTAGGTCGGCATCTCCACTCTCCAAATTTCTCTGATCTGGCCAAGATTTTAAAACTTATATCAGGTTATTTATCTTGTTTTCAGGTTTATTATCAACTTACTCATTCTGAGATGCTTCAGTTTAGTCTAGAGACTAGACTTTATTTAAAAGGACTTGTCATGTAAGATTATCTTGCTGCATGAACAGATAATTTCAGCACTTTTAAGTCATTTTCTGCAAGATTTAAGAGTTTATATCTTAAATTTTGGCTAGGCTTTTTTGCAGTGCATGTTGTTTGTTTGTGTGTTTGTTTGGGTGCTCACCACGATGCTGCTCTGTGATTGGTTTAGTCCCCAGTCGAGCCGTATCACTCCAGTGAACGTCAAATGGATTCTCAAATATCGTGAGAATCCATTTTGCTGTCAGATTCTGTTCTCTGTTAATGCTCTGTGCAGATGTTCAGCTCGTGTTTGTTTTTATGTTTATGTTTGTGTTTGTGTTTGTGTCAGGTGTTGGAGTCTCTGGTGCGTCTGTCCAAGGCCCTGGGGATCCTGGAGAAGTACGGCTGTAACCTGACCAACCCCACGCGCCCCAAGTACTGGAGGACCGTCAAACACAACAACCCGGTGTTCAGAACCACTGTGGACGCCATCAAAGTGAGAACTGAACCAGGACCAAACCAAGCCAGGACTGAGAGAGGACTGAGCCAGGACTGAGCCAGGACTGAGCCAGGACTGAGCCAGGACTAAGTTTCCGTCGTATATGAAATCAGCCGCCCTCCCGTATGAGCCATCTCAGATTTGGCTGAAAATTTTTCAAAAAATTTCTAAAATTACCAAATGAAAGAATCTAAAATTTTAGTCGTTCCTGAGTTATGGTCCGTTGAAATTTTGGAGCCATGCCCA